AGGCAATGCAGCTAGCATCCTAACAGCAGTCAGAGAAAAGTTCGACGTGGGCCCGCTCCTCGCTCGCGTCACAGCTCAGTGACCCTCGGAGTCGGTGTAGGCCACCATCAGAGGCGTTAAGGTCGGGGCCCTGATCACTGACATGGAACCATTCCCTGTTTTTAATTGATGAAATTAATTCCCTTTTTGTTGGAATGATGAGTGTGGGAGGCCTTTTAAAAAAATAAAAATAAAAAAAAATAATAATAAAAAAATTTTTGTTAGTCCTTCTCATGCATGCAAGCTGTTGCATTGTTTGTGTCTAATTTTGTTTTTGTTAAACATTGTTTGTGTCTAATTAATCGGACAGATTCAGTCCGAGATAATCAGTGTGAATAATAATCCTGCATGCCACTTAGATTGATGTAAATTTGACTGTATATTTAACAGTAGATAATTTAATTTTCAGCTATCGCAAGAAAATGGCGGACATGTCTCTGATATACAGAGACCAGCCCGACACGCCTCTGGACAGAGCTGTCTTTTGGTCAGAGTACATGGCTCGCCATAAGGGGGCACCCCACCTTCAGTCCCCGGCCAGACGTCTCTCTTGGATTACTCTCCTGCACGTTGATCTCATGGCCATCACTTTGTTGCTTATATGCTCTACATTTTGGGTAGTGAAATATATCGTAATAGCGCCCACGCGCAATTATAGAGCCAGCTTGAGCATCGTTAAGAAAAAGACATCTTGATGACCATAAATGTATCCATAAACAGTGGATTAATGGTGAATGCCCAAGAGACATTCATTCATTAAATCACACGATTTTCTAATTTTTCCTACCCGTACTCAACCGTTTATCTGTATAACGTTGCCCCTGCTTTTCTCAAAAAGAAAAAAATCTGTTTTCAGCATATTCGCGTATTTTCTGTGTTTGATTGACTTATCTCTGCCAACTATTGAAGTTACCCAGCGAAATATTCACTAATTCCTGATGGACAACGTTAATAGTATTCATTTTTTTATGATTAATTCCGCCATTGTAGGCTCCTGACGTAGCAGCTCTAAAAAATTAGTAGATCGTCTTTGTGAATGTTCGAGAGTATTCGCGAAGAGTTTCTTATATTTCAAGAATTTTATGTTAAAAGTGGTGTGAGTTGGAGTTGTAAGGAAAGCTGTGGGAAAAGGACTGATGGTTCAAGTTTAGTGTTGCTAAACAATAACATAACATAGCGATACCGGCGCTGAAGAGTAGGCCTGATGTGGCGGCCTGTCGCCGATTCTTACTCTTCCTGACTTGTTCACAGAAGATCTAAAATCGTGTCATATGACCGGATCTTTACAGGACTTACGATAGTTTGAAATAGCTACTAGACTTCCACCGGGTTCGATATGGTGCTAGGCATTTCAAGTCTGTACATATATTTTTTCATAGCTTTATCTAGTCTGTTTTTGAACGCGTTCATACTCGGAGCGCCAACGACGTAATCGAGGAGGCTGTTCCACATGTAGGTGATTCGAAGTGAGAAGAAATGTTGTCGCGTGGATAAGTTGCCGCGCAGTTTTTTTAGTTTAAAGCCGTGGCCCCTAGAGTTGGTTCTTGTTTCAAATTCTAGTAATCCATTGGGGATCTTGTATAAACCATGAGTATACTTGTATACTTCCATGAAGTCCCCACGCAGACGTCGATAACTGAGGCTTGGAAGCTTCATAATTTTTAATCTTTTTTTTTTTCACTGGACTTGCCCTTCAAGCCTGGAATTATCCTTGTTGCACGTCTTTGAACATTCTCCATTAAATTTTTGTCCTTTTCAAATCTCAGTGACCACAAAACGTTTCCAAACTCTAGATCCGGGCGCACGACAGGAACAAACAACTGCATCATCGCTTCTGCATCTAGGAACTCGTAACAGCGTCTTATTAGACCAAAAAGTTTGTTGGATGTATTAGCTTTCGTTTCAACATGCTTAGAAAATTTCAGCTCTTTGTCGACATAAACTCCGAGATATTTTTCCACACTAGACTTTTCAATCCTTACTCTTTCGTTGTAACCATGTCTTCTCATACTGTAATCTTGCTGTTCATTATTCTTCCCGAGGTGAAGTACTTTACACTTGTCAGCATTAAACCGCAGCTGCCACGTATCAGCCCAGTTAACTAACCTGTCAAGATCATTTGTAATTGCGCTTTATTTGACGCATCCTTCACTGAATTATAAACTTTTGTGTCGTCGGCATACACGGAGCACACGCTGGACACTACTTCTGGCATATCATTTATAAAAGCAACGAACAAAATAGGCCCAAGAACGCTTCATTGTGGCACGCCACTGATCACTGATGCCCAGTCTGACACGGGTCCGTTAATTAATACTGACACGTTGTCGTCTACCTACTAGAAAATCCCTGATCCATAGGAGTACGTTTTCCTCAATTCCCAAGGACTTCACTTTACGCAACAGCAGCTCATGCGGAACACTGTCAAATGCTTTGGCAAAATCAAGGTACAATGCATCCACTGGCTCCCTTTCATCCAGCAGGCGAGTCCAATCGTTCAACGTAGATAATATGTTAGTGGTGCAGGATCTGCCGGCAATAAAACCATGTTGACAATCTGATATGAGATGGTGAGCAGTCAAGTGATCGATAGTCCTATCCCTCACAACAAATTCCATTAGCTTACAACAACACTTGTCAGACTGACAGGGCGATAGTTGCCGGGGCTGCTTTTGTCACCTTTTTTGAACAATGATGACGCATCCTTCACTGTATTATAAACTTCTGTGTCGTCGGCATACATGGAGCAAACGCTGGACACTACATCAGGCAGATCGTTCATAATAGCAACGAACAAAATAGGCCCAAGAACGCTTTCTTGTGGCACGCCACTGCGCACTGATGCCCAGCTGACACGGTTCCGTTAATACTGACACGTTGTCGTCTACCTACTAGAAAATCTCTGATCCATTGGAGTGCGTTTCCTTCAATTCCCAAAGACTTTACTCAACGCAACAGCCGCTGATCATGCGGATCACTGTCAAATGCTTTGGCAAAATCGAGGTACAATAATAATAATATAATAGGCAGGGTGGCCCAGTGGTTACAGTTCAGAGTATCAGGATTGGAGCAGAGAGGCGCGGGTTCGATCCCAGCTCTGTGCGCCAGTTTCTGATCAGAATCGGCAAGGAGGCCGGGCGGTTAAGCACAGCAGAATTGCAGCAGTGAGTTGCGAGTTCGAGACCGCAAAATGCTGTGAATGTTCTGCGATGTTAAGAATCGGCGACAGGCCTACGGCCTAATAAACGCTGAAACCGCTATTATTTCATTATTATTATTATTATCTATTATTATTATTGTTATAACAGAATCCATTACCTTACAAACAACACTTGTGAGACTGACAGGGCAATAATTACCTAGGCTATTTTTGCCATTTTTGAACAATGGTGTTACATGAGCTTCATTCCAATCGGACGGCAATGTACCCTCGTTCAAGGTTTTCTGAAAGAATACTGTCAATGGGCCGGCCAGAACGGTTGCCAATTCCTTGAGCAATCTGGGATGGAAGCAGTCTGGTCCACATGACTTGTGATTTAGAGCTACCAGGCGCTTGATAACCTCTTAGTGTATCTCGAAACCTGTTAACCTCGAGCCGACTTGGCGCTTCTCAATATCTGGAACACTATTCAAGTCCTCATCTGTGACAATGACAGGAAGCTGACAAACACTAGCAAGGCGGGTTGTTGAAATGCACAAAATCATATCAATTGATCAGAATACGGGACCAGGAATGGACTGGCATCTCAATAGATATCATGTTAACTTAGGTATTAAAATATTGTAAGTATGTAATCAAAAGTTAGCAGTTAACTACGTTCCTAGAGTAAAGATGTAGGGAAGAATAGTTTTGAACATTCAGACTGATATACATTCCTACAGAGATAACTAACTTAAAATTCGAGAGCATACTCCACAGAGTGATAAATTTAAGAGATCAATTTACTTAAATTTAACTTTGGGTGCTGAAATTACATATGTACTTTAGCAGCGGAGTGCGTCCTTACTCCTATTCACACGATGACTAAACTAAAAAAAAGAGTAACGTTTAAATGGAACATGAAAGCATGGCGATTTTAAATTTAACCCTTTACCGCCAAATCGGACTTTCAAGTCGCCTTTAAAAAACCACCGGTTTTCTAATAATTTCAGGTTTTCTTTCATTTTTTCGAGAAATTCACATGAACAAAAAAAGGCTTGGATTTATTTTTTACATATGTGTACCAAGTTTCAAAGTTATCTGTCTGTAAATAACCGAAATAAAATTTCCAATGGCAATTTCCAATTTCTTGTGGAAATTTTATTCCGGCTATTTACAGACGGATCACTTTGAAACTTGGTACACATATGTAAAAAATAAATCTAAGACTTTTTTGTTCGTGTGAATTTTTCGAAAAAAATTGAAAAAAACATGAAATTCTTAGAAAACAGCCAAAAAGGGGGTACTGTAGAAATCTATCTCCTCCTAGGATTTTCAAGCTACAGCATCGAGACGCATATCATTCGATGCGTAAGGACCATATCTATCGATTGGTCCTTGCTGTTTTTCAAAATTCTAATTTTAGTGGGTGAAGTGGGCTTTTTTCGAAAAAATTCTGATTTATCCCCCACCCTTTTCGAATTCCCCCCCCCCCTTTTTCAAAATATTTTCAAAACTATAACGAAATTGAAAAAAACAGCGACCAATCTCTAGATCTTTTATTTGCAAATCGAACGGCATATCTCTCATTGCTGTAGCTTAAAAACTCTAAGAGGAGATAGGTTTGCAGTGACAATAAGTGTGAATGTTCAGTAGAGCGCGGCAAAGTCCTGAGCGCCTCGAAATAGGCATTCAAGGTGGCATGGATACAGGACTAGACGTTACTGGAGCTGAAATTCAGTCATAGATGGTGAGAACGACTGCATGAGCACCATCCTACACGACAGCAGCCGGGTAACTAAAGATCACTAGATCAGCGTCTTCAGGTCGTCTATTTATGTACCCGGACGGTAATTTTCGCCTATATTAAATGTGAAAGAACTCCTCCACCCCTAACCCTTTCGCGAACTGTCGTCAAAGCATAAATCAACGTACAGAGATGATTTTGGTACCGTTGGATAGGTCAGAATGTCAGCTTTAATTAAAGTGAGACTAAAAACCGGAAAAGAGAAATTTACGATTTTTGTCCCAGAAATTCGGGCGGTAAATAGTATTAAAGGAAACTTACAATGATGCAGTTTGTGAAATTGTTGCAATCCTAGCTGGAAAGTTGAAAAACTATGCCGAATAATGCATATTGTTGGCGAAGGACTGGGTAGGACGGACAGACTACTTGGATCATTATCGACTTCATTTCGAGATCTCAGGGAGTGGTACATAAAAACTACATATACCCACATAACAGCTGTTTCAATCCAACGTTCCAACTAGTGTTGACCAGGCTGGAATTCTAAGATTGGAAGTTCACTTATAAAAAAGCTTTCCACCCAAAGTGAAAAGCTTTCCTTTGATACAGTGCTCTGCCATGTTACTGACTATAAATGTAAAGGTTGGATCATAAGTGAACAAACTATTTCAAATGTATAGTACTACATTTACATTAGGTTTGTTATAGAATAATTTGGATGTCTCTTGTTTGATAGATATTTTTTATTTTTATTTTATTTATTGGATTTTTAGAAAATTTTCCCAGCCCTTTGTTCATAATGATCAAGTTTAAGTTAAGTATTTAGTTAACCAGTACTGTACTGTACAACTGTAGAGTGTAGCACATATACCATATTTGGGGGCGGGGCTTATTGTCGTGTCCTCATGCCAGAGGACACAGATGGTTTGCAGGGAATGAAATACAGATTTTTGGAATCTTACTGTACTTCTTGTCAGTCCATCTTCACATGACGTGCTCTGCAAAACAGAGTACCATAAGAAGGCAGAACTTAAAATTAGTCTTAATAGTAACTCCTAAACAACGATAGTCGGTAACGATTGAGCAATTCAAGACGCTTAGGAATATTCAGAAATTTCAATATAGGCGGCAACAGGAAATATTTCTCAAGGAAAAATTCCGCTCAGGGTTATACAGTACAAACTGCCTGGTTACGTTACACAAGTGAATTTTAATTAGTAATTGATTCAATAATCATGGACAATTGGATTAATTCGCACAATGACAATCACTTTGATATTCAGAAAATCAGTCTCAGAAAAACAAACACACGTTATAAATGGGGGAAAACTGCTAATAATTGACAGTATCAAGATCATTTATGAGTTTAACCGGATTCAATGAAACAGAACATAGTTTTCAGGTTGTGCAACAACCAATCACAGCTTGAAAGCATCCCCATCAACCAATCACAGCTTGAAAGCATCCCCATCATCCAATCACAGCTAGAAAGCAAAATAATCTTACAATTCCATTAACCAATCACAGCTGGAAAGCTGAAAGGGGCTAAAATCACAATTTCATCAATCAGTCACAGCTGGAATTCTGGAAAGGGATAGGATATGTACAATTATTGTAGGTACATAATTGACTGAAAGTGTAAAGTTCCTGGCCTTTCCAAGCATTCAGGTCCTGCTTTCCAATATGCTATGTGTACTGGTTAATTTAATACCCCTCTAGAATTCCACTGTTGACTCCTGGCGCAGTGGCGCTTAGCTCAAACTCCAGAGTCTGATCCACGACCGCGAGCGCCCGGCCGCCCGCTCCTGGCTTCTTTATAGTGAAGAAAAATTAGCACGATATTCGTAGTGAAACATATTGACGGTAATACTATCTGCTAAGAGTTTCTCTTAAAAAGCATCATTAGGATGCTAAAGCACAACACACTTTCCCCGCGTATAAGCATTTTACGCTTACAGGTGCAAGTTTGGGTTTACTGTAGTTGCGTTGCCACATCGGACATCCCACATGTTTCTTAACTCTTAAGTGTTTCAGCTATTTAGCTATCTCACCCAGAAAGAAAAAAGTCAGAGATTTGTGGTGATACGGTGCGAGATTTATAATGGTTTCAACTTTGAAGATTAGACGAAGTCCGGCGTAAAGGTTCAAGACAAAGCCTGACTTAGTCTAATCTTCAATGTTGAACTTGAAACCACAATAAATCTCACAATGTGTCACTATAATTATCTCTTGACTTTTTCTCTCTGTAGCCTGGCATTGTTGCGGTACAGAAATTTTTATATATATCAACATTTCAAATCAAAATCAAGCAGCTCGGACCTTGCTAACTGCTAAATCTTTCCACCTTTCCAAGATGGTATTGGCTTTTGGCAATAAATAGTTTTAGGAGGACAAGTACCAACTCACTACCAAGTCTGATGTCATGACCTGAAAAATTTTGTCTCTATATACTTCAAGTAATCATCAAGCAAGATTATTAGGGAAATTGATATGGATGGTTCTTTTAGCTTCAATAGTGGTCATGGATCATGACCACTAGTCTATTGACCTAACCTTATCACATGGGTCATGGATCAAGTCTCCTGAAGTCTGAACTCCGACTCCCCCTCCCCCCATCTCCATACCACTGATGATACCACTACCAGTAGGATATCTTCAATCTTTCAATGTCTGCAGACCTTGAATATACAGGCTCAGCTCTCCTCTGAAGAAATATATGGTACATACAGCCTACAGGGGTAACTCAGATAACATCAAGGCATAATTTATAGAATTTTGAACTATCAATTATTGATGATGATTAACAAACATAAAATTTTAATATAAAAGATTGAATTGAGCCTACTTAGATCATTTAGCTGTGTTAAATCCTAACAAGTGGTTTCAATGTCTAAATAGGGTTGAACTAAGAAATTATTTGAAACTTGTCAGTGACACTGACACCCAAAACATTCAAATTAGTTCTTGAACATCGGTATCTAAAAATTATTGGTAAATGTGGGTCCAATGAAGGCTAAAAAGACACATCAATAGGGGTGATTTATAAAGAATTTCCTTGCTACTATTTAATCAGCAAAAAAAAAATTGAAGCACTCACTGTTTCTGTGGACTGGTCTGGTATCTGGTGTTCTGGTCAGTCCTTGCCTATAGCCTATAGGTCAAATTACTCCTGCCTGACTAATTTAATAAAAATTTCCTTTTGGAAAAAGGGAAAGCCAGATTAATACATAAACTATAATAATTTTATTTATAAGAACCTGATCTAAGCAAATCCAGTACTACCAGAATTAAATGCTAATTAAAAATATAATTGCATTTACTTTTGTTTAATTCTTTATGAGTGGGACTTTGCAGGCCTATTTAGCCAACAAATTAATTATTATTGTGAGCTGGTTGAAGCTTGCAATAATTTATATGCAATCTTTTCTTATTGATGTTAAAATTATTACATCTTGCCAGTAAGTCATTACAGCCTCACAGCTAGTCAGCTGCTACTCCTGGCTTCACTCTTCATTGCATTCTGCAAGTGCTTGTCAGAAATGCTAATTGCTGATAGTGTACACTACTAATTATGACTACAATGTTAATGCCTCTCATTTATTGTGATTTTAATCATTTATTCACCATTGAGACAACTGGGCCCATTCACCAATTACCTGAATGCTTCAATAAATTTTGAATTCATTCTGTCATTCAATTTAGTTTTAAGAGCTGAATTTGATTCCATAATTTATGATATCATTTGTCTATGACAGGTACTCATAAGTTTCTTGGTTATTGATATTTTTGTGTTAGTTTTAATATTTCAATTAACAATTCCATCCTGCTTGTTTTTCAGGCACACTCCATTCAGAATTTCTAATGTGTCTAATATTGATCTATGATGAATAATAACTGAATTATAACAAAAAAATTTAAAAAGTTTCAGAATAACTATTAAATTATGGAGACAGAGAACATCAACATTAAAGAATATGAAGACTGCTTATCAGATTTCTACAGTGCTGTCCACTGGAATGATGAAGCAAATAATTGTGTCAACAAGGTAAGTTTCTTGGTCACCATGTCCATCCAATTTCTTAGTTTACTTTACTTGCATCTATAAATCACTATCTGCAAATACAGCCTAATGTTGCAGTTTACATGAATATCTAGATTCTAATCTTAATTCAAAGTTACCACATTTTTTAAAAAATGAGGTTTAATTTTTAATGAAGAATTTAAAAAGCTGTAGATTAAAATTGAGTTGGGCTCTTTACACTCCTCATTGGGAGACATATGTCACCTAGAAATAATTATGGCTTACAAATTTTTTACAATAAATTGTCAGTAATTGTCATGATTTCACTAGGTATGGACAGGAATAAATAGGATTGTTAGAATTATTTCCAATTGTCATTGATTTTTCCAATAAGTTTTATCATATCTTTATTATGATTTTATAGATGAGTATTATCAGGTGCCAAAACTATACAAGAATCAGTGATCTATTAGTACATTATTTTGTGTAGCAAGACTTTAATGTTGACTATGAAGATAAAAGTTTTCTAGATACTGTAATGTTTTACTAAAATGATGATCAAGAGACAAAAATTTTAAGAACACCATAAAATGTATGTGAATTGTAGGGAATTTTCACTGGAAATGCTTTACTTTCAAGATGATGGTTTCCATGCTAACCTTGTAATTATCTCATGGCTAACCTTGTTACTGGAAATTATAGCCCTGTTGAGTTGCTGCATTTATGCTATTGTAATATATACCGTACTATCTTGATTTTTTTCCATTATACAGTTGAGTACCTAACATTAACATCATCACACATTTCACTTTAAACATTGATTCATTTTGCAGCTTAGTACAACAGCTACAGTAAGGAAGAGTTCATCTACAAGCGCTGTAGATGATGACGAAAACCCTTACAGCAATGAACCACTTCTACCTCCACCTTACCCCATCGGTTCTTCCATCAGCCCTAAATCAAGTTCACGTATCACTATTGGTAAGTGTGCACTTGTTTTTTTTTTTTATTTTTAGCAAAGCATTTTTCAAACTCTTATTTTCACAAAAAGGCTCTAGTAATTGTAAACTTTCAGTTGTCAAACAGAATCATTTGTACTTGCTGCTGAAAAATTTTGATATCATTTGTGTTCAAGCTTAATTAAGCAGTGAAAATTTAATTCAATTCATTTAAAATTTGAAGATTGATTCTGCTTAAAATTGTAAAATTTCATAACTTTAGTCTGTAGTTTTGCAAGCCAACCAAAAAAGTATTCAGTAGAATGAACTTCTGAGAAATGTTGTTGGTGCTGCTGATGGCTGCCACTGTCCTGCTGACTATTATCCAGGCTAGTGCAGGCTATTGTCTAGATTCTAGAAGATGGTCTAGTCTCCAAGCATAATTGGTGTCATAAGCCCTTCAACTAAACAAGAGCCATGAGTTGTGCTGTAGTCATAGCGGTGTTTACTTGAACAAATGTAATCATATCATTCTTTTAAATGTAGATGCACTTGATTTAATTATTTCAATGTTTGTCTTCAATAAAAATTAATCTACACTGATGCCTAATGAGATGGTTGCTGCGAAGTCAAGAATGAAAATATCTTGACTGCTAGTTTCTTATATGGAAATGTTTTTTGCCCAGGGTTGTTGTATTTTACTGACATTCATGAAGTTTGATGATAAATTTTAAAGGTATGATATCATGTATCCTTTTTCAGATAGTACATTACAACGAGAGATTTTGAAGCCATTTTGGAAGTCAGGTAAGTGCAGAATTTTGCTTGCAGGATTTTGCTTGCAGGATTTTAAATAAGAGTTCTAGCTTATTGATATCTTTTAGAATTAAAAATGTAGTGCATGAATGAATGGATTTTATTGTGTCCAGAGATATGATTTTGGACTACCTACTGCCTTTTTTTGCTTCATTTACACTATCATTTTTATCATTTAAAAAACTTTGCAAGAATTTTCTTCTAGTTCCAACATTAATTTCATAGAAATCTTTGCCAAATTTGAATGACTAGGTTCCATAAATTAAAAGTTCTAAGATTGAGATGCCATAAAGAGATCTATGGTTACTGCAAACTGCTTAATATCTTGATGCATACTTGTCCTGTTCCCTACCGAAATTAGTGAATCTTCTTCCAAATAGCAATGCACTTTTAGCACTTGTGTGGGTCACCTTCTCACAGTTTGGCCCGGCATAATGGCGTATCAGAGCTATGTTCAGCAAGTGCCTCACTATTTGGATAACATGATGCATTCATTACCCTGAGTGGTGCTGGGTCTCTAGTACAGTTGGCAACCAAGTCTGTACCGAGCTCTGCTGCACCCGATTTTTTTTTTCTTTACTAAAATCGTAATTTATTCACGCTCAAAAAATTAATTTTAAACTAGGTATCTCTTTGCGTTGGGTCGGTGATTAGAAACAGCAAGTTTGGAGCTGTGGGTGGCGGGTTCCAAATTAAGTCAGCCTAGTTCTAATCTGAAACGCAGATATCAAAATAGATTTTTACTCTATCTTTATTGATCTCTGACTGTACTACTATATATCTCTGGCTGTACCACTATAGATCTCCGGCTGTACCACTATAGATCTCTGAATGTACCACTATGGATCTCACATTGTACCACTAAATATCTCTGACGACCACTATAGATCTCTGAATGTACCACTATGGATCTCATATTGTACCACAACATATCTCTGACTACCACTATAGATCTCTGAATGCACCACTATAGATCTCTTACTGTACCACTACAGAGCTCTGACTGTACCACTGCAGATCTCTGGCTATACCACTACAGATCTCTGACTGTACCACTATAAATCTCTATTATTGCGGGAAATAAATTTATATATTAATTTTTCAAATCGAAATCAAATCGCTCGCTAACTTCAAGACCTTAAAATCATGGCTTCTGCCCTGCCGGAAATGGTCACAGGCGCTTTATCACCGGCGCAGAATTATCAAAACTTATTAAGTACACGTATTGGCCTATATGCACGTAGCGGCTGGCGACCTAAACACGAGTAGCAGCCTAAGCACACGAAGCGGCCTAAGCACACGAGGCGGCCTAAGTACACAAGGCGGCCTAAGTACACATAGCGACCTAAGTACATGTAGCGCTCTAATTACACGTAGCGGCCTAATTACACGTGGCGGTCTAAATATGCGTAGCAGCCAATTTCTCGTCTGAGAATGGAGATGTTAGCCTAAAAACGAGCAGTGACAGAATTAATAACTCTTAACTGTTTTTCAGTACCATACCATTGCTCCTGTTTTACAAAATTTGTGATCGAATACCTCTTGTAAGCGTACAGTTGCTGCGTACCATCGGGTGCCATCACGTACTACAATAGTTTGTAGTTTGATATACTGTAATATAGTTCCAATATAAATTCAACAGAAAGATGTGAATTTAGCATTACTGTTTAAATTCAACAATGGCGTACTGGTCGCCATTAGCATTTGGTATTAGTTAGGAAGTATAGTAGAAGATCTTCGGCATTGAAGAATAGGCTTGGATAGGCCTGTCGCCGATTCTTGTACTTTTCTTTACTAGTTCACAGATCTAAAAGACTGGCCTTCTGATCAAATCTTTTCAACGGACGGTAGGTTAAAAATCGTTTCTAGACTTTCAGTTGTTTCTTAGGGTACTACGCATTTCAAGACTAAACATATGCTCCTGCATGGCCTTTTCTTGTCTGTTCTTGAATGCATTCATACTCAGAGCGTCAACAATATCTTCAGGGAGGCTGTTCCACATGTCAGTGACTCGAAGCGAGAAGAAATATTGTCGCATGGATGAGTTGCAGCGCAGTTTTTTTAGTTTATAGCTGTGGCCCCTGGTGTTAATTCTTGTTTCAAATTCTAGTTATCCTTCTGTGACCTTGTACAAACCATGAGTACACTTGTATACTTCAATGGTTTAGCATTTGACAACAGTTTGGAATTGTTCACAATGGGAAGTTAGTAATTTTGTGAAACACAAAGTGGTTCACAATTATTTGTAAAATAATGCGAAATTCAACCAAAAATGACCGGAAAAATAACAGCGTACTGCTTGGAACTCCTTTGTGCACCGCGCACTACTTACGTGAGCATTGGTCAATAAAATCGAACGAGTTTTCGAAGGTTTTGTACTGTAATTACCATCAAATATCACGAAATGACATTAATCATGGTTGTGGATGGACTGATAAACTGGTTTCACTTGAGTGATTACTTGAACTTAAATCTCATAGAAGCTAGCATAGCCAATAAGATCTTTCACTCAGAGAGACGAGTACGATTTTCCAAGAAGCGATGCACTTTATGCTTTTTACGGAACATCCTGAACCATTATGGCGTCAAAAGGGTGCATTAGAGCCACGTGCAGACAGTGTCTATTTGGACAATATGACCCACTCAGTTTTCAGAGTGTAAAGCAGCCCACGGTGAGTATTAGCCTGAATGAAGTGCCTCTTTCATCGAGAGCTGTTGTATACTCATTACTCACTATCAATATCAAGTGAGTAATGAGTGTGGCCCATCTTTTCATAGAGTGAACACCTGCTAGGATCATATGTTCTTCACTGTGCAACATCTCCCACAACTGTTCCTGGCACCTGCGACCAAAATTGTGTGGATATACCAAAGCTTCAGTATCAATTCGTATACGTTGAAAACAGGTTGCGTGCCGCGCGATGACCTGCAAACATTATTGACGTTAAGCGTTGTTTCACTCGATGGAAAATACCGCAGGTTTCTTATGAAATTTTTACTATCATTTTAATAAAATAAACTTTAGATTGCAAAGCTGTCGACCTTCACGAATAAATGTGTATATAATAATTGAAAATAATAAAGCATGAGTATTAGTTGCGTTATCCAAAAATTAGCTGAAAATTTACGTGAAGTGACATTAAAAAGTAACAACTATTACGGTTGATCTGATTACATCCTTCTGAAGAATATTTATTCGAATGAAACTTCTAAGATATTGACCAGTAAAAATTCTAGTGAAATTCCTTCGATTTAATGAAATAAATATAATAGTAAAAATGGCGTTTAATCCCTGCTACGTTAATAAAGAACTCAAGACATTTAATATTACGTAAATTTCTACGCCAAGTTCAGCCACTGTTTTCGATGTTAGTGTGTTTACTTCATACTAAGATTACCGTGTAACATTTGACAACGATAATGCGGCCGCATTTCATATTTTTTTAACCACTTTGGACAGTCATGTGAAAACGTTTCCATTTCCGTCTTGTGAGAAAAATCAATTTACTCGTATTTTCTTCACGAAACTCGTAATTCTTTCCAGGTCTTTTTTAACATTAGACCTCACAAATCATCTTAAATCAACTAAAAACTTTACATTTTGTCCTTTTGGCAACATATTCAATAGAAAAAAAAACATTGTTATGGGACCACGTGTTTTATGCCACACTACAAAAATGTGCAGCATTTTTCTGGGAGCAGTTTTTTTCTGCTTCTGTTACCATATTTATCCAAAAGCGGGTATTTTTGAGGTTCGTGATTCTAAAGGTGCGTATGGCAGCTCAAAATATTCTGCTTTACAAAAAGTGCATTTCTTTTTGGTTCACAATTAATAAACGCATCAATTACCTCTATATATTCTTAATTGATTCTAAAATAAAAAGTCATTCATTGTATATAATATGATTTGCCCCGCCCAGTTAATTGTGTGTGATTGAAGTTGTATTTATATTACACTTTAGTACATTGTCTGACTTTGAAGAGAAATTGTTTGCTTATTGTTGATTCTCAAGTCCATTCAATCTAGTCGTACTTTTAGTTAATCTTTATTAATTTTTGCGTGGTATGCACCTTCACAGATTATCTCAAACATGAATGGCGGGTAGGAAAGTCGACGAATGGCGAATCGTTCAACCGAAGTCTTCATGGAGAGCTGGATAATTTTCTCAACTCCGTGCCAACGTTCGTGGACAAGCACTTTCAGCCTTTCTTGGACGCGTTTCAACATGTTCAGAAATACCGACGACGTACCAATTTTCGTTCTGGGCCATTACCAAAAGTTTTTGTTGTTTCTGCACGTCCTTTGTCGGATCCCTTTTGGATCGAATCTTTGAAACATTTCACCGACAGTGAATGTCCATTGCAATGCACTTTTACAGACAACCAACTTGAGCTAAATGGAAGCGATGCAGTTTTGGTCGTATTAAGTTTCTTCAGAAGCGTGAATGTTTTGAAATCAAGACTACCTACCAGAGATCCAGCTCAGCCTTGGATTGCGCTCTCAGTTGAATCACCAATTAATTTATCATTTAATACGACTGATCTATCTGGGTTAAATAACATTTTCAACCGCACCATGACCTACCGGCAGGATTCTGATATAACCTTCTCACACGGTTTCGTTGTCTCAGAAGCTAATGCTAAGTTTCTCCCTCCGTCGTGGGTGATGCGAACTCCTGAACTAGAAGAAATTCCATTTGAAAGAAGAAAGCTAGCAGTGGCGTTCATTTCGCATTGCTCAACGCCAAGCGGTAGAATGAATTATATCCGAGAGTTACAGCTGCAAATGGAAGTTGATATCTATGGAAAATGTGGTAACTTTACTTGCGGTTCTTCCAGATTTGTGCGTCAGCCGGTGGAAGTTCAAAATGACAAGTGTCTTAAGTTGGCCAGAGAATACTTGTTTTACTTAAGTTTCGAAAATAGTATTTGTGATGATTACGTTACTGAAAAGCTTTACAATATCTTGTACTATCCTGTGGTACCTGTTGTTTTCGGAGGTGCAAATTACTCGAATTTATTGCCGCAAAGTTCATTTATAAATGCATTAAATTATAACCCAAAGCAGCTTGCATCACTTTTGAAAACATTATCCCAAAATGAGACAAGCTATAATGAAATGCTGTCATGGCGCAATCATTATCGAGTTTCAACGGTGGGACCGCGTCGTATATATTGCGATCTCTGCATTAAACTGCATCAGTCGGAACTAACATCACATAAAGTTTACGATGACTTATACGACTGGTTCGCCGTACAGTCGCAGTGCAAGGCATATGCTCATAGGAAAATTATCCGTCACATCAGCATCTGAAAAATCCGTGATGAACCCCCTATAAAGTAGGAACTATACTATGCGTGCTAGATATGGACTGCGACTTGAGTAAATGGTGCAGTGGGCTTATCAAGTTTTACTTACGAAACAATTGCAGCAAAAACTTTGAATTCGTGGTTTTTTATTCTGTAACGTTTGTTTTTTTCTGCAACGTCTGTTTGGTCTGGAACTTTGTCTTTTAGTGTTGATTGCGTCGTTATTAACCTAATAAAATTCAGGGTGCGCCTAAGCACCCTGCATTTCATTTAATTCAGGGTGCTTAGAATGTTTTTCATTATTTAAGCAATACACTCGGCTTAAAGTTATTCTGGGTCTCCTTGGCCACCCGATCGAAATCAGCTTCTGGCCAGAATGTACATTCCGACTTTATAGTCGCCTGCGAGTATGACAAGGGTTAGGCGAGCTATAGTCATACCCAGCTAGCAAGCTCCCACCCTAACAAAATTTAGAGTCGCCCCAGCTTCTGGTAGTCCAAATCGGATGCTGCCGCGTCTTTAAATTTTCACTGGGCAGAGGCTGCCCTTCAAACCCTGAGCGGAAGCAGACAACGAGCATCTGATTTACGTGCTCCCCGAGTCTAAGAATGCCCCTATTTCAGAGTTATGCCATTATTTAATTTTTTAGGTAAATTCTTAGCGGAATCTGCGGGACAAACAATATGCATTTTTAGGCTTGAAAGTTTGAATGCATTCGTCATACTGTTCCCTGGATTGGCCATCGAAGTTTAACTCGAGGAATTTCCTCTAAAATAAATTAATTGTTTGAACAAAATCGATGAATGTCTGATAAATATTACATTGCAGCCTAATTCTAACACTATGGATATTCACTGCAGCAAATGAACACTTCTTATTTCTCTGAATGTTTTTCATTAACCTATTTTCCAATAACAAACATAAGCCTTAACAAAACAGTATCGTCTAATGTAATTTTTTTTTTTGCTTTATCACCTTTAAAAATGTTCACAATCCAGAACGCGAGACCCAACATTGTAGAAGCTAACATTAAAAATATATAATTTTTAGCTCATTTTTCATCCGGCACCCCTTATCATGAAGGTTCATATCTTCATCTTGTATTTGCACTAACCAAAATGCAACTTATCATTTATAATGTTTACCGCCATGAATATGCCAGACGCAGCAGACACGCGCCCCCCACCCAGCTGCCTGGCACATGAATGGTTGTTGTTCTCACGGGAAGAACGCAAGGCGCTTTACGAATACGTGCTTCTGCACACACAGGCGCCGCCCCCACCCCCTCAACTCGTATTACAGGTTGGTAGTACATTAAGTACAACTCACAATGCAATACCATTATAAATATTTCATATTAATTTCAATTATTACGAAAAATGTTTATTTTCCAACCCGCTCAACTTTGAATGACAGCATTATTTAATAAGTCCGTCGGCATCTTCCATTATGAAATGGGAACTATTTCAAAATTCTTCGTATTAGAACAGTGTGAAAGCATGTTCATAAATCTATGATAGGTATATGAATCACCCCTTTCCAATTAGAACTATCCCAATTATCTATTCGCCTTTACCATTCCAAGACATCGTGTTACGAATTCTTTTCTTACTTCAAACTCTTTAGTTTCCTTCTTTATTACATTATTTTTATTTAATCGCACGGCGCAAGAATTCTTAAATAAAAAGCACGCTCTTGCATAGAGTAATAGCGATAATTGCATTCAAGTTTCAGACGTGACGGACAAGTTTCTAGCAAGTGACGGAAATCAACACCAAATACGAATAGGGCTAAACTATATTCCGTATTCTGCCTCTGCCAGCAAACTGTTCAGTTTGCGCTTTTTTTCTTCACACGGTGCAAGTATCACATAATAAGAATCACACTATTGCATATAATATATATATATCGTTCAATGCATTTAATTTTCTTGCAAACAGTGACTGAAATTCAAGGACAGCTGGGAGGAATAGCCTGAAGTAAATTCTGTATCTTGCCTCTTTCATCGATCATTTTTTATCCCACTGTGCGAGTATAGCTTAATAAGGAACACATTCATCCGTAAAATAATATACATCTTTCACTGCATTTAGTTTCCTTACAGCCAGTGACTGAAATCAACGACAGCAAAGACGAAGTCGTAATACGTCAACAACAACGCGATCTTAAACGTCGCAGACAAGCGTACAGAACCGCAGCTACCGGCAGCAAGACCCTCACTGAGGTAAGATCACAGGGCACTAACCATGTCTTTCATCAGGACTAAGAAGCACAATAGTTCGAAAACGAAGTTAAAATAATTATCATCTTAGTGTGGGAGGTTTCATGGCTAAATTAGACCATTTTAGGACGTAAATCAGTGATGATTTGGACTGACACATCATGACCATGTGCATCCAATGGGTCAAACATTGAATCCTCAAGGCTGGGTGTCAGAGTGACAATGCGCCAGTACCCACAATACTTGTGAAGATGGACATGAAAGTGATGAACCTCAATGTTATGCATACACACTTGCACAGTCACCAAATCTGAATATAGTTAGACTAATTTTGAGTTTTCTAGAGAAGTAAGTCAGGAAACTTTTTACTACGCCAGTATCGCTTAGCAGCCTGGCAAAAATAATGGCTTGGGATTGCTATGATCAATGGACAGTAACTTGATGTCATTCCCGAGTCGAACTGATGCTGAATTGACCTTGAAAAAGAAGGCTGTCATTATTTACTCATTTCATTGTTCTCACCCGGCATATGCTTTCTGAAGAGGCTGGTATGTCACACATGCGAAGGTTAAAAAGTGACTGCGAAAAGAAGCATTCATGAGGAACTCCATTTCATGTATTGCTTTTGATGACCCGCGCGTTCAATTGGCAACAAAAACTGAAGCTTCAAAAGTTGAAAATATTGGTATCCTGGTTTGACGTTTTTACCTTTGCCTAACCTCAAAACTAACTCCAAGATACCCATAAATTTGTCATTTATAAATCTTCACCTTTAATTTGCCAAAGATAATTGGGTTTGACAAATGCCTGTAAAAAATACTCATAAACCAAATTGGACAGCGACACGTGGCACTCGATTATGTGTTGGACCTTTTCTCTCAGGGCTGACTTATGAAATAACACCTATCAGTGTTTTCGAATCATTAGGGCTTTCTGTTTTCGACATTTTACTCATTGACCCGATGTTGTTTAATGCTAGAAAAATTTTGAAAAATCATATAGGGTGATATTTAGATATAGGTGATATTTTGATATAGGTGAAGTTCAGGTATTGTGTCTCGAAGTACTCTTTAAACAAAAGATCAGCAACGAAAAGATCAGCTGTCTGCACGGCTCAACTGCTGTTCTTCATGGCTGATGTCTGGTGGTATGTCGTCAATGATGCTGTTGATTGGTAGATTTAAGAGTGCGTGTCCGGGTTAGGTGTGTGTGTATGTGTTTAATGAAGTTGGCTGGGTCTGTGGGCGGGGGTATGGAATTAATTATTGTGAGATAGTAGTTGTATGGAGTGTTGGCAATTTGTCTGGGTGTAGGGGGTAGGTACTGAAAGTGATGGCAGGGACTGAGGGGATTGTGGAGTGCTGATGCAAGGAATTGGGCGCCTCATGTCTAGGTGTTCTTTCAGAGAGAGGACTTTGGTTTCTGCATGGACGTGACTGGATGGTGTTGTTTGGGTGCTGCCAAGTGCGATTCTGAGGGCTGTGTTTTGTATGGTTTGTAGGTGTTTGTGAAATATGGGTGAGATTATGGGTGCCCAGGCTGGACTTGCATAGTTTAGCACTGAGCGTATGTATTGTTTGTACACTAGTGTGAGGGTTTCTTTGTTCTGTCCGAATGTTGTTCCTATGAGGGCTCTGAGTGTGTTTAGCCTAGGTCTGCATTTTGTTTTTATGTTCTGTATGTGTGGCCCAAAAGACATAGAAGTGTTGTAAGTGACACCTAGAATATTGGTTTCATGTGTGTGGTATGATGGTGTTGTTTAGAGTGACTGTGGGTCTGTGCTGATGCTCCCTTTGTGTGGCTTGTTAGTAATGTGCTTGTTGATTTGGTGGGGGCTACTTTGAAGTCTGTTGCGTGCTAGTCAGCCCTCTAGTAGTACGATGTAAGGTTGTACTAGTGTAGAGCATGTGTTGGCATTGGTGTGTGTTGATGTAATTGTGATGTCGTCTGCGTTAGACGAAATGTCAATGTTGTCTGGTGGGGCTGGAATGTCGTACATATATAGGTTGAAAAGTGTTGGTGAGAGGACTGATCCTTGGCGTACTCCGTTCGGTATGTTCTTTGTGTGTGATGATTTGCCATTGTAGTGAACGAATGACTGTCTGCCTGTTAAATAGTTGGCAAGCCAATGTTTGGTGTTGTTATGTAGTGTTGTATTATAGATTTTATCTGTGAGTAGGAAGCGTGGGATGGCATCAAAGGCTTTGCTAATGTCGATTGTAATCATGAGTGTGCGATGTGCAGGGCGCTTGGAGTTACGTATAGTATCTTGTATACGTTGTGTGAGGTTGGTGAGGAGTGTGGTGGTGGAGTGATGGGTCCTGTAACCGTGTTGAGTGGGTGAGAGGGGAATGTGAGGCGTGGTTATGGAGAGTATGAGGCGCTCTACAACTTTGGATGGTGTGCAGAGAAGCGTAATGGGCCTGTAGGAGGCTGCCTCGGTCTCAGGAGAGTTATGATTTTGCCGGTTTTCCAGATTGATGGTATAATGCAGTTGGCAAATGAAAAGTTGGCTATATCTGTGAGAGTGGTGATACCATGCGGGCCGAGGTGCTTAAGGTGGATTTTTTAGATGTTGTTGTTGTTATTGCCCATCTTGGTAGTGGCAACTTGGTAAGGGAGGGGGTGATAGGTCAGTTTTTCCGGGCACTTGGTGCCACTGGTAGTTCCACGACCATCACTGGCTCGCTGACCCGCCAGAACCATTTTTGCATTACACAACACCCTGGACAAGCCAGGTACTCATTTATCAACCAGAGTTGGATGAATGGCTGAGTTGACCATGAGCTGAGCTTCCCGGAAGAACTTGTCCTCAGTGGGACTCGAACCCGGGAGCTGGGTGCGAGAGACTAAGTTTCTCACCACTGCACCACCACAGCTCTTTAGATGTTGTCTGGCCCCTTGGCTGAAGAATTTTTGAGCTGTTTTATGACGCGTGAGGTGTCTGACTAATGATGTAATTATTCACTAGTGGATTATAATAGTAATACACTAATATTCGCTTGGATGTAATTATTCACTAGTGGAAATTTGTGTTTGCGCCTGTTAATTTGTCTGTCCTGTGCTTGGGTAGGTGACTGATGCTAGCATAATAATTTATCAATATGTTGGACCGTTGTTTGCGGGAAGGGATGGTCTCCTAGGTTGTAATAGCCGAGTGAGGTGAGGTGAGGCCACTGTTGGAGTTAGAGTTGGTCATTCCTGCGTGGACTCCAAGAAATTTTATCGTGTTTTCAGAGTCGACATTGCACGTGCCGGAATAAAAACAAGATTTTTTCAAACACGCATACGCCGAAACTCAACTCTACCTTCCCCTAGTTTTAACATAACAGACACCAAATTATTAGCAGGAATTACGAACAACCATCCCAGCATTTGCAATAAAATCCAATACATCCCATCTACCTCCATACTAATTACTAATCCGCTAAAGCATAACTACACGATTGCTGACTACAACCCAGCTCGGTACATCAAAGCTGCGCATCTTGCAAGAGTCGTTGGAATCTTCCCACTAGACATCTGACGTTGAATTGAACGTTTTTCATTGAATTACCGTTAATTAAACGTTTCTGTCATTGGCCTACTGTGTTACCCCTAACAACTTAAATACTGATGAACTTGCCTCTATGGCGGAAAAGCAAATCATCTTAAGAGACTATTGCAGAAATACAGAATCTCTAAAAACATATTTAGCAATTACAGAAACTCTCAGACGATTGCCGACAGACAGAAACCCTCTAATTCAATTGTAGACTTATAGCAACCCTCAAAGCCTTTTGCACTTACAGAAACCCTCAAAGCCTATTGCAGACTTACAGAAACCCTCAAAGCCTATTACAGACTTACAGAAACCCTCAAAGTCTATTGCAGACTTATAGAAACCCTCAAAGCCTATTGCAGACTTACAGAAACCCTCAAAGCCTATTACTACAGAAACCCTCAAAACCTATTTAATACTTACAGAAACCCTCTAAGTCTATTACAGACTTACAGAAACCCTCAAAGTCTATTGCAGACTTATAGAAACCCTCAAAGCCTATTGCAGACTTACAGAAACCCTCAAAGCCTATTGCAGACTACAGAAACCCTCAAAACCTATTTAATACTTACAGAAACCCTCTAAGTCTATTGCAGACTTATAGAAACCCTCAAAGCGCCCATTGAAGACTTACAGAAATCCTCAAAGCCTAATGCAAACTTACAGAAACCCTCAAAGCCTATTACAGACTTACAGAAACCCTCAAAGCCTATTGAAGACTTACAGAAACCCTCAAAGCCTATTAAAGACTTACAGACACCCTCAAAGCCTAATGAAGACTCACAGAAACCCTCAAAGCCTATTGCATACTTGCAAAAACCCTCAAAAGTCTATTGCCCTCAAGCCTATTGCCCTCAAAGCCTATTGAAGACTTACAGAAGCCCTCAAAGCCTATTGCAGACTTACAGAAACCCTCAAAGCCTATTGCATACTTACAAAAACCCTCAAAGTCTATTGCAGATTTTCAGAAGCCCTCCTAGCCTATTGAAGACTTACAGAAACTCTCAAAGCCTATTGCAGACTTACAGAAACCCTCAAAGCCTATTGAAGACTTACAGAAACTCTCAAAGCCTATTGCAGACTTACAGAAACCCTCAAAGCCTATTGAAGACTTACAGAAACCCTCAAAGCCTATTGGAGACTTACAGAAACCCTCAAAGGGTATTGCATACTTACAAAAACCCTCAAAGTCTATTGCAGATTTTCAGAAGCCCTCCAAGCCTATTGAAGACTTACAGAAACTCTCAAAGCCTATTGCAGACTTACAGAAACCTTCAAAGGGTATTGCAGGCTTACAGAAACCCTCAAAGCCTATTGCAGCCTGACAGAAACCCTCAAAGCCTATTGAAGACTTACAGAAACTCTCAAAGCCAATTGCAGACTTACAGAAACCCTCAAAGCCTATTGAAGACTTACAGAAAACCTCAAAGCCTATTGAACACTTACAGAAATCCTCAAAGCCTATTGAAGACTCACAGAAACCCTCAAAGCCTATTGAAGACTTACAGAAACCCTCAAAGCCTATTGCAGACGTACAGAAACCTTCAAAGCCTATTAAAGACTTACAGAAACCCTCAAAGCCTATTGAAGACTTACAGAAACCCTCAATGCCTTTTGCAGACTTACAAAAACTCTCAAAGCCTATTGCAGAGACACATAAACCCTCGGAGCCTTATAACGTAGTATGTTTATTCCCTTGTAACTTGAACTTTCTTATTCGTAAATTAATGGTTTAAGCTTTTATATGAATGTGCAATTTGTTTCAAGAATATCGACACGGTCATTACAATACGGAATTCTGCTGTCACTGTAATCTTCAGAGACGTAAACTCATTTCACTCCTAAATTTTTTGTTTCTGAACAGAAAACAATTAGCAAACGCTCTTAAATATGGATGGAACTTTGTAAGGATAGCAATGCACTTCTGCTCGCGTGTGGGTCATTCTGATTTAATTTGGTCCAGCATAAGAGCGTATCAGTGCTCAGTCCGCGCTCTGCTCGTGACGTGGGTACAAAAGTGTCGTTATTGGGACAATATGACGCATTAATTTTTCGCAGTGTATCTTCAAACAATTTTAAGTTTTCTCAAAGCGCAGTTCTTGTCGAACACAAAACTGTTGTATGATCGCATGACATTTTTAGCTACTAATTTTCCATTATTCGTGTTGTCTTTCGACCGATTTTTTATAGCATTTGAATGAATTTTCTGAATTTTACTCTATTTTCAGGTGACGCGAGAAATGATAAACAACGTTATGGAGCTCATCGGGATCCCAGTGGATGACCAAAAATCGAAATCTCCGTCCGAAACCAGACCACTGCACAGCCGCGATATGTGCTCACAACCATCAACCTCTTCTGATAAAAGAAGAACTTCTAGATGCCATCGTGGTCACGAGGAGAAGGAAAGTAAATCAGAATACCACCGTGAAAAGAGCTCATCTAGATCGAAAAGAAAAACCGCGAAAGACGATGATGAACGAAAAGATCACCGGCGGAATAAATATAAACATAACCCGTCTGATGACTGCGACAGTCGCGATAGAAAATACGGCAGAGAAAGAAGTGCCAACAACGATCGATTCAACCGCAGATGAGAAACTGTGAACCTAGTAATAGCACAAAATAAAATATAAGATTGATTTGTTTTAGATTCGAAGATTTAAAAATCGTTACATTATATTCAGCGTAAGTCTTTCTACGGCTTTCGATGTGCAGTGTTCCTAAATACATTCCAAATGAACTAATCTCATGATTTCTCGACATATTGCGCATTTTTTGGCTCTTCAGCTTATTTTTGTGGGGACGTATTCAGTTCTTTTGTACAGTATAATCTGAATCCAAACAATTAACTTGTGGAAAGTTACGATTCTACTAAATATGGGATTCCTGATGCCAAATGAGCGCTATAAAACAAAATTGATAATATTTCCACAAATGCCCTGCCTACACAACTTAACCTCACAACTGCCCTGCCTACACAATTTAACCCCACAACTGCCCTGCCTACACAACTTAACCCCACAACTGCCCTGCCTACACAACTTAACCCCACAACTGCCCTGCCAAACAACTTAATCCACGCTGTGATGGCGGCTAAGGAACAATGCCTCTGGGAACGCTAAATCCCATAGGCCTTTTGACGAGCATAGATACGCGTCAGAAAACCTTTTTGAAGGGTATTTCTTATTACAAAAAAAAATTATCTACAAGCAATCAATCCATAAATTAAAATGCCATTTAAAGATTTCCAAGCTAGCGATGGAATTCACACTGAAACGTGTGACCATCTCACTAGACACCGCCAGTTTTAATGTCAACGTTCACTGAATTCTTGTATAACACAACTAGGCGTGAAACTACACAGAAAAATATTCAGCTTGAAAATGTGTAAATGCGATTCGTTATATTATGTTAGAGCTCATTCTTTCTGCTTGATTCAAAATAATGCTGAAAATCATGGTGCCTTGCAGCTTATCCATCAACTTTGAGCCTGTCATCCATCTATCTCTTGCTATTAGAGGAATCTTGTGCAGGTTCTTGTATAGGAAAATATTATTAGAGAAAATTTGTTGTAAGTCGAAAAATGTATGTGAATATTTTGACTTGATCAATGTGAATTAAATGAAAGAGGAGATAGTAATAAAATTTAATAAAAAAATAAGACATTTATGCATAAATGTACTAAACATGAATACAGAACGTCGAAATAAAGTAAATAGACTGAAGGTTTTATCATATGACACATAACACGTTGACTCCAAAGTGGTACATATGCGCATGGTTGAACTATATAAGGTTGACTCACGAGGTTTTCCGTCTTTCAGTTCAGCTTTCTTGTTACGTCACTGAGATCGAGAAACGTAAGCAATCCTGTCATTCCCATGACGGATTGGTCGACGAGTTTGATCGCATATCTGTGATTCGTTAATGCCTGTAACCGAAATCAGTGACGTCACAGGGGAACAACAAACTACATCCGCAAAAATGAGCTTCTCATGGGTCAACCTTATACTAGTTCAGCCATGCATATGCGTACCACGAAATGTAGTTCTCCAGGACGTAGTGGTACATAATTCAGGGTTGCCAGATGGCCTAAAAAACGGCCAAGTCCGCGAACAAAAAAGGCCTGTAAATCGATATATTAGTATATTTACAGGTTCCGGTGTGAAAATTCAATTTCTCGTTTTTAGGTGTAACCCTATCAGGAAGTAGTAGCTATCATAAATTTTAGCCGACCAACGCTATTGAAAAAATTAAATCGCGGACTTTTGTCCGGGAAGAAAAGACCGTCTGGCAACCCTGTTTTATAACACTAAAAATGAAATAATAGTTCAAGATGAAGCAATTGGAGTCAACGTGTTAAAGTGCGTCAGGTCACTGTTGAAACACATAACCCGGTTCACATTTAGCCCAAATTTCTATCGTGACTTCATAGAAGCAGGGTACACAAAAGGCGAAAATTATTTTGGATCTAATATGTAAATAGTTTTATACAAAAGTAAGATGTATATATTAAACCTGTTTTATCAGGATTTAAATTTTAAATTTTATTTAAACCTGTTTTTACATTAAATGGAGTTCACTATATACACACAATTCTTTCAACATTTTTTAACTATTTCTAAAATTGGTCAAAGATACAAATTTGTACAGAGTCTAAGCCACAAACGTATTTTCTGGTGAAATATAAGCAATATAAAACCAATTGAAGAAAAATACCAAGAATATTTTTGAATGAACATTATTTAGACTAATTCGAGTATCACGGACGCTCTACTCTTTTTAAATATCTTGTATAAATGCAAGGAATAGGGTAACAGCCACTTCACACGCGACAATTTCGAATGACGTTGACAAATATTAATCGCAGCATCACATTCTCAGTCTGTTTTAAAAGAAGCAATGGCAAGAAAACTTGTTAATCATTATTGGGGCAGGAAGCAAGAGCATCTTCATCAGATGATCTTGCAATTTTTGGAACGCAATTACTCCTAGGATGTTATAATATTGTTTTCACACCAATTGAACGAAAAACCAAATTTAAAGCGTTTTTGTAAGAACGAAAATAATCATAAGAAGAGTAAAGCTGCATTTAAATATACGAGTTCCTCTCATAAAAATAATCGAATAATGAGTTATGGTTGAGGCGCGTATGGCAATGCGTTCAGCTGTGGAATCAACCCATTCCACATGTAATCGATATATTTCACATTGAAAAATTATTATTAACTATATTGCTGCATTTGTACAGAAACTCGTTCGGTCCGACTAGCTTCAGTTTTATTTACATTACTTTTTTCTTTTTGGCTTATTTCATGCAAGGGAAAGGAAACTGTGGTAAAGTATTTTTGACTCCGTTATTAAAATATTCTTTAGATACAATTTTATAAGTTGATCCTAACAGGCGGGTCAGGCTTCTATAAGCCAAACAATGGTCTCTAGTTTTTATAACTTTTTCACTGAATCTCAAAGAGATCCAGCAGTGAGAACCTACACGAATTTGTGGGTCAGCCAATGTAATAAATTTCTGAGAACAACTTGAATCGCACAGTCTGCAATTTTGTTGAGAGTCTGAATCAACTGCGAGTATGTTTGCTGTGGTCAGGTTCTTGTGACAGGTTGTACAGAAAGCTTTATCATCCAACGGGATGCAATCGTATGGAGAAAAAACCGCTTTACATAACTTGCATCGAGTTCGAAGATCCTGCAAAAAAATTAACAAATATTTCCCTTTGCAGTGAAAACCAAATGATGCAGAACATGAATAGCTTGAAACTCACTCGTTGCCAATTATTCTCAGAATTTCAATACTAAATCGTAAAGCTTCGTGTTCACGAACTTTCATAGAAGAACCTTTCTACAAGCATTAGTTTATAAATAGCCATTGAATGAAGTATTATAACTCTATCCCATAGAATAAACCAGTAACGTTGCGAAAATTTGTTCAGTGTAGTTGCTATAAGTGTGTTTTGCAAATACAGATGTGAAAATACTGAAAATTTTTACACTGCGCTGTAACGAAATTTTTTATCAATGTTAAGCACCAACCTACTTTAAAAGCTAAATTCCAGTCTACATAAAAAACTATAACGAATAAGCCACCTGCTGCTAATTAATTTTAACCAACTTCATAATCAAAAACAAAGCGTGCCATACGTATAGATATTACCTAAACTTATCTGCCCCGTAGTTGGTAGGTTTCTTACTCACCTGAGTTACTTTCTTGCACCCTATGGGGATGATCTCTGCCATCTTCATCCATGCGGCCGCACAGCTTTGGGGACTACGCTGGTCGAAGTGCTGGTCCATGCAACCTGCTGCAACGCTTTCACAGCAGAATATGCAAAAGGGCGAAACTCCATATGCTTTCATAGCACAACAATTTAAATGATGAGCCACTTTGTACAGATGTTCACAATAAACTTCAAATTTTTTAGAACATAGTTTGCAAACCAAGGTTGATGCGACTTGTACCTGAAAAACAACCGATCAATTATGACGAATAATAACTCCCCAGTAATGTTATCTACCATCTATTTCTATAAAATCTATAAAAATATATATAAAATTTCATGTTGCAATATTGGGAATGGGGAAAGTGTTGAAATGGAAAAATATATTGCATTAATTGGAAACTGCAAATCACATTTTCACCTTAGTTACGGAATAATACCCAAGCACAAAAACTACCAATACATCAAAATGATTGCGGAACTTTACCTTGAGACCGTCTGAGAATTCTTGCCTCAATTCAAGTCTGCAAACCAATACCTGTTTCAGAATATTATCAACAGATTTTTGGGTAAACTTTCTGAGGGGTAAGAGATGCTGGACGATCGCCGTCATATTACCCACCGTGTATGGTACCCTAGAAGGAGATCTGGTTGAATAATCAATCATGCTTCCATAACATGATGAATGTAATGCAAGTCAGAGATAAGCTATCAATAGAGAGAGCCAAGGTATTATTTATTGATAAACTTATAAATCATCTATGAATTTGATTAAATTATTTGAAATTTATTGGACAGAGATGAGCTCTCAGTTCACCGACTGATGAACACCAGTATAACCAGAAAAAAACTTCAATGAAGTCAACATCAAACTCAGATCATGGGTTTTTACAAATTTCACTAACTGAAAATATTGTAGTCTTCAATTTTAGTAAAGAATATACAATATGATGATACAATATGATATACTTGTAAAAATGTCGAATAATATAGCAAATTAGCATTATAGCAAGTACTACTAAGTATGCATACATGTTAAATATAAAAGACCAAGAGATTTATGTAAATATTTAAGGCAAATACTCACTCAAAATCACAATGTTGACAGATATATTTAGCATCATTATCCAGCAATTTAGCTGGCTCTTCTGCCTTTAGAATTGGAGTTCTTTTATCCATCATCAATGTTGTGATATCTTCTGCAATAGCTTCAGATGGAGTCCTTGAACCGAGCTGTTCCCAAGAACTGAGTGGCAAATAAGAATAATCCCCTGTTTTACAATCCTTCAGATCTTGGTAATCGAATTCCAGGAGTGAAGTATTGTCAGTATTATTGTGTAGGGTGTCATAGGAAAGAGATAATTCTTCATCTGCATCACAATGTGTGATTGGGTCGAATCCAAGAAATGCAGAAGGATGTGGGAGCTCAGCAAACATGTCAAATTCATTGCTTGATTCAAAATCTTGGCAATTGTCCAACAGAGGCGAGATGTATTCTTCATGATACTTAACTCTGTCATGGAATGCTGTGACTGCAGATTGGCTAGAGATCTTCAGGATATCATCAGCACTGTCAGCATTGTCCAACCCATCACACCAATTCCCACAATTGTTAGTTAGAATGTCATCATCTTCTTCGAAACTTGACAATGTCTCCTTGTCAAATTTCTTTGTTTTAAAATTTATTAAACTGCTTTTTTCTCTTAAATCATTTACTTGCAATCCAATTCCTGGTAAAATATTCTTATAAATTTTATCATTTTTCTCAATGTATTCAAGAGCTTGTTTGCACCTTCTGATCACTTTTCTGCTTCTCTTGTCTGACTGCTCATCAGCAAATGTGCTCAGCTCATTCAGAGTTTTTTTGATCTTTAAGACCAAGTCTGATATTGATGTAGCAGTTGATCCTTCAGTGGCTGTTAGAGTTGGATCCACATAATCAGAAGTAATAGAATCTTGTCCAATGGTAGGGACATGATGAGCTGGAGAGTCTTTACCTATGGTAAGAGGACCATCAATAGAAGTGGAATCCACCACTCCAAAAGATTCGTTTTTACTTTCATCTCCTTCCTCTTCCAATACTATTCTCCCACTCAAATCTCCGAAAATTCCAATATCACACAATGAGACATAACAGTCTTTAATTACAATCATGCTGGACTGTTCTTCCATCTCTATTACAGCAGCATCAGGATGCTTTCTTGTCAAGAATATGGGCGAGTCTTGGATATTTATCTTGATTGCAAAAACGCTACATCAGCTAGATTTCTATTAAACTCAAGTTATAGTTCATTGATTCTAGGCATGTTAGTTTTAGTTTGATGTCATAACAGTGATCCTGAAAACAAAAAATGCATGATCAAATTAATAAAAATGTATCATTAAAGGATTTTTTTGTAAGTTCAATAATGAGCAGCAAAATTTCAATTTAATTTGTTATTGATCCAATCAATGTCAACTCAAAACAGAAATTTTAGACATTTACATTGATACTTGTGAGCAATAAATAACACTAGAAATTGGGATAATCTTGGGTCACAATTTGTCTTTGAATGCATGATAGATTTAGAGCATTTCAACCAAAAATAAAATTATTGTGTGATTACCATTACAGCTGGTGTGTGAAGGGTTGAACTTAATACTCAGGCAATATCCACTGCATTAAAGCATCATATTAAATTAAATTGCATAAAGTTTGCTCCAATAAGTAGGATCTGCAAGGCAGTTTTGCCATGCCTGCTTGAAGGATAAGAGAGACTAAGTTCAAGTAAAACTTCATCATAGCAAAGAAATCGTTTATGAATAAACAAAGCCAAATAATTATCCACTCAAGACAGGAATCTATTCCAGTTTGGGAGTGTCCACACATACCAGTGAAATTCACTGTCAATGCGTTAGTGTTTTTAGTGCATTTTCTCATTTATAGAAAAAATGCACTATTGTGCTCGCCATGTCCATCTGTCTGTCTGTCCGTCCATCCGCGACCTCAAGTTTTCATTGACAAGAAAATGCGCTCTCTGTCACTCACTGCAGTGAGTACTGAGTTATATATTTTTCCTTTTTAAGTAATGACTTTAGCTGACAGTCTATACATTCCTTAGGCCAATGATATATTTATTACTTGTTGGGTATGGAAATTATCCAGGTTTATGTAATCCAGGGCATCTGAATTTTGAATGAATGCAAAGGTTTACATAGAATGATCACCATCAGTCAGTGATATGTATATTACTTAGATATTTATTGAAAACAATTGTAACAAACTAACTTTTCATAATAATATATATTTTTCATCAGAGTAGATTAGTGTGTATTTTTGCATATTATTGTTGTATTGTATTGTGTTATTGCATACATATTATTGATTGGTGTATTATATTAGTAATGCTTTAATTAGGAGGATAAGTTACTTTACTCAGTTCTCAGTTTACTACTTTATAATTAATCCTCTATATTTTTTGATGAGGAGTTACCAGTGTTCAGGTATAAGTTCTCAACTTTCCAGCAGCTCTCACTTTCTTTCAGAGCTTGCTTTTAACAAGCATCTCTTATTAAATGTCAATAAATGAGATTTTTCTTGACTTTAAAATATTTTGCATTTAGTTCTTTGGACTCCTACAGTTTTTGCTGATATACACCCTTTTTTATTATTGAATGTAAAACACTCTAATATACCCATTTCACAAAAATTGGCAATACAAAAATACTAGGCCTCTAAATTGTTAGCTTGTCCACATAGACATGACCATTTCAACTTGACTCATTTTTCATTGAACATGTGAAAACCACAATTTATTACTCTCAAAATAAATTCTATTTGATTATAGAAAAATATGTAAAGTTTCAATGATGTTTAATGGCCTTTTTATTTCATTTGAATTTTTCTAATTTCTCCTTGAAAACTCCCATGAATTTGAGATAAAAAAAATTAAAATGTCTGTTAGGGTGGTTTTTCTTCCAAATGTTCTTAAACTACACTTTACCTTGATATACCTACCTTACTGAATACAGTTTTTTATAGTTGCTGAGAGAGCAGGAAATTGGAAAGTTGAAAGAAGAAAAATGTATGGTAGGTGAACTAGCCAATTATTTGCCTATCAAGTTCATCACTTTTGCTGTTTTCACAATTTGCTCACATACATATAGGTCAATACTCGAATTATCCAAGTTTCAGAAAAAAGAATTGAAATGTTAGTAAGGTTAGTCATTAACTACTCAGTGTAGGTGTGGAATAACTTTCTTTTCTTTCAATTAATCATTCAGCTATATATATGCAAATCAAGAGGATAACTTATCATCAAGAAAGTATTGATTGTAGCAAGTATCTGATATATTACAGAACCTTAATGTGGCTCTGATTTTCGTTTAACACAAATGTTATTTTTGTTGAGTATTTCATTAATTTACAGGGTATACTATAATGGAATTTCAAGGATTTCATGGTTGATTTTGAAGTGACTCAAAGAATTAATAATATGAATTTGTATTTGTCAATAAAAATCTTTGTAGCATTTTTGGGACTTGAGGAGAAGTAAGCAAGCTTATTCTGATAACTGACATCATGGAAGGATGTTAACTGCTGTACACTCAACTCATATGCATATAAGTACATGTCAGACACCTGAGTAATATCAACTTGCTCAAAGCCATTCAATTCTAAGCTAATAAAACCTGTTTTGGTTAAATAATGAATGCTACGAATTGAATTTTGATTGCTTAAATGCTGTAATTATGAGAAATATTTACCAAATCTTTTTCCCAATCCCCTATAATTTTGAATATTTTAAATTATATTTGTTACAATCAATCACATTTTTTCCCCTTAAAAACAATATTCAGTGAATAGACAGTAGAAATAATGCATGAAATAACTTCATTTACTCAATTACTGCACCAATGCTCACTTATGCAGTGGTTTATCCAAAGTGGTTTTAACCATCATACATATACACACTTGCAAAAAAAGTATAATAAAAAAAATTATTGACATTCAAATCTACACAATAGTATTATATGGCTGCTTTTTTAAATTGTTATTTCTGACTAGTGTTTCAACTTTCAACAATCAAGGGGTAACTATGTTGGTTTGAAGCTCAATGTTGCAATGTCAAGGATAATGTTGCAAGTTCAAAAATGTAAATTTTGCAAGACATGATTAAAGATTTTCCAATAAGGTTGTCTTAATATCTGTTGTTGCTCTTCCTCGAGTTCATTTTTAAGTAGGATAGTAGACTAGCAAGTATCTTCAAACTATCTTAAAAACAAGCATCATCATACATAAGAAATTTAATAAAATATTGGGCATTTGAGGAAATTAAAAATGAACTGATTCTAAATATTCTATGTTTTGCCAATATGAAATGAAGATTATTCAAAATCGAAAAGCTACAAATTAGCTACTGCAGGTGCAGTAATCATAAATTCAGATCCTGAAGAGGATTGTAAAAAATTTGTGCTCAACTTTAATTCTTACAGCTTTGAAGAAATTGATTGTGGTGACTGGTGAATTTTGAATCTCATAGCTTTATCCTTGGGTTTTACATCTTACAAAAATTTGTGCCATTGAAGCTTCATCAGAAGTGCATCAGCTTTAATTTGAGAAATTTTCAACTCTTCAGCACTTCAGGTTCCTATTACCTACTATTGCTACTAAGAGCCTAAAAACACATGTAATTTCTAATACAATTACACCAAAAGAAACTGCTCGAAATAAGTCGAAATAATTTGTAGGCAATTCATTTATACATGAATATAAGTTATTTAATTATCAACAACAGAATCAACCAGCAGTCAACACAGAAAAAGTTTCATCCTTTCTATCATTTTACCAACTCAGTCTCAGCCTGATTTCTGCAAAGATTTTGTATGTTTGTTGTCGTCAATTGGCAGAACTACTCGTCATCACGATGAACAAGAAATTGAAAAACTCGTGCTAAAGCCAGAATCAAGTTCAACAAAACAACGAACTTAATTAACACAGAGTGAACGTAGAAGAAATGCCGCTTCCGCAACAGACTTACTTCTTGTGCGTGGTTCTAATGGTTCTATCAAAGATATGAGCAGGCGTACCAATTGCAATCGATATGAGTTGGCGCCAAATTCAAATTGTGAACCTTCAACTAACTATTACTTGTAATTCAACTTACTTTGCTACTTAAATAAATAAAAGAGTTTGTCGGGTTGGAGAAAATATAATTTTGTTGCAAATAAACGAAAACTCTTTCCAAAAATATTGAATCATAAACCATACTGTTTAAACCGCAGTTGGCATGTCAGTCTATTTGAAATTTTTTACATTAGGGTATTTTCTTTAATGTATTAAGCTCTGCACACATTGGGGTCAGTGGCTTCGACAATTTGAGCATATCACATCATTCACCGATACCGGGTTGATAGAAAATGTCGAAATTAATATTGGTTACGGGATATTTGACGAAACTGCAGAGACACGCCTAGTTTTGTCCATTTACAAGTTTCCATTTAAGCTAAATGCCAGTTGAATATCAAGACATCATTATCATTACGCTATTCATAAAAATTTTCTGTAGTTGAGTTTTCCATTCTGGAGATTATAACCTTTGTAATTTTATGTAAATCTAAATAACTCCTCCTTCAAAAGAAAATTATTTTTCTCCATTACGTAAACCCGTGACCATATTTACGTCCAATATAAAGCAAATATTATATTATATATATAATAGCGGTTTCATCATTTATTAGGCCTTAGGCCTGTTTCCGATTCTTAACATCGCAGAACTTTCTCAGCTTGTTGGGTCTCGAACTCGCAACTCACTGTTCCACTTCTGATCTGCTTAAACCGCCCGGTCTCCTTGCCGATTCTAATCAGAAACTGGCGCACAGAGCTGGGATCGAACCCGCACCTGTCTGCTCTAATCTTGGTACTTGAACTATAACCACTGGGCCACCCAGTGGTTATATCGAGTGACATTCATTTAGTTTTTAAATACTGTTATCGCCCAGGCTAGTTAATCTATTTCAATAACATTTTTCCACTCGTATGAGCGTAAATCCAACGATGGATCCAGCTATTCATTTCCTTTTCTCCTGTGAATTCTCATCATGTTGTGCTTTGTTGACCGGTCTTTTAGTCATTACATTTTTCGTATGCCATTCATTTTAAATATTAAAAATAACCTCATTGCGTCTGACATATCTGCTCACTATTTCTAAAGTATTTAAATCTCAAATAGAAATTGTCATAACCAAATACAATCAAATTCTGGTCCTTATTAAACAAGGCAATTCAAGAAAAATATTTAATCCTCCTAGTAGCAAGTTTCAGCCAACAGGTGCAATAGCCGCATATTAACTTTCAACTTTCGCACTGCAAGTAACATAGTCCTAAGTTATACTTCCTAACGAATCATAAGATCTAAAACATACATGCCTTAAGCGTGAAGCAAATCACTAAGTTACTCATCAGAAGCAAGCTCGAATGGTTCAGCGAAAATGAAAAGCAAGTTCAGTAGCCGAAATTTTATGTACACAAATAAGTTTCAACAATAAAGGTTAATAAGAATTAGCCTCGTGAAAAACTTTTATGGATAGCATCGCAAGTCTTAGTCATCTTTCAAAACTGAGCAAAATAACACGAATAATTAGTTTCACCTAAAATAAAGCGATCAAAGAAGGAATGGATTATTGAATGTGGATTCACTTACCCCGAAGAAACTCAAACAGACATGAAAAATAATAACTAACAAAAAGCATTTCTCAACTGTACAACACTACTTTTTCAAACATCAGGATCGATCATAAACGACCAGATAAAATGTAGCTGCATCTGTCAACTCTTTCTGAATGATATAAATTGGTATTTAGCCACATAAATATAGCTTGATTAACCTTACACAAAATTGCATAGACTTTTAGTAAACATAAACATAGTCTCAAGGAATCCTTGATAATCAAATCAATCAACATCTAAAGGAAATTAATAAAAATATTGAATATCACAGGTGAAGACAATAACATATAACCACCATAAAGATCTTGTTTCAATAAAGAGATGTCAATACCTACTAGAAGTATTTGCCGAGATAACTGGATTGTGCTTTGAAATACATGCAAAAGAAATTGTTCTATAATCTAAATAACGCCCATCATTTTTTTCCGATACCATGCGCAAACTTTAGAAAATTTTGGGCTAAATGGAATTTGCTACTCCAGACAAATTGAATACCGAACTAAAATTGAACACAAATATACGAAGTGGACTCGAGACTTTCGAAAATTACTGACTTTCTACATTATTTCCTTCAATCTCTAATTCAGTCTTATTTTTTATTTTTTCCAGTAGGATAAATTTACAAGCAAGAACTGAGAATAAGGAGAGCAAAGCACCAACTGTCAGGCAGAAACGAAGTCCCTTGAACCAAACAGGATAGCCCGCCATAGACAAGTCCATGTATCCCGTAATTGCCAACCCCAGCATAACTCCTACATTCGCTACAACAATGCACTCCATATAGTGACCCAAGACTAGACTCCCACATCCCCACAGCTGGGGAACAACGCTGTAACCTAGGTTAGTAATATCAGGATTTTGGGGACTATTGGACGGAACAGTAAACCCCCATCTCACGCCCCCAAGAAAAGAGAGGATAGTGGCTCCATAGAATGTCTGATAAATAGCGATGTCGGGGAGGAAATGTCCGCTGGAGATCATAAGGTACGGCGACGCCGCGAACGGAATCAGGCCTGCCAACCCCAGAACCATAGCAGCAGCCGGAGAAGAGGGCACCTGCATAATGGAAAATATAATATTAGACATTAGCTGATTCATTTGATAGTGGTGGATGAGGAAGTAGAAGTTTATTTACTCAAGTTATCACTTTCACATAGACTTTACCCCACATCACACCAAAGATAATGAAATGAATGTCAACAACAAGGTTAAAGAACTTAATCATAAAAAATTTGTTAAATTATCTCACTTTGATTTCCGAAAATTTGTATTCTGTGAAACAAAAGACATCGCAAATTGATAAATGAAGAAGTGCACATTAAAGATGAAATGTTAATACAAACGGAAGAAAGATAATTCAAGTCTACGGCAAATGGAACCGGTATAAAATAACTATTTTAAAATTAGAAATTAAGCAAACCAAATGTCAGTTTTTTGCATAACTGACATCGAAAAAAATATACCGTACATTCGTGACGTTAATAGACGAATGGTAAATATGTAGTTTTTCATTAAGGGGAGCGTCTACCCTAAAATTGAAAATTTTTACTTTTTCGGTTTTTATACTAATTTTAAAGCTGACATTCTGCCCTATCCAACGGTACCACTGCCATCTCTCTACGTTGATTTATGATTTCACGACATTTCATGGAAGGGGGCGGGTGGGGGAGTTCTTTAAGTAGTTAGATAGGAACTAATTAGCTGCTGAGCTCTTTAAATATAGTGTCTACTTGAGTTGTGCTGCAGTTACGTGTTTTGTCTCATATTAAAGCTGACATTCTGGCCTATCCAATGGTACCACTACCATCTCTGTACGTCGATTTTCACGTACACGACACTTCATGAAAGGGGGGCGAGGGGGGAGTTCTTTCAGTAATTAGATATGAGATAATTCGCTGTCCACCACTACAAATATAGTGTTTTTGTGAGGTCTGACTCAGTGTGCCTCCGGGCTTTGTAGGGAGAGATGCGCATGTAGTTGCTCCCATCATCCTTGAGTGGAATCAAGCTCCAGAAACGTTTAGTTTGGAATATATGCTACATTGAGCGCATATTGTGGTGCGCGCGGCACTTTGTTGCGCTCTCCTCAACATTCACACTTATTGTCACGGAAAACCTATCTCCTCCTAGAGTTTTAAAGCTACAACAATGAGACATATACCATTCAATTTGCAAATAAACTATCTACAAAATGTTCATCCCGGTTTTTCTAGTTTGAATTTTATTCTGCAAAAAGAGGGGGGTGACGGGGGGAAAATCGAAAAATTTCCGAACATTTTGGAAAAATGCCCCACACTTCTACAAAAATTAGAATTTCAAAAAAAGGGGATGAACATTTTGTAGATGAAGACCTCATGCATCGAATGATATGTGTCTCAATGTTGTAGCTTAGAAATCCTAGGATTAGATCCATTTCTACAGTACCCCCTTTTATAGCCGTTTTCTAAGAATTTCACGTTTTCTTTCATTTTTTTCGAAAAATGCACACGAACAAAATGCGAGTTTTTTTCCATTTTACATATAGGTACCAAGTTTCACAGTGATCCGACTGTAAATAGCCGAGATAATTTTTAGGGTAGACGCTCCCCTTAAATTTGCACGGCGACCGCGTCTGACGCGGCTTGGATGACTACACCATCAAGTGAAATGTGACCATGTTAAGATAACGTGGTGAACCAAAATGAAAGCATCTACCTATATCTTGAATCCTATTTTATGATGCAATATAAAAATGCATCAGAAAATGTTTGTCATCTCTGACCTGTTTTTAGAACGGTGCAAGTCTATTCTTCTCAGAGATACAATTCATTGAATTTTGGGCACACAGATGTCGGGCAGTGGTGCGTAAGTGTGGCATGCATGAAGCATGGGTGCGCCAAAGGCCCGCTGGGCCAAAGGACGAATGGGTGGTGACAGCACGGGGTGCGATTGGGATAGAGTGGGATGAAAAAGAGTGGAAAAGAGAAATAAATGAGCGAGTGAAAGACTATGAGCTGAAGGTATGGAAGCAAGGAATGGAGGGAAAGGACTCTCTAAGACTGTATCAGATGAAAGCGATTCCAAAATATGAATGTATGTATGATGGTAGTAGAGGTGGGGACCTTCTGTTTGTGTTAGGGCAGGCGCGCTAGGTGTGAATGGACGTACATACAGGTGGAATGAAAGGAGAGAAGATAAATGTTTTATGTGTGATGGGGATGAGAAGGAAACTGTAGAGCACTTGTTGATAGAATGTGGGGCGTATGAGAGAGAGCGTCAGTCTATGATTGAGGTGATTCTGAATGAGAGAGGTGAGACTAACGAGGTGGAGCATGAGAGAACAAGCGAAGAGTGGATGGCAATAATTACGGGCCTGTCTGAGGGAGCAACTGCGGCTATGTTTGAGAGTGTGAGGAGATAGTTGGAAAATGTGTGGAGGATGAGGGAGAGGAGGAGGATGTTATGAGTGGGGTCTTGAGGAATGGAGGGTTGAGAAAGGGGAGGGTGGGAAGATGTGTGAACGTGCCGAATTGTTTTAGTACGTGGTTTTACTTTTTTGGGATTGTCAAATTTTTATATTTTTTCTTAGGACAGCTGTGAATATGGTATATTTGAACTTTTTTGTTAACATAAGAGTGTGAACTTTTAATTTTTTTATGCTAGTAAAAGTTTTTAGGCAGCGTGTATGACCGATTTAAAGGTCGTGACCGTAGGTCACCACACACCCCAATTCCAATTTCAATTCCATCACGTTCTTGAAACCTGCCAAGATGGCCAATGACCATTCAATCTTTGGATTTCATCTAAAATGGCAAACAAGATCTAATTATCAATTTCTAAAAAAAATAATCAACTAAACCACTCAACTACAAAACTCAAAACCAACACCACTTACTTTATGGCTTGCGTTTTTTAGTGCATTTTCTCTTTATAGAAAAAATGCACTTTTGTGCTCGCCATGTCCGTCTATCTGTCTGTCCGTCCGTGACTTCACGTTTTCGTCAATTTTAAGAAGCAGGCATGCATGTATCAAAGATACGACATCTCTAGCTCTAATGCACTGTACTAATCGCAATGAAAACTGATTTATGCACGAGAAAATGCGCTCTCTGTCACTCACTGCCGTGAGTACCGAGTTATGTTTTTTTTCTTTTTGGCACAGCAACGGACAGATTAGCAACGTGTAGCAAATTTGACACAAGTTCAGTTCGTCAATTGAGCACTAGCAATGCCAACAGCAGGAAAGCGGCATCTCATAAGATAATTCATTGGTGCTTGTATGAAATAAAACTATAAGCCTAGCCCTATTAACAAAAACTGTTGAGTTTACAGTCAGAAACATACTTATTATATGCTTAAAAAAGACAAGTTTATTAGTTAATTGTCCCAGAAAATTAGTATACATATAAATCAAATCAAGCAAAAGTTGAATTGAAAATCCTCTCACTTACCTGCTTTACACTGTCATAGATTTTGATGTTGGACAAAGATCTTTTAGGGCTTGTTGACACTTCTGGGAGGACATCTTTTTCTCCAAGCACTGTAGGACAAAAATATTTTAGAGATTGTAGGCAATTATTAAAAATTATCTGTCTCAATCAGCACAACAACATCGGTTTATTACAACCATAATTGGCAGAATGGACAATATTTTAGCATAATAAACACTGAACTATCATTACCTATTCAATTATATTATAAAATTTAAATAAAACTCCTCTATTGTCAATTCTTGTGGGAATAGAAACTAAAACGGAATTATATCAGGGCTGCCGACATGAAATAACATTCACTTATTGAATGATCAATTACAACATCAGGTCCAAAGCAGGATTCAAATTCTTAATGAACACATTGCATTTCTATGTATATCTAATTTTTTATAAGCACTTCCTTGCAAATCAAGCAAAAATTTCTATGCAGAGGAATTACTAAACATCAACCAGTCTCAAAATTTAAGGTCAGAGTTAACACTAAGTAACCTTACTAGGTCAATTATTTTCAGAATTTCCATTCACCTGCTTTGAAAGAGGTTCCAAGACATCTAGCTTGTTGAGAAAGATTTGTTATTAATTTTGATTTATTTATAATTAAACGAGATAAAAAGCAGGATTGTTTTATACCAAGAGCTAAAAACATTATGGATTTAACAACTAGACCAACCTGTAATCATAAATGTAAGGAAACATGAGAATAATACTATTGATGATAATTCAAGTTAGGCATATGCTTGAAGAAAGAGCTATTTATGCAAATTTTCTTTACATTTGCAATAAGGCAATATATTAAAAAATATGAATGATAAATGATAAAAATATAAATGATAAATGATATAAATGATAAGTTAAATACAGCTTACCTATACCGGTATTTGCAGAATTTGTTCATTTAGTTATCAATAACCTTTGCAATTCAAATTTTAAATTATGATATTTTATTTACGACAAGATTTGCAAACTTCTTGTGATAACATACCATTTACAGGTTCAATAAGTAACCTCATACCACAAATAATGTAGGTGGGTAAGAGATGACAGAAGCATGAGTAGAGAAGGGGAGAGCATTTATTCAACTTTCAAGTCTGAACTACTTGAGTCTAGTGAGATAAGTACCTATGCAATTTTTCTAACAGCAGGACAATTTCTTTGCATTTAAATTCCTGACGGCATGATGTGCTAGGTAAAAGTTTGACGAAAGGCCATAGTAATGGAGCACTGTTTACTGCATGACAATAAGCAGAATTTATGCATAAGCCTATCCAAGGAAAATTTTATGCATTTTCACCATTGATTTCATGAAGTCAAATGAAAAATTTAATTTATCAACAAATACCGTATAAGATTAATTTCCCAAATGAAATGGCATTGTCAACATTAGTGGGTTCATTCATTAACATGCACATGTTCAGCCAAAAAATGTTAACTAGTATTTAATTACTGTCAGTGTAAGAGTAAAGTCAAGCAATATTAGTTAGTTAAGTTTCACACAAAAAATACAACTGTGAAAGTTTTTAGCACATTTTCCCATTTATGGAAAAAATGCACTATTGTGCTTGTCATGTCCATCCGTCAGTCTGTCTGTCCATCCATCCATCCATCCATCCGTGACTTCAAATTTTTGTTGACAAGAAAATGCGCTCTCTGTCCCTCACTGCAGTGAGTACTGAGTTATATTTTTCAAATGTACATGTGAGAGCAAATTGTCGTCTCAGACAAATATTTCTGTATATAAAAATATTTTTTCTGAATGATAACCAGGATGTGGCACTGGGTGGGTATGCAGCCATGCACCACCAAAATTGTGCACCAATCAGTCTTGAAAGGTACCCCAAGCATAGTATTTCTGGATGACCACCAATCAGCCACAGATTACGCCATCTGTCAGTAACCAGCCCATGACATCATCTTGCTTTAAATATTAGGAACTTTACACCACCATATTCTGAAGCAAATAGCTCCAGGTATAATGGTTGTCCACCACTGAACATCAAATCATCACTTCATTCCCTGACTTTAAACTATAGATGATTTGACACACTAGACAGATATGGACTGCTTTGGTACACTCCATACAGGTGCTGTAATTTTTTAGCGTATTAGCATACAATGCTGGGCCATTCTATGTCATGCTACTTTCCTGAAAGCCGATTGATCTAATTCAAGGGATGTGATCTGTCTGGTGGTTTGCCGCTTATAATTTTACAATCCAGAAGTGTTGTAGGCTATGTTCTTGAGAGAAGTGATCATGATAGTCCATTCAAAGCACAGCTGTGGTGGTCTCTGACAGGCATTCCCCACTGGGCTGCTACCAATTCTTGAGTGATTCCTTGGTGCTATACTTCCACTTAGTGTCAGTGGCTATCATGATGTTTTCATGGAGAAATTCCCTGCTATTGTTAGTTCTTGGTTACACAGGGTGTTCACATGGAATGGAATGTGGTGGAATGGAATGTGGTGGAATGGAATGTGGTGGAATGGAATGTGGTGGAATGGAATGTCAGAATGTGGTGTAACCCTAGCCATAAATGCTTGTTGTATTTTGGGTATTAACTATACTTTCCAAAGTTTCCATCTTCTTAGTATTGGCATTTAGGATGATTGTTTTCACAAAATGCTTTTAGCAAATCCATCTGAATTGTTCATAATAAATTTATTTTCACCAATCATCACTATGATTGCTACACAAGCCACAAATTCAGTGCATTTTCCAAAAGTCTTTCATGACTATATGGCATATATGGTCATTTCTATATATATATATATATATATATATATATCATTTTTCCAAAAAAACACCACAGCCCCAAAATAGTGTTTTAGGCTACATTATCATGCCTCTACAAATCATCGATCAACTGACCATTGTTCCATTACATCCTACCATGCCCATAAATCTAAATGTATCTTTTTAATAGATGTTATTTTTTTAAAGAGAGAAGACAAGAAGTAGCAACATCTGTTCAATTAATCAATAGAAGTTCATGAAATTCAATTAAATTGAAGTTAGATTGCTACTTGTTATGTTTGAATAATTTAATTTTAAATGAAATTTTTTAGAGTAATACTGCAATAAAGATCTTTAATAGATAATTTTATTGTTTGTTTCAAGAATAAGTAGACGTATATATACCTTATAGTTGTTCATACTTCATACTTGTACTATTTTCAGAAATTTCAATTTGTGAATATTTTAATGCTTGCTTAAAACTGGTTACTTGCCTGGATGACAAGCATAGGGTGGAATGCTATGACTGTGAGTGGCTCTATTCTGAAAGGTCCAATATTTATCTGGGTTATGGCCAGGTAGTTTTTTTTAACTATAACTAGTTTCAAGACTTGTGGTGTCCAAAGCACCCAGGTGAAGTGGGTGAATATTAAATCATATTGGGTGAATCATAATTGCTTGCAGCATTTTCTTAACCCGGCAATGCATTTCGAAATTAGCTGGCAAAACTTTAACTAAAAATCCATATCTTTGCAATGCTGCTTGAGTGCTTGCACCTTTTGCAACCTGGCAAAGCTCCTCCCCCTCCCCACATAGTGACAAATTAGAGATTTTTAAGAATCTGTTTTTTTTTATTTCTACATTTACACAATTTTTAAACAATTTCTTATGTAAGATATACTGGTATCCATGATACTTTACAGGTCTACTCCTAGGTCTCAAAAATGAACTTGAGGGAGAGTCTAGAAATACTCTCTGCTTTGCCACCTATTGGCAAAGGTGAGAGGCACCTATCTGCCTCTGCTAGAAATACCACCTATTGTCAGCAGGTTGGGAAAAGTCTGCCTTTTTTCTGAAATATTGTGGCTCTAACATGGCTCTATTGTGGCTCAATATAGCCACGTGGCTCAATATCATGGCTCATATCATTTTAGTAGGTATAAAATCTTCCATCTCTACTGTCATGTATTTTTGTTTGAGTGAAAAAATTGCAGTTTGCACTTTGCACGGTTTGCTAACATGTCATTTCATAAAATTGTCAACTTCTGCAATCAGCATTACTTTACCATGCCCACCAAAACATCCTGCAGAATGTCATAATGATGTCAACCAAAATGTTTTGTTGAAGATTGCGCAGATTTGTGGTCATATCAGATGATAACAGCAGTCAGACTGCAGACTACTGACTGCATTAACACATGTTCAGCCTACAATATAGACAAATATTATTGTTGCCATTGTCTATTTTAGAGTAAAATTAGAGATTTGGGCTACTAACACATGCACAGACTTGGTAGCCAGGTAGGGTAAACACACCATATTCCGACATCGTGGGTAATTCCAACACTTCCCAACCTTTTCCTTCATATTAAGCTTTGTCTTAGTTCCATGCATGCGTAGATGGTTGAAATAGTGACATACTATTGCACACAATATTTCTGCAAAACACTAAGTCTGGCAGGAAAATGTTGAGATCCTCAGAGCGAAAGTCCACGTCACCCAGTGGGAACATCAAAACACATGTCAAAGTTGATAATGATAGTTGACCTTGCTCTACCAAATAGTGATGAACTGTTTGTCTGGAGACTGGAAAGAATGTTATGGTTTAAGACTTTTAAATAAGTCTTTGAATATATTAGGAATTCTTTAAGCATACTTGTATTTGCTGATTTTAAGTGGTAAATAAATTAATAGATGATTAAGTTAAGAGATGGTTTTAGACTTTTAGACACATAAAAACTAATTCCAACACAGCTCAGAATTAGACACACACAGGTGACAGCTTGTTCTGAGCTGTGTTGTATTCCAATACAGCTCACACAGGGCGTCGGAATTCCAACACAGGGCGCCGGAATTACGAATAATGATTTTGAAGCGCTGTTGGAATTAGTCTCACAATATACCAAATTTATTCACACAAAGCATCGGAAATTTGGAATTATGCGATTTTGTAGATTTGAATTCTAAAGGCTTTTAAATAAATAGGGCAACAGTTTGTGATGTTTAATCATTGCTGGCTCATAGTGTGGTGTTTTGAGAGTGACGTAAAGCAATCAGAATTTGAGTTGTGCATACAGTGATCTTTTTATAGCCATTCATTAAAGTGTCGGAATATGGTGTGTTTACCTAAATAAATTTGTGGCTTGTAAATGGCATTTCATGGCTGTTGACTGAGATATGGAATTCACAGCTCAAAAAATGGAATCACAGCTCAAAGAAATGGAATCACGGCTGGCAAATCCATAAAACCACAGCTCAAAAAATTCAGTCACGGTTTGCCAAGTAGGCTAGATCCTAGATGTAGTATTCCATGCCTGCCTGTCAGGCTGTCAGAGAGAAGGAGCAGAGCAACAAACTCTGGCCAGGTTATTAGTTTGGTAAAACCGTAAAAATATGAAATACAAGGTGATTTAGGCAAATTGATCATTTGATAGGTCATCTGCTCTCTGCCATCATCATAGGTGGAACTTCTTGGCAGGTTTATAGCTACAGTACTCAATACAGTTACAGTACTCAATACCAATACAGTAGTAACAGTACCAATCACCGATTAATTATGGGCATATGGCTGAACTCGCCGCTGAACTTCTGAAGCAATATCAACATATACATGTAGGTAGATGCTTAATTCTTCTTTTCTGCCTTTTGCCATTTGGTATGGCTGTAGAATATCTATAGTCTAGATTCAAAATACTGTTAACCTGTTACCTGTTTCATGTATTGCAATCAAATATTCCTAGATGTCTATTGTTCCTGTTCTTACTCACTTCCTAATCTATGTCTGAAGGTCAGCTAAAGCTAATACCGACGATACTCAACAAAACTGAAGATGTACGAAATGAATCACTGAGGCAAATAATAAGAAACAGTGAAAATACCAATTATACATAGCAGACACTAGGAAATTCATCAAGAAGCTGGTTTCGGCATTGGCGCATTTGTAATTATTATTTATTAAAGTAGTTACTAGGAATAGGTACCGTACATATATCATTAGGAATCATCCGATTGTCCAACTTTCCAAGTTACCCCAGATGCAGGTACCGAAAACCGAGACCGAAGAATTGAAATATATATATTAGCTACATCTGAGCTTTATTTAAATTCTAACAGATCAGTTATAAACTGACCCCGTTATGCAAAAAACGAAAGCTTTATTTAAATTCTAACAGATCAGTTAAAAACTGACCCCGTTATGCAAAAAAAACGAAAGCAGGCACGTAAAATGTGCATTTCAAAGCTGAAGTTCGGACAACATTATCCGGTAGAGCGCACTGAACGGACTGATTCATCTTGGACGTATGATGATGATGATTTGAATTTGAAGGCTTCGAGTGCTAATGCACTGCCCAGCCTGATCTCAATCATTAGTTGGGGGCAACAAGAGAAAGCTTGGGCCCAGCCACAAGCCAGAGCACTCCAGGCAGGGAAGTGTCATCAACTAGTACCGGACACTTGTCACATGCTTCAGAATGTAGAAGAAAAAAAAAATAATAATAATAATAATAAGTATAAATACAAAAAAAAAATAATAATAATAAGATGGAGCATGCAAGATGGTGCAACATGCCTCTTTGCAGAGACGTAGAGTAGCATCATGACATCATGGTGCTGCATGCAAAACTAGACCAACCAATAGAAGATATGTAGACATGCAAGATTGGAGTCAGTGAGAAAAAAAATAATAATAATAATAATAATAATAATAAAATAAAATAAAAATAATATTACTAAATAAATAAAACAAACTAGGTTTGACTCAATATTAGGGATCAGGCAATAGTGAGGGCCTATTCAATTATTGATTACAAGTTACATCTGAGCAACCACTCCACATTGCTGCAAGTAGTGCCGCAGGTATGAGAAAATTTGATGACGCTGCTTGCTGGTGACACCCGCACCCAGGGCAGCTTGCAGACCCCAAGGAAGTCCCAGTGCAGTCACCACACTCATGAATAGTGCTCTTGGGCCAGTGAACTTAGTACAGCTTAATATGAAATGATCTATTGTGTCTCCCACGTGGCACACTGAGCAAAATCCAGTTGCTGCCATCCCAAATCTTGCACGGTGAGCACCTACACCGGCATGCCCAATGCGTAGCCGAGCTATAGCACATTGTAGTGGTCTAGGCAAGGAGCTGTAATCAATGTAAGTAATGCTATCATCAAGGTTGTATCTAAATTGACCACAACCAGAGTTAGCTATTTGTGTTTGCCAGTATCCATGCCAATGTCTGCTGAAGGCCAGTGTTAACACTCGAAGAGACTCCTCAAAAGAGAGTATAGAGCAGGAGGACCTGTCAGCACTGTGTGCTNTCGTATGTGGCACAAGGTAGGGCATCCTCTAGCTACTAACTTGGGCAATTTAGCTTAGCGCTAATAATGTAGTCCTTTGTTTTAGAAGAGCAAATTGCTAGCAATTCTTAACAAATAAATGTCACTTTATTTTGAAACACATTTGTACCCTGATCTGCCTTCAGCAAATTATTTCCCTGAACATGATACTGAAATTTACACCCCAATTATGTGAGCTCTAGTTGATCAATTGATACAATGTTTATGATCCTGTATACTAATGATATTTTTCATGTGCACACAGTTGCTGGGACTTCTGCACGGACTAAATTCCTGTGCAAACGTGGGATACTGGGACTTCTGGAACAGCCAAATCCCCCTGCAGTCGTGGAGCTACATGGATGCGTCTCCAAAGCTCCAATAAGCATCAAACAAACAAACAAACAACTGTCTCAACGACCCATTGACCCAAGTCACAGTAGTGGCTAATTCTTCAAGCTGAAAACATCGAAATTTGATGTGAAATATATCTTGAGTGCAGATCTGTTCTAATTTATCTAACTGTATGTCTAATGTATCGTATGATTTTATTTTTAAATTTCATGCAATGATGGATACATCTGAAATGGATCTACAACTTGCTATCCAACTCCAAGAACAGTTTGAAGAAGAAATTAGACAACAAAGATCAAGTTCAAGCAGTAACTCTAATAATGTTTCTAATTCCAAATTAAATACCTCAAGTGAGTATAACTTTAGCATAAAAATTACTAGATTGCTTAAGTCGCAAGTTTACCAGGAATTTAAAAGAAAACAGCCAGAATATTAACCATTTCTTAAGAATGAAAACGTTTCGGAGTCCAGCTCCATCATCAGTTCAAAAGTTTAAAACCTATAAGAAAATCAGAATCAATTAGAAAACTAAATTCACATCAAAGATAAAAACATAAATTGACAAAATAAAAACAAATACACATAAAGAGACAGGCCTATCTATTTACAATTTCAAGGGGATACTGGATAGGAGCTGAAGCCTGAAGGCTGCATTTGAACCAGGTTTCTGTTTAAAAATGTACAGGTATTCTAAAATCCGTAGGTCAGTAACACCGGTCGTGTAAGCTAGAACTCTGAAATCACTATCAGACACCGGAACATTGCACTGCTCCGCATGGACGCGCACAGCTGAATGAGGAGGATGCGCAAGTATTGTTCCCGACTTCCCGTTCTAAAGCTTCTGCCCTTATGCTCTGCCAGCCTAGTGTAAAAATTGCGAGATGTCATACCGACGTACGCTGATGTGCACTGCGCACAAGTGCACAACTGTATCTATATACTAGTAGTAGTTCCCGAATCCCGATTGTGACAGTAGGAACCTGATTTATTGTTCTTTTCCCTACTTTGGTAAAGCATCTGAGACTATGGCTAGGGAATAGAAAGATTTGATCAATAAATATCTTCCGAATGTAAATCTGCAGGTGCTATTGGTGAATAACTTCAAAATCGGTTTGTTCTTAAAGTATAAAGATGCTCTCCCTCTTTTTATGCGTTCATCCCTAGTATATAGATACAGTTGTATGCAGTGCGCATCAGCGTACGTCGGCACGGTATGACGTCTCGCAATTTTTACACTAGGCTGGTGGAGCTGCTGCACTGGAGCATAAGGGCAGAAGCTTTAGAACGGGAAAAATACTTGTGCATCCTCCTCATTCAGCTGTGCGCGTCCATGCCGAGCAGTGCAATGTTCCGGTATCTGATAGTGATTTCAGAGTTCTAGCTTACACGACCAGTGTTACTGACCTACGGATTTTAGAATCCCTGTACATTTTTAAACAGAAACTTGGTTTAAATGCAGCCTTCAGCTCCTATCCCCTTGAAATTGTAAATAGATAGGCCTATCTCCTTATGTGTATTTGTTTTTATTTTGTCAATTTATGTTTTTATCTTTGATGTGAATTTAGTTTTCTAATTGATTCTGATTTTCTTATAGGTTTTGAACTTTTGAACTGACAATGGAGCTGGACTCCAAAACGTTTTCATTCTTAAGAAATGGTTAATATTCTGGCTGTTTTCTTTGCTTTTAAATTCCTAGTATAACTTTATTCTTACCAGTAAAGCAGGTAGTGCAAAAATTTCAAATTAATTTTTAAAACTCTAATCAGTTTTTCTTCTTTATATCTCATTGATAATTTACTGCATGGCAAGATTGAAACTTTCCTACATAGGTATGATTAAAATCATTTGGCTCCAAAGTAAAATTTTTTATACGTTTGGATTCTCATGCTCATGGCTCAATTGGGCCCTTTTTTTCATAATTGATAGGCCGTAATCCATGTAGCAGAAATTGTGCAGCTCTAAAAAATATTGGAAAGCTCTGTTCATAGCCCCAAAAAATAGCTAAACCCTATACTTAGAGTTTTTGACCAGCATAGAGTTTATTAGGCCCTTCCTCAAGTTCAAATGCAGAGAGTTTTTTAGACTCTCCCTCAAGTTCATTTTAGATAGGTACTATAAGTAGACCAGTAAAGTACCTATCATGGATACCAGCAGTATCATACATAAGAAATTGGTTTAAATCTTGGGTAAATGAGGCAATTAAAAATGAACAGATTCTAAAAAATCTCTGGTTTGTCACTATGACTGTTCAATTTTGAGTACTATAAGTAAGATAACACTTCTAAAGAATCCAGTGTCTCCAATGTTACACATTTACAAAGAATTTCTAATTTATTTTCAAATACCTAAAAAAATTAATTCCTAATTTTTTTATATTAAGGAGTAGGCTGGAGAGGAGAAGGCGTGGAGAGTGTAAACTGTAAATAAACAAGCAATAAAAAAGTTGGGTAATGCTACTAATAACAATAAATATAAAGAGAAATAAAGTATTACCTAGTGTTTTGGGAGCTAACAATATTTGTGTAAAAATGGCCAAAATTACCATGCAATAAATATGACCTAGCAATACCCAACAAAACAACCCTATTTACAGTACGGTATATTGAAATTATTCTCCATCTCCCCTATTATCCTCTTGGGTACTTTTATTTCATCAACCTATTACTTGCGTAGACCTAAGTCACCTAATACTTCCACAAACCTTCTCTGGCTTCTCTGCACTCTCAATCTTGTCCCAATACCATCAAATGGAGTAATAAGGGACGGTTTTGAACGTTTTTCCTTGATAACTTCTTATCATGAAACATTTCATAAACAAGTTTAAGCTCATTTTAAAGGTATTTGCAAGGGCTATTGTATGATATTCCAAAAATTCCATATGCTATTCGTAACTTTGTAAGATGCCAGATGCAAAATAAAAGCCTCCTGAACTAAGCCTGGGAATGGGGTAATTAGGGACACTTGAAATGAAACTAAATTTTAAAATGTTTGAAGCATGCAGATTGCAGAGTGTACTCATCTATTACTAACAGTACTCTGAAGTCCTCCTCTTCCTTTGTAGATGATTTAGATGTCTAAATAAATGACATTTTCTGTGATTTTTACATGTTTTCCATTTATTGATATGATATTACCTTATCCATACATTACTGTATTATTGATATTACCTAATCCATGGACATGCCATTGAGCATTTACAACAACTTTGTCCACTGCAAGCTTCATATCAGCAGCCATGTAGCATTTCTTCTGTATCTGTAAGCTTACATGATAGCTTGTAATTCCACACCATTTTAATTTTAATTAAGTCAAGTGAATTCACTACATAACAATGAAAGATTGTAAAGAATATACCTGAAACACAAAGGAATATTTTTAGTGACAACCATCATATTTTTTATAGAAAAAGCATAGTTTAGGTTAATTACTTTTCATTCTATGTTGCCCGGTGAACAATTCTATCTATGACATTTTATGCACAGTTTGGTAATGTCCAATGATGCACAAATTTCTTGTCAAATGAAATTTTTTTGCTGAGTGAAGTAAATGTAATCAAAATTTTTTGTTGTTATTGATTTTTTGGTAACTGGAGCTTTTGCTAACCAAGGCTCTACTGTAAATGTGTTTTTAAGGGTGTCTTTTATTACCCCGGGGGGTGTCCCTTATTTCCCCGTCATGCAGAAATGGCTGCCATTTTTTTCTGAAATCAGTTATGCTAATTCTGTCAACCACATTTTTAAGCCATCTCCTGCATGCAACTTTTATGTAAGTAAATTTTTTAATACTTTGAATTTTTTTTTTGCTACAGACCTTAGAAGGGGTACTTTTCCAAAATTTGTATTTCACACTTTTTTTAAGGATTTTTTTTAGAGGTAGTAAATGTTTGATTTCTTAACTTGCTTTATGCTACATAGTAAAAATGTTGAACTTTATACCATAAACTTTATGCCACTATTTTTTTGTTTCACAATGTTTTAATTAGTTTAGCTGCTACAACATTTCTATGAAATGTTGGAGGACTGTCCCTTATTACCCCACCCATCCCTTATTACCTTGTTTGATGGTATCTTGGATCCTGTACCTGGCTCCTCTTTTCCCCTCTTCTTATTCCAAAAATTAATTTTAAAATGAATGTGTGATTCGTGACAGCTAGCAGATACAAAAGGCCTGATGTCTGCATATCTTTTCAGTGTCACCACAGTCCAAATCCAATCCTACTATAAAAAAGTTAAATTTTCAAAATTATTTATTCTGTCAATTGATTCATGCATTGTCTCCATCTTCATGCAAGTTGGCAAAATTTCAGATTGATTGGACAGGTAGAAGTGTGTTACAATCAATTATATGATTTGGAGCAGACAAAATTATTTTTTCAATTTTGTTAATAATTTAAAATTTTTAAATGTGTAAAATTATTTATCCTGTCAAGTGATTCAAGCATTATCTCCAATTTTATGCAAGTGCGCAAAATTTCAGATAGATTAAAGAGGTAGAAGTCTGTTAAATGTTATATAATTATAAAATTTAAAGCAGACAAACAAATAACAAGAAGTGAATTTAAAGAGAAGCAATGTGAAAAAAAAATTTTAATAAATATTAAATATACCTGAAACAGAGGGTAATATATATGTGACAACCATAATATATTTTGTAGAAAAAAAATCATAGTTTAGGATAATTACATTTCATTCTATGTTGCCCGGTGCACAATTATGCCTATGACATTCTATGCTCAATTTTGTGATGACCAATGATGCATGAATTATTCGTCTAGTGATTTTTTTTGTCAACTGGAGCCTTTGATAACTGAGGTTCTACTGTAAATGCATTTTTAGGGGTGTCTTGTATTACCCCGGGGGAATGTTCCTTATTACCCTGTCTTGTGGAAATGGCCACCATTTTGTTCTGGTTTGAGGTACAAAAATTCCATCGATGAAGCTTTAAAGCGGCCACCTGTCTACAACTTTATTTTCCAGCAAGATTTCTTAATATGGCAAATATTTTTTTATTACACTTCTTAGCAAAAGTAAAAAAGTAAAAAATATTACTTTTTAAACATTTTTTTAAAGATTTTTTTGAGCTAGTAAATGTATGACTTCTCAACTTCCTTTATGCTATATAGATAGGTAAAATGTTGAAGTTTATGCCACTATTTTTAGTTTTGCAGTATTTCAAATACTTTTGGTGGAGGACTGTCCCAATTTAGCTTGCCATCCCTTATTTTCCCATTTGACGGTATCTGGCTCTGTCTCTCCCTTTTAAAATACAACATTATAAGATTGTTGTGCCATTCAAAGAACCATATCTTTATGAAACTAGGAATCATTTGAGTGAATTTGAAGTTTATTTTACAACCAGCATTGTATATGAAATGAGTGATCATTGTCTATCAGACTGTTGATTAATGTGCTGTCAAGAGGTTTTCTAACAGATTTTAGTTATTTTTTTTAGTGCTCCAAATAAAGTGAACTTTATAATTGGTTGTACCTACTTTTTATTGAAAATTAGTTTTAATAAAAGTTTCTAGAGGCTGGTTTGAATAAAATTGGTAAAATTTTAATAAAATATTCATAAAACATTAAAAAAATAAATCATGTTATATATATTCAAAATATATGTAATAAAATGTATATGAAATGACATATGACTGTACTGATTTTTACTTGAATGCTTTTATACATCCTTAATTTCACAATAAATTTTCCAGATGGTTCTGACAGTGACAACACCAAACTTACCGTATCATTGGTGGACCCAGTGTGGGAGTTGGTTGATCCAGCTCCTGATGTTCACGCACTCTTCTGCACCTACAATGATCAGTTTTTCTGGGGCCAATTACACACTGTGTCAGTCTCGTGGAGCCCTCGGATGACAGTGTAAGTTTCAGCTTAGTTTTTCATGAATTATCATAGGTACCAAAATTAGACATATATAATAATGTTGTTTCTCACTATGTGTATTTTTCTATTATATTGATATAGTATATGTTTCTATTCCGTTATGGTGAGTAAAACTAAAGGTTTCAGCTGTGATAAGAAAAGACAGGATTTTTTATATTTAAAGATGCACAGAATTGGTTCATTAAATCAGTTTTGAGTTTTGAATGAATTAAATCAACACATTTCATTTAATTCATTCATGTTATTGTATTGAAGTTAAGAAGTGTTGAACTGTTGAATAATACCTATCTATTTTTCATGCAGTGGAAAATTTTTATGCATATTACATGATTTACTGGACAAGGCAACCACAGACATTAAATTGTAGTCAATTATATACTATTTAAATGACCTGCAGCAATTGACCAATATGAGCATATATAAAATGAATTAATACAATTTTAAAGATTAATTCTTTATATAATTCACTGAATGCATGAATCAAAGTGAACAGGAATTTAAGGTATTTTCAAATGTATAGTATTAATAAATTTTAAGGGTATCTTCCTTGTATTAAGAGTCTTTATTTCAGAAGTAATTAATTGTATCAATTGTGCAGATGTGCTGGAGTGTGCAGCTACGAGGGCAGGGGAGGGCTCTGCTCCATCCGTCTCTCCGTGCCTCTCCTCAAACTGCGGCCCCGCAGTGACCTTGTTGAGACGCTCCTGGTGAGGACTTGGTATATCATTAGTCTTCTGGAATTGCAAGTTTTATAACATTAGTCTTCTTCTTGCAATAATCAGCTGCTTTTAATAATGAACTACTTGCTATAATACTGCTCGTAACACTAAACTAAGCCGGTGTGTGCAGCACGAGATGATCCACGCGTACCTCTTCGTGACAGCCAACAACAGGGACAGGGAAGGCCACGGTCCTGAGTTCCACAAGCACATGCACCGCATCAACGCCAAGGCTCGCACCAGAATTTCTGTGAGTTTTGTCACTAGATTCTTGCATGGGGGAGCGAAACTTGCATAAAAGTGAAAATTTGTCATCAATGATGCTTTAGTTTTCACAATAATGTCACTGAAATCAACATTCACAGTGAAATACCAGTAATTTGAGCAACTTGATTCGTGTATGGGGTGTATATAACGTAGAAGGGAAAATTTGTTATCAAATTGAAACATTACCACCAATATTGTTAAAATTCAGCTAATATTTTAATGCATTTATATTGCTCTGTGAAAGTTTTTTTATATCATTATAAAATTTTCCTGAACATACTCCCCTTTGTAATTGTGACCTCAAGAGTTGTGTTCTTGCAAAAGCTTGGATTAAATACTAACAGCATTAATATTGTTAGATAGTATAAAGTATTATGAAATATTTTAACTTGTGTTGTACATCTGTTTTAACTTATGTCTGGGAATGTTTTTATTGATGCCAGTTAAACTTAGAGCAATTTTTCTGAACAGTTAGGTTCAAATTTGAATTATCCTCTGTGGCTAGAAAAGAACTACTTCTTACAGTGTTATTGAAAAACTGTGAAAACATCGAATAATTTGACGGGATTATTTGCCGTTTCAAAGATGCCTGTAAAATTGACATCACTTCAACTATCATTACTTTGAGAGTCCAATGTAAAATTTTATCATTCTTAATGGCAAGGATAAAAGTTTTTTTTATCTATATGACCCCAAAATATTGTGAATTGTATTACTGTTTTACCACGTATTATACGATGAGGTTGGCATAGAAGTTTAGCATTCTTCACGGCCAATATGCAAAGTTAATTAATCATATCAGTTAAGCAAAAAGTACTTTCTAATTCTTATCACAGTAGAAACAAGTAACTATAATGAACAGTACAAGTAACAAGTAACTATAATGAAGTACATGGCAGGTATACCATTCATTCCACGACGAGGTTGCCGTGTACAGGCAGCATGTGTGGCAGTGCAGCGGACCTTGTCGTCACCGCCGGCCTTACTACGGTCTTGTGAAGCGCTCCATGAACAGGGCACCGGGGCCTTATGATAGGTTGGTACCATATATTGATGGGTTGGTATGACATTATGATAGGTCAGTACCACATTATGATGGGTTAGTATGACATTATGATGGGTTAGTGTGACATTATGATAGGTTGGTACCACATTATGATGGGTTAGTGTGACATTATGATAGGTTGGTACCACATTATGATGGGTTAGTGTGACATTATGATAGGTCAGTACCACATTATGATGGGTTAGTATGACATTATGATGGGTTAGTGTGACATTATGATAGGTTGGTACCACATTATGATGGGTTAGTATGACATTATGATAGGTTAGTGTGACATTATGATAGGTTGGTACCACATTATGATGGGTTAGTATGACATTATGATAGGTTAGTGTGACATTATGATAGGTTGGTACCACATTATGATGGGTTAGTATGACATTATGATAGGTTAGTGTGACATTATGATAGGTTGGTACCACATTATGATGGGTTAGTATGACATTATGATAGGTTAGTGTGACATTATGATAGGTTGGTACCACATTATGATGGGTTAGTATGACATTATGATAGGTTAGTGTGACATTATGATAGGTTGGTACCACATTATGATGGGTTAGTATGACATTATGATAGGTAAGTTGGGTTGTCATGATAAGTCAGTATGACATAATGATAGGTAAGCTGGGTCGTCATGATAGGTCAGTATGACATAATGATAGGTAAGTTGGGTCGTCATGATAGGTCAGTATGACATTATGATAGCTAGGTTAGGTCGTCATGATAGGTCAGTATGACATAATGATGGGTAAGTTGGGTCGACATGATAGGTCAGTATGACATAATGATAGGTAAGTTGGGTCGTCATGATAGGTCAGTCGGGACCTAATAGGTACAATCTAACGATATGTTAGTACGTCCCAATTATAGGTCAAATTAACGCTAGGCTGCCAGTTAAGGCGAAGTATTAAGGTCGGTTGGGAGCCAAGCGAGTTGTCTTCTTGCACAAGCTTTGACTCACACTTACAAAAATGATCCAGAAATCATGTTTTTTGTTGGAATATTGCAGCCATCATAACTTGATTAATGAGTATGAATTTATTTATAAATCGACACTAATTGTTTTATTGGTATTTTCCTGTATGTGTTTCTTTGTAATCAAGTAACAATTCCCAATCCCTTGTTGCTGTAATAAATCTCTTTTAGTATAGAGATTATTTTCAGTTTTATTTTATTTGATTTAATCTAATCTCAATTGGTTCTGATATATGGCAGGTGGTGGGCAAATCACCAGCGCTCGTGTGGCGGCAGCTATACTAAAATTCGAGAGCCTGAAGGTTACGCAAATAAAGGCGTCAAGCGGAAAGCAACAGATTCATTGAATGGTAAATAAAATATTTCAGTTTTGTTGCAGAACGTATAAATGACGCATAGTAACATTCTGTTTATTGACATAGTTTGGCATGGTTAAATTCTGTCATACAAAGTAATTTTCCATAGTAGCGTTTGATTAAATGACGTAAGCTTGCATATTTGTGTTGTGTTTATAAAGATAATTTTGCATAGTTACGTTCTGGTTAACTAGGTAATATTGTATGGTAAAATTCTGTCTCGTAGGATAATTTTTCATGTTATCGCTGTGCTGAATAAAGTAATCGTGCATGTTAACATTCTGAAAATAATTTCTCTCATGGTAACGCTGTGTTGAATAAAGTAATCGTGCATGTTAACATTCTGAAAATAATTTCTCTCATGGTAATATCCTGTTTATGTTGTTCCAGAAAGTGAAGTGAAACGCAACGCCAAAGCCCCCCTCCCTGCTGCCGACATTCGCCAGTATTTTACTGGCGCTGGAAAATCTTTGACTGTGGCCTCTGGTGTCACTCGCAAGCTCCCATCCACTGATGCAAAAATGCCTTCAACAAGCAGCGTGAAAATGCCCAAAGATGATCACTTAGCCGCTGGTAATTTAGGAAAATCCCAAGCCAAACTGCCGAATTCAGATCAATTTACCGCCAACAAAAACATTCGAGGATTTAGTTCGACTGCATCTGGTGTCGTCAAGTCAGTCGAGGTTGGGAACGCTTCAAGGTCCAAAATAGTGGGCTTTGACAAAGGTTTAAATAAGAACTCTAATGCTCAAAAAAATATTGCCGGGAAAAGTTTGGGTGCAAGTTTTACTGATAAAAAATCTGGTGGAGGGCTTACTTTCGGTAGTGGAGGTACGTTTGTGTTGAACCCAAGAACAACCACCACGACCACCGACAGAAAAGAAGCTGAAGAAGTGAAGGCCAGGAACTTGGGCAACGGGTTGGCTGTTAGTAGTACTGGAACAGGATTCAAATTATCAAATGGCAATGTAGAAAGCACGGTTCCCGAATCTGGTCGGCCTGTGTCCAGACTTTTATTGGAATATGACGCTAGAATGGCTGCGCACAACGCGCTAAGAGAATCAAATACTAGAGCTATTGCAAGCAAAAAAGGAAACCAAGGTGACCCTAGGACTTCTAGTTCTCGTGGTTGTAGTGCACAACTTCCTACACAGGGCAACTGTACAACTCCATCTGAAATTTCCGAGAACAAATTTTCCAAATCTTCTAAGTATTCTTTAAGCGATAGTGATGAAGATTGTGATACAACGAAAACGTGTCCGTTATGTCAAGCTTCTATTTCATCGAATGAATTCATATCTCACATTTCTGTGTGTATGGGAGATTGGGGTGAGTCGGAGAATTTGTTAGTTGAAGATTTGCCTCTCGTGTCAGCTCTCAGCGATCTCGATGCTCGAGAAATTAATATGAACGAAACCTTTGAAGATCATAAGTCCACTTCTGGCGATAATGAATGTAATGAACCGATAACTAATATTCCGACGGAATCACACAAAAATATCACTTCTGCAACCACCAAAAAAATTAGAGAGTCCCATTTAACTGGAGCGAACTCAGTCAGCACGCAGAAGATTGTGGATAGCAGCAAGCCTTTAAGAAATATCGCCAGTCGAGACGTTGTTAAACGCAATTCCTCGAATGACTTAACTCACGACGAAGATTTCGTCTGTGTATCAGACTCTGACGACGAATTTGACGTCAGGTACTGGGAGAGGCCGGTGATGTCAGTAGTGCAGTTGTCAGGAAATTTAGCTATACTTGACATAGCCACACGAGACGCAGCCACACTTAATATTGCGACAACTTTGCCTGCTGGGACGCATTCCAATGCAAAAACCACGGCTTCTAATTACTTGGGAACTGAAATTACTTCGGGCCCTGGGACTAGCATGGACCCTTTTGGCGGGCCAAGAGCTGGGGTAAGTAGCGGGAGCGGCATTTCTGGGGCAGGTGCCTCGCTTGTTGACGGTCTTGAAAATCGTGACTTCGAGACCTGCATGAAGAAAAAGGATGTAGGATCTGCTGCTAAGTATCCTTGTCCTGTATGTGGAGAGTTATTCACAGAAGATTACATCACCAATACTCATATTGATACTCATTTCGGTTGAAGCTTGAACATTATTTTCGGCTACATCACAAATGAGTAATCCAGAGCGCAGAGGAGTTGTAGGTTGTTGCATCATAGAGGGCTTTGATTTTTATTTTTCCAATGTTACACAGAACTTCAACTTTTTTTGGCTAAGAATCGGAACGTTTGTTCACAAGAGGCTGCGACGTATATTTTTAAAATGTGAATACAAATCTCTGTTTTCTGCTATGAAGCACACTAAAAAAATTTCGTTTGTTGCATCATAGATGGCTTTGATTTTTTTTTGTACCCAGAACGTTCTTTTGGCTAAGAATCGGAAAATACAAAGTTTGTAGTTTGTTCACGAGAGGCTGTGATTTATATTTTTTTAAATGTGAATTCAAAACTTTCTTTAAATTTGAATACAAAACTTTGATTTCTGTTATGAATCACAAAAAACTGTAGTTTGTTGCATCATACGAGGCTGTGATTTGAATTTTGTAAATGTTTCCATCTTTTAAATAGTCTTTCTATCCTCCTATTATCAAATTGCTAAAATACACGATAATTTCCGTTACTTTTGGGCGAACTATAAATAAGTGAACTGTTCGAACGGTTAAAAACCGCATTGAAGATGTAAATGGAATTATGCGTGTGAGTTACGGGTTCGAGCTCCGGCTAGCTGTAAAGAATTCTTGTCGATGTCTGCAAGTTGGCCAGGGCGGTTAAAAATAACTAAACTGCATCAGTGACAAGCGTGTTCGAGACCCAGATATCTTTGAAAATGAAAATTCTTTGATGTGTCGCTGGCTATGTTTACGATTGACTAGTCATAGAATGATCAACAGCGATATTGGTATTTGCGGTTAAAAGTATTTAGCTGTGGCCTCATAGCAACGGTTCCTCAATTCACTAAACTAGACGAGTCCTATAACTCTGCATCGAACCTAGATTACTAATCTACTTACAAGCATCAATAAAAACCGTTAGCCGTTGCGAATGGCTGTCCTGAGGCTTCGTGACTTCCTTGTCGTGACCGGATTTTCTCTTAATTAATTGGCCGGATGGTCAATCATCCAATTCTAATTGGTAATTGATTGATACGAGTCCAGGCAAGCGTTGTGCAGAACGTAATTCACTCAGAAATATGTACGGGTCATATTGTCTCCATAGTGACACGATTTCTGCGCGTGACACTGATACACTATTTGCCGAGCCATACTGGGGCAGGATGAACCACACGGGGGAAGAAAGTGCATCGATATTTGAATAAAGTTCCATTAAGTTCTCTGAGTGCATAGTTGCCTGATGTCTCAATGATAAACCAAGCCAATGTTCGAGCCATTACATATTTAATACATTATTGACATTATCCATCCCGTCGCACGCGATATATAATTTTTATTGTCTTGATGATGCGGTCGCAGTTAGGGAATGAATAAGTTCGTTCCTTCGAAACACGAGGAAGAAGAGAATATTTTGTTTTATCTATAGAAGCACTTAATTATGACAGAAATAAATATTTGTGACGAAATGGTACTTGAATATGAAGAAAATTTAAATAGCAATTGGTGTGTCTGATTCGTCGCTATTGATCTAAATAGAAAGAAAACATTTTAGAAAAGAAAATTTATGCGTTGAAGATTCTACCAAAATGCTGCTGCATTGACACTTTTGGCCCGGAATTTAGCCTGGATTTTGACCCTAAATTTTCTACCTACCAAATGGTAGCAACTTTTTACGCATAAAATCTTGCAATCTCAATGCAGGTTCTCATTGAAAGTTAAAGCTTTTCAATAACAATAAAAATTTTGAGCGCTAGCCTCGTCAGAATTTTTTATATTAATTTTTTCGATTTAGCACGCTAAATGCAAGTTCCATGGCAACCTTTTCAGGCATAAAACCCTCAAATCTCGCAGTCGATTAGAGTCTAATGACCATGCCGTCAAAATACAATTTAAATTGTACTCTGGTGAAGCAATGAAAGAAAAATATTCACAGTTTATATATAAATTATCTTCCAAATAAGCTTATCTTTTAACCAACTATCATGAAAAATCATTTGCGAGACGAACTACCGGTACCGTACGCATATTATTGGTTTATTTCCCTAGTTCTTCATTACCATTTTACACTACTGATACAAGAACAAGTAATTTAGAAATGTCAACTCAGTTATTTGCTATTAGGGAATGAAAACAATTAACTGATATTAATGTATTAACACATTTAATAAATAATGTTTCAATGCCTGTTTCAGAAATAGAATTAAATCTCAGTTTCAGTCGATCCGGCTCAACCGACCGACGGACAGAAGCTTATAAGACAGCCACCCGCCGCCTTGTGGCTCAGTGCGCCTCAGGACGTCGTACGTGTTGGTGTATTAACTTGATCACTCCGCCACTTTCTATCGTCAGATACTTGTTCAGCTGTGTCTTCACGGAACGGTAAGCAGCATTGAAAGTATGCCTCAGTCATGCTATAAAAGTGGCTTTCTCTGAGTTTGTTACCTCTCTCTCTTTAGTCCATGGTTGCATAGGTTACACCACGGTCACCGGTTTCCCAGAAAGGTAACGGGAAACGTTCTCCGCACAACAGCCCTCAGGTGAAGTGCCAATCCCTGTTCTTTTTTTTCTTTTTTTTACGACAAAGTCGTTCTGCTTCAGTTTATCCTGTAGAAATTTGACTGAAGCTAGACGTTGTCTTTCTCGGAAATTCGAATAAAAATTTCGCTCGGAATTTCAGGAATTGCAGTCGATTATTCCCCATGTTTTGGTCTTTTTAGACAATGAATGAGATAGTCGTACTGTCGTCATCTCGAGTCTCAAATGTTGGTGATTTTATATAATTAAATATTTTTATTTACAAGGTGCATTCACCATTCACAAATGTTTGGAATATTCGCACGTAGCGGTAGAAACATAGGCTATGTTCTTTTTTCAATTTTTTCATATTTGATTGAACAGAATTTAATAACTTGTGTACTCTGTTCTGATAATTTAAAAGATCTTCGTTATTTATACATATACTGTGGTTCTCTAAATTCTAGCTAACATAAACATATAGCTATAGATAATTTAATATCTAATTATTCCTTATTTTACGCTAATGTGAAAATAACATTACTGAACTTCAAACTGTATAAAAAGGCCACTGGTAGAAAATGTGCATGAAACAGGTTTGTGTTTTGGCCAATGCAAACCTGCCGGGCCTTCACTGCCAAGCTCAAGGTCACTATCAGCATATGCGCATCCCGTAGCATAATAATCTGCGCATCCCGTAGCATTATTATATGCACATCCCGTAGCATTATGATCTTCGTAATCCGTAGCATAATAATCTCCGCATCCCGTAGCATTATTATATGCACATCCCGTAGCATTATGATCTTCGTAATCCGTAGCATAATAATCTCCGCATCCCGTGGCATAAAAATGTGCACACCCCGTAGCATAATAGTATGCCTATCTCGTAGCATAATAATCTCCGCATCCCGTAGCATAAAAATGTGCACATCCCGTGGCATAATAGTATGCATGCACCGACGCAATCATTACGTCGTAGCATGGTTGTGACATGTGCATTTGCGAGTATACAGATGCACGAGTCATATTGCCCCAATATTGACACACTTGCTGCACGTAGCACTGATACAACCTTATGCCGGGCCTTACTAGATCAGGATGACCCACACAAGAGTTTAAAGTGCGTCGTTATTTGGACAAAGTCTCATTTATTTCTCAGATTATAAATATTTAACTTGACTGCGTTAAGAACTAAAATGCATGAATGCCTACGTTTTATTATCACACAAAATACGTCAACACTGAACATGCCGCGACAGGAAAAGCGTATACGCAGTAAATTACGTGAAGCCAGAACAGTGTAGAAAGTATAACTTGAGCTGGCATGTCTGGGAGCTCCGGTGAGTAGATACAGTATATAGTGACAGTGTACAGGATATGGTGTACGGAGATGGTGTATAGAGGCTAAGTCATCACAGGAGATATAGTCTATACAGGCTAAGTCATCACAGTCAGGAGATATAGTCTATAGAGGCTAAGTCATCACAGTCAGGAGATATAGTCTATAGAGGCTAAGTCATCACAGGATGCACGCATCCTCTTACATTCACGATTGTTCTTCACGCAAACTCACGCAGCTGCTCTCGGCTCATCAGCTCGCAAGAAAATGTCTGTATGCAAATTAACCTTCAAATGGCCAGAAAAATTGATAAATAATAATTATTTACGGGGAATTATAAATGGCGAATTTTGTATGGGGAATTATATTTAACCTTATAAAAAAGTGTTTCGGTACTATATGTCTGCTCTCTGCTCGTGCTGTGGGCAAGAAAGTATGCCACAATTTGGACAATAATACCCATTCAATTTTTTCAGAGTGCATGTGTTTTTGATATATTATTCGCCATCTTTTTATAGAAGCTTATCATAATTCTCCTCAATGCACTGCATGATATTTTGCTTGCAATGCGATGTTATCTTTACATCCTTATCACCCTTGCTCGCTACCTTCAAGTGTATTAAGTTAATGGATCAAGATAAGGAAACCTCAGAGAAATTAATGGCTCATTCTGTCCATAAACTGACACACTTACTGCACGTAGCGTTGATACGCCTTTTTATCGGGTCAAACTGGGTCAGGGTGACCCGCACAATGACAAAAATGCATTACTATTTTGACGAGTCATATTTATGAGTGTAGCTAGAGCGAGATAAATTCATTATTATGCGATTCAAAATTAGTTTTGTTTAGTGAAATTGATCAAGCTTGTTCCGGTCTTGAAATCTTATCCTGGATGTTCTCTGAACACTCTACATTTCGATAAATCAACAAGACTTAATTTGTCCGAATAGCGATGCACTTTGTCCCTTATGTGGGTCATCTTGATCAAGAATGCATGCCCGGTAAATGGACGTATCAGTGCTACACGCGGCAATTGTGTGTCAATCTTTGTACAATATGACTCGTCAATTTTTCTGAGTGTAATAAATCATCCTTGAACGCAGTGCTCGGTGAACAAAAAATCAGAATTCTTAGTTGCGACAAATATTCTTCATTAAACTTTTTATAGTGCAAGAATGCGAGGTAAAATCGCTCCAGGTATTCGATTTGAAATATTTCATTGTCATGCATGACGTAAATGTTCGAGTGGCCGAAATCCCACAATCAATGACATATTTTACAAATTCCTTTTTTTTTTGCTATTGTTGTTCTGAAGTTCTAAGATGTTGTTCTGAAGTTCTAAGAACCACTTATGAGACTAAGAATCTCCGTCTAGCCGCGCCTATTAAAACAATAACAGGCATCGGACCATTATATATAACGTTTTATAAAGAACTTACTGGCCGGTACTTTTTGTAGTCTTGTAGTTCATGTGCAATTTTAACTCGTTTTAACGTCTAATATTCAGTCATTAGACGAATTAAACGCTTTTTATTCATGCCGACTTGTGTGTTGGCCACCTTGCGTGTGCCAAGAATTCTATTTTTTGATGTTTCGAAATGCCTAAAGTTGTGTGATCAACTGAGTTCGAATTTTCTCGTACCCATGAAGCCTATTATCACTCAGAGAAAGAATGAAACTTTGTCCAAATAGCGAAGCACTTTTTGCACCGCTACGTTCGCACTCTGCTCGTGCCGTCGGTATAAGAAAATGTATATTTTTTGTAGAATATGTAATATTCATTTTTGTAAGCAGGCAGATTTTCGCTCATCACGGCATAGGCTGAGCTCGGCGAGGGGAAACTGTGGCTGTGAGGGGAGACCCGTAAGCGATACTGTGGCCCAAGGGGCAGCGCCCTCTGCCATATAGTTGAGGGTCAGACCATAACGAAAGCCTCCTGTAGTTCCTGTAAAATTTTAACTCGATTTTACACTAATAAGTTTGTATCAACTTCTTTAACATGATAATGGTTCAACAAGTAAAATATATTATTTTGCTAAGTCACAACCAAGTAACAATCCTATTACTTGGTATAAATTTCCATTATATATTCTCTCTTATATAGGAAAAAATTCAAAGGCAAAAGAACAACTCGAAAAAATTCGGGGATTTTCAAACGGAATGACTGCCCGCCGATTTTGAGACTGCCTGCCAATTTAGAAGGCTAGAACAAAACTTTCCTACAGTAATAGACAAAAAACAAGTAGTCATAGATTATTATTCAATGCAGAGGAGCGGATGATCATAATACCTACTATAATTTTCATCGCACTAAATAGTTAGGCATTATGATCAAACTCACCTTTGCTGAGAAAAAAAATATCTAACCTAGCGTTTTTTAACTTCATTTTGAAATTTACACGGGTATAGTTCTCACTTTTATTTGAATATATTTTTTTTAGTTCTTTTTTCATGAATATTCCCGAATATTGATAAGAAGATTCATCGCGAGTTTTTGCTAAGTAATTATTTTCTTATATATACGTTAAGATTAACTTTGCAGAGGCGCTGCTGATTTTCGTCTATGTTTCGCGAATACGAAGGTTATTTTTTCCGATTTCCCGGCAAACAATTTGCATTTGAGAGCTTTGTCCCGCACAAATTTTTAGGAAGATTATCCAGGAATAATTTTGCATCAATTTCTTCGACATGATTATGGTCAGTATAGAAAGAATATATAAGAAAAGCGAAATAATATATAATAAATATATACATTTCTTATACCTAAATAAGAAATATATAATAAGAAAAACGTTCAGTATAACACTTATCTTAAAGCTAAATGATACCTTAAACAATAGTGCATTTTTTCCGTAAATGAGAAAATGCGCTAAAAATATACCTCGGTACTCACTGCAGCGATTGAGAGAGAGCGCATTTTCTCGTCGACGAAAACATGGTCACGGACAGACGGACGGACATGACGAGCACAATAGGGCCTTTTTTTCCATAAATGAGAAAATGCGCTAGAAATGTACGTATTTCTCAAAACATAAGTGATTCTTTAGTGAACCGTACGTGGTTCTCGCCCACCGTATCATCAACCGTTGATCCCCACGACTCTGGAATCATCTTGCGTTGGAAAACAGTCCCGCAGGATCTGTTTGCGTCCGTGGATTCCATTCACTATCCACGATTCCATTCATTATATGCTGAAGGGAAATATGATACCCATTATGGTAAATTGATATAATCATAGAAGCACAAATCGAGATAATCATGGAGTTTACAAAAAAAAACATTGCAAGAAATTGTTCGCAACTACAGGATAAATTAACGACGTAAAATAGCGAGTAGCTTGTTCAAAATGTTGTGCCGATCTAACTAACTGTTGAATGTAACATGTGTCCAGGATTTCTGTAGCCGTGTTGTCAGCAAAACACGAATTTAAAAATATGTTGCATAAAATTTTATGTTGAAGAAACTGTTAAATCCAAAATCACGACGTGTCCAGGATCTCCGTAACAGTGTTTTTCACTACATTCTGTAAAACCTGATGGTGATGCAGCGAAAATTTGCATCACCATCACGAGTGGCGAAGCTGATTCGAAATTGCGCCGCGTCATCGCAGCGCAAGTGGGATATATATGTTCGCTATTGCAAAAAAAAAAAACTTAAAACCTCGGTATTCAGAATACTGTTACTAATTCTCATACTAACGTGATCTCAATGATAAGATAAAGCTATAATTAAGAAGGAGAGACATAGAACTCCAGTTTAGAAGGTAGAAGGCCATTCGAACCTATTTCTTTCGTGAAACTTAAATGAAGTCTCAGATATAGATAAAAAAGATAGATAAGGGAAAAAAGAGATTTAAATTTCCCCCAACCCCCATATCCATCCCCCTTTTTGTATTAATTTACTTCTTTGAAGGCCTTCTTTTTCTGAGTGGCCATCTTTCATGTTAGCAGAACAGGCACTGGTTTCCTTACGCTAAACTTCTTGCGGTTGAGCTCGCTCCCCATAACAACAATAACTCGTTACGCTTAAGACGTCTGCATTTTTGTGTGGAAGCTTAACGCCCTTGCGTTGATGAATTTATGTACGATTTACTTGCTCTTGTTGCCTACTTCACTAGAACGCAGCATAAAGTTTCCTTTAGATTTAGCATGCGTATTTATAAATAATGAATGTGGGTAAATAAGTATGATATGTTGAGTGCTTTGTTTCTTTTTGCCAATATTTGATTAATTACGCAACACGATTAGTTTCTCGATGCCTTTATACGATTAGTTTCTCGATGCCGCTTTGCGATTAGTTTTTCGTTATCATTATATATTTGCGTTGTCATTATATATTAGATTCTCGCTGTCACTAAATAATTCAACTCACGACCTCCAAATTCTAGTTCTGTGCGGTTCACCTCGAGGCTGAACTTTCACTCTAACCGAATAATCACGCAGTTCGGTAATTACCGGACGCGTGTTGCGCACCGCACAGATCTTTCACTATAAATAAACAGCAGAATGCAAGACTTAGGGTCATGCCGAAGATTGATTAAAATTCTGTGTATTGCTGGTAATTGGTTGCGGTATCGAGAATTAACTCGTTTGTCTACTGACAGTAACTCTCGCTACCAGGGCACATACTTTCAAAGTTCATCAGCCAATCATTGACGGCCTTTCAAGCAAAATCCACCAATCATAGACAAGAAAATAGAGCGTAAGTACTTACGTTTAATTAGCGAATTTTGAAAGTATGGCCCCAGGTCTTTATGAACAATCGAATAGCACTATACGAAGGTAAATTTAAACGTAGACAAAGCGATTACACAATCAACGGTGACCAACAATTTTGACCAAATAGACTAGCGATTCAATTATGTAAAAGACCCTCGTTATACTTCAATATGATAAATTAACATAGTCTGAGTCTCTGAGAGCGAAAACTTGTATAGACATTGCATAATTTCCCATTGATTCAACAATTAGTATGGACACAATTCCCTTCAAAGGTTGAATTTCTTTGCTTGAACTCCACTTACGAATTCAAGAACAATTCTTGACTTTCAAGTCTTCAAATACGTTATCTGTAATAATTATACGAACTTTTCTAACTCACCTAGAAATATAAAGACAAAGATAGTCTGATAGACCCCATGAACACATAAACCTTTCCCGATGCCCAGAGATGACAGTGGTAGAAACGATCAGAATATATTCAGATTCTGGCATTGTCTGCGCGGTGATTTGTGATATTATACAATCGCAGCTACTTGCAATTCTCGGTATATTCAGAATTTTTTATCCTGAAACAAGCGTACCGCTGACGTGCTTGTATTGTGTGTAGATTTTGGTTAGTCCCTAAACACAGCGGCTCTTCTTACACTAGCCGAACACAGCGGCTGTTCTTAGACTAAGCGAACATAGCGGCTGTTCTTAGACTAGCCGAACACAGCGGCTGTTCTTAGACTAACTCTTCTTAGACTAGCCGATCACAGCGGCTGTTCTTAGACTAGCCGAACACAGCGACTCTTCTTAGACTAGCCGATCACAACGGCTGCTTTAGATTTAGACTAACGCAGCACAACAGCAAAAAATAAGAACATTTACACGAAAATGTTTAAAAAATATTTATTATATACAAAATTTATTATGTCCTTATATTTTCAGGTGTACCGAGCAAAATGTGCCCACTGTACCCCTTCCACATGCTGCTGCTGTACGCGGCTGTACTCTTCTCCGCCTGGACCATTACAGGTGAGAACTACCTAATTAATAAATACTCTCAATGGATTAATTATCCTTACATGTTGCTCTGTTAATAAACTAAAAATTAGTTTAACCTGTTGCTTAAATAATTAGCTTAAATTGTTCTTTGATAACCATGACTTGCGTTTCAAAGTATTAATATCAGATTCAACTAAAAACAGTTGAAGTATCCTTCGAAGAATGCCCAAAATATTGTTTTTATTTTTCGATTAAAAATATTAAATTTATATAAATATTTCCGTATTTTTGTACTGCCCTGGACATATTGTCCAAATAGTGACACACTTTCTACGTAGCATTTATACGCCATTTTTGCCTGGCCAAACTGGCTCAGGATGACCCACCCAAGGATGAAAGTGCATCACGATTTGGACAAAGTCTCGCTATACTTTTCAAAGAATTTAAAAGCAAAGAAAACGCCAAGCAAATTTTCCATTTCGATAGTGAAAACTTTTCGAAGTCCAGCTTAGAATTTTGAATTATAAAATTATTGTATACATTTTTTTCATTGTCGAACTTGCGATGTAGCTGGACTCCGAAACGTTTTCAATATCGATATGGTGAATTTGCTTAGCGTTTTCATTGCTTTTAAATTCCTCGTGAACTTGCGATTTAAGCAGACTGATCATCTAAGTACTTACTACTAGCAGACTTATAATATAAGCAGACTGATAATCTAAGCAGACTGATAATATAAGCAGACTGATAATATTAGCAGACTGATATTATAAGTACTCACTACCATTAGACTGATAATATAAGTACTCACTAAGTACATTACCCTTGTTTCGGTGCGCCAGGGGCGGCGCTGGTGAAGGCGCTGTCGTTGCGGCCGCGGTTGGCGGTGAACGGCTCAGCGGTGCCGCAGGTGGCGCTCACTGAGGGCGAGGAGGTGGACGTGGCCTTCCTGCTGGAGGGCCTCCCTCCTGACTACTCCGGCACCCTCCTGCTGCAGGTGCTGTGTTGCTGCAGGTGCTGTGCTGCTGCAGGTGCTGTGCTGCTGCAGGTGCTGTACTGCTGCAGGTGTTGTGTTGCTGCAGGTGCTGTGTTGCTGCAGGTGTTGTGTTGCTGCAGGTGCTGTACTGCTGCAGGTGCTGTGTTGCTGCAGGTGCTGTGTTGCTGCAGGTGCTGTGTTGCTGCAGGTGCTGTGCTGCTGCAGGTGCTGTGCTGCTGCAGGTGCTGTGTTGCTGCAGGTTCTGAGGATGTTGTGTTGAAACCGTCCAGGCAAATGACATTAAAACAACGTTGATTACTAGTTTATGTTATTAAAACAACGTTTATTCAGCGTTATTTTAACGTCTGATTCCCGGCAATCGGACGTATGTATCAGTGCCACGTCTTTTCTCTTATCCTGATGTGGGTAAGAAATGTTTCACTATCCAGACAATATGACCCATTTATTTGATCTTAGTTCAGTTTATTATAAAAAAAACTTCTACTTGCATTTCTTCAACTTGATTGATCAACTTGATTCAAAATTTTATTGTTTCTTGCCATTCTTCTACTCAAAAAAAAATTTTCTGCGTCTAACTCGTGCAGGTCGTGACTCCAGACGACATTGAACACGCCTTCGTGTCGCCCCACTCGTTTAGAGTGGACCAGGACACCACCACTCTAGACCAGCCCCCTCACTTCCCCATCCCCTCGGGGGACAACAATGATACGGGGAGTACAGGGGGGAGGTACCTCACGGGGGAGTTCACCGCCCGTGGGGAGTTCCTCGGGTTCTCGAAACTTAAGTTCGTCCTCAGCGACGGCGGCAACGACAGTGAACTTGTCGAGACTCAAGTTCCGATCAAGGTAGGTATGGTGACTTCATATTGCAGGAGATTATGGTGTCGTTGCGCAACGAGTTATCTATTAACAATAATACGTAAATCCTAACCTATGAGTAATATATTAATAATAATCAATATTATTCCCGGGTTCACGTTATGAGGTAGAGAGCTTTGCTCGTGATAGTATGTACATCATCAATACCTACATTATAATCTTAATGTATTTGTATTACGGTATTATTATTTAGATTAGGATTATAATGTATTTATTCATTATCATTATAAATATGTATATATAATGTATATATTTATTGTTATTATGAATATCTATTAGAATTTGTTTATTTATTATTATTATACATGTGTATTGTAACGTACGTATTTTTTATTATTATTATAAATATAAATTATAACTTATTCATTATTATTATTATTATTATATATACGTGTAAGGTGACAATGGTTACAAAGTATATATTTACTATTATTATAAATATGTATTATAATATATTTATTTATTATTATTATGAATATTTATTGTAATGTATTTATTTATTATTATTAGGAATATGTATTATAATGTATTTATTTATTATCATTATGAATATCTATTGTAATATATTTATTTATTGTTATTATTATGAATATGTATTATAATTTATTTATTATTATATATAGTGTAAGGTGATAATGGTTATAACGTATTTATTTATCGTTATTTTAAATATTACTAAAATGTATTTTTTATTATTAATATAAATAATTCGTGATCACGTGTGCAGGTGGAGCGAGGCCCACACGTGCTCGACAAGATCTTCGTGCACGTGGTGGTGCTGCTGGTGGTGATGGTCTACATCAACATGGGCTGCACCATCGACCTCGACACCATCAAGCTCACCATCAGGAGGCCCGTGGCGCCTCTTATAGGCCTCCTGTCGCAGTACATCTTCATGCCTCTTGTGAGAATAGGAATTATTAAAAGCTTTTATTAATATGCAATGTTTTAATTTAAAGGTACTTAATATTGATACTTTCATCTTCATGCCTCTTGTGAGAATAAAAATTATTAAAGGTTTTATTAATATACAAGGTTATCATTTAAAGATACTTAATATTAAAGTTTACATCTTCATGCCCCTTGTGAGAATATTTCCTTGCTGTTAATTTGTCAGTTTTCTGGAAAACTTCATCTTTTGGCTATCGCTATAATAAAATATATAATAGTCCTGAGCATTTTTTGAAATGAAATCTATTATTTAAGAAGACTTTTTTAATATAATTATAATTTAATGTAATTTAATATAATTATAATACAATAAAATATAATATAATATAATTTAATAAAATATAATATAGTATAAAATAATTTAATATAATATAATCAAATTTTCAGTGTTCGTACGGCCTGGGCTACCTGTTGCTTGGGTCTTCCCCTGCCCTGTGGCTGGGGCTGTTCGTGACGGGTTGTTCCCCAGGGGGAGGGGGGAGTAACATGTGGACCTACTTGCTAGGTGGGTCACTGGACCTCTCTGTGACCATGACCTTCGTCAGCACCATCACTGCCTTCGTCGCCATGCCCTTGTGGGTGTGGGCACTAGCGCCCACCATCTTCGTGGGTGAGCGTTTACTTATTATATACAAGATACTACTATTTTATTTTTAACTTTTTTATTATATTGGAGGCCCACCATCTTCATGGGTGAGCGTTTATTTATTTTTTTATAAATAGAATAAATAAATTTCATTTCATTATTAATAAAATTTATAATTGTTATTTTATTATGTAAATAAAATATTATTTAGAATTAACTGTTTTATTATATGGGATAAAATATATCCTTGTTTTTTGTTCCCTTGTACATTTGTTGAAAGAGAATTTTTGGCAATCTGTCATATTGGTAACTCAATTTAAAAAATCTTTAAATTTATAACATATTGTCATCATAATAACAGAAAAAAACAATCTTTACTTGTTGATCAAAAATCTTCTCATCCCCGCTCAATTCTCGGTAAAAAATCATTTGTAAATTTCAAATTCATCCTCAATAATAACCCTAATCAAAATTTACCGTCAAAATTTACCCTTTAAAAGTTGAACTTCATAATATTAACTTTTTTGTATACACTTTGCTGCTGATATCTAGATTGTTCTTAAATCTACTTTAATAGTAACTAAAACTTTGAATTCTGTACCATTAATACAAATAATAATTTCTTATCAAAAGGTTTAGATATTTATACTGAAAGTCATTCATCAGACGAGGAAAGTGTATGCATTGTTTTCAAGATTGAATTCAGATTCAATATATCAGAAAGATGAATTTTCGCACGTATTTTTTTAAAGCTTCATTCACCCTGAGTTCATTAGAAGTACAATTAGCGTAGCTGTCGAAATATTCTTAAATATTTCCAAAAAATGTTCTAAATTATATTCCATGAAATATTTTTCTATAACGTAACCTTCCTCGTTTCTCCGGCCTGTTAATGTGCCTATTTTTTGTAGTGTTCATGTAGAATTACTTTAATTTCTCCAGATTAATGCAACCTTTTCAATAGTTGATGACTCACTTTTGATGTTACCCTCAGGCGGGGAGTTTGACTCACTTTTGATGTTACCCTCAGGCGGGGAGTTTGACTCACTTTTGATGTTACCCTCAGGCGGGGAGTTTGACTCACTTTTGATGATACCCTCAGGCGGGGAGTTTGACTCACTTTTGATATTACCCTCAGGCGGGGAGTTTGAACTTTTACTACCATTAACTACTACTTTTACTACCATTAACTACTACTTTTACTACTATTAACTAGGTACTACTTTTACTACCATTAATCACTACTCTTACTACCATTATCAACTACTTCTAGTTCTCTATCATGACAAGTTTTTTTCGGCAGCGGTAACTATGTTACTAAAAATCATAAGTTCTTCAAGTGGCACGTTACCTACTACTTTTATTACTTCAATGTGATAAATTTATTAGCAGTGGTAATTAGCCAAGTGATATTTATATAAATAATGATAATTATATCATAATAATAATGAATTAAAGATGATAATAAAGATATTAATAACAATTAATGCCGCCGTAGGTGGCGGTGTGCGGGTTCTCACTTCCCCTGCTGGGGTTCATGGCGGGGGCGGCGGCGGCGGTGGCGACCCGGCGGGAAGCGGCGGAGGTGATCGCCATCAGCGTCGAGACCGGCCTACAGAATACAGGCCTAGCCATAGGCCTACTCAAGGCTAGTGCCTTAGTTCCTCTAGAACTAGATAATACGCTAGTGCAGCAGCTCGTTTAGAACTAGACAAGCTAGTGCAGCATATACTCCAGATAACCGGCCTTCTCGAGGCTACTGCAGGCTGCAATTCTTCTAGAACTAGGTAATGAGCTAGGAAAACGATCACCGGGCATCTAGCGTTGGAACAACGTTGAATAACGTCTTGCTAGGAAGGACGAGACCGGCCTGTTGAAACAGGCCATCGAATCGTCTTGTTCAAGGCTAGTTAGGGACTAGTCCATCTAATTAACTAGTCCACTAAGACTAGTTAATGAGATCGTGGAATAGTTCGTCTAGAATTAGTTAATGAGATAGTGCAAGTTCTTCTAGAACTGTAGTTAATGAGATATTGTAATAATTCGTCTAGAACTAGTTAATGAGTTTGGTGCAATAGATCGTCTTGAACTATTTAATGAGATAGTGCTATAGTTCTTCTTTAATTAGTTAATGAGATAGTGCAATAGATCGTCTTGAACTATTTAATGAGGTTGTGCAATAATTCGTCTGGAACTAGATGATAAACCAAATCCTCGCGCTAATAAGCGAGGAATAATGTTCTCACCGGACATCTAACATTTAAATAATGTTAATTAAACGTTGTATTAATGACCTCCTCATATTGGGTAGCTACTGGCCCGCAGAACACAGGCTTGTCGATCTATAAACGATCTACCAGAAGTAGTGTCAAGCGTGTGCTCCATGTATGCCGATGACACAAAAGTTTATAATACAGTTAAGGATGCGTCAAATAAAATGCAACTGCAAAATGATCTTGATAGTTTAGTTGATTGGGCTGATACGTGGCAGCTGCGTTTCAATGCTGACAAGTGTAAAGTACTTCACCTCGGGAAGAACAATGAACAGCAAGCTTACAGCATGAGAAAACACGGTTGCAACGAGAGGGTTATGATTGAGAAGACTTGCGTGGAAAAAGATCTTGGAGTTTGTGTCAACAAGGAACTAAAATTTTATAGGCATATTGAAACGCAAGTTAATACATCCAATAAACTGCTTGGACTGATCAGACGCTCCTACGAGTACCTAGATATAGAAATGATGAAGCTGTTGTTCACCTCTGTCGTGCGCCCGAACCTAGAGTTTGGAAACGTTGTGTGGTCACCGAGACTTGAAAAAGACAGAAATTTAGTGTTCAAAGACGTGCAACCAGGATAATTCCAGGCTTGAAGGGCAAGTCTTATGAAGAAAGATTGAAGATTATGAAGCTTCCCAGTCTCCGTTATCGTCGCCTGCGTGGTGACCTCATTGAAGTATACAAGTATACTCATGGTTTGTACAAGGTCCCAGAAGGATTACTAGAATTTGAAACAAGAACCAACACCAGGGGCCACAGCTATAAACTAAAAAAACTGCGGTGCAACTTATCCACGCGACAACATTTCTTCTCGCTTCGAGTCACTGACATGTGGAACAGCCTCCCTGAAGATATTGTTGACGCTCCGAGTATGAACGCGTTCAAGAACAGACCAGACAAGGCCATGCATGAGCATATGTTTAGTCTTAAAATGCCTCGTACCCTACGGAACAACTGATATCTAGAAGCTATTTTAAATCTACCGTCCGTTGAAAAGATCTGATCAAAAGGCCAGTCTAGTCAAGAAAAGCACAAGAATCGGCGACAGGCCTTTCCAGGCCTATTCTTTAATGTCGAAGGACTATACTATACTATTGTCCGAGGCTAGTGACGTAGTTCTTCTATAACTAGTTAAAAGACTTGGATCAGGGCTTATGAACCAGCTTCACTAGATGTTGTCCTCTAGGAAGAGGTAATTAGAAAGAAAAATACTAGGAACCTGCCTACAAAAGATGAACCTGACATCTATCCTCAGACTAATGTTGTCTTCTTGGATAAAGCATTGAACCAAAACTGTAATTTTTCATTTTTTTATTTTTTTTCTTGAAAAGTGTATTAATTAGCCCAGTTGTTAAAATTACCCCAGTTGTTAAAATTACCCCAGTTGTTAAAATTACCCCAGTTGTTAAAATTACCCCAGTTGTTAAATTATCCCAGTAGTTAAAATTACCTCAGCTGTTAAAATTACCATAGTTGTAATAATTACCCAACTTGTATAAATTACCCCAACTACTGATCTTTACACCAACATTTTTCCCTGAAAATTTCACATATTACACGGAGTTCGGGAAACTTCTGATGTTAACAATTCACATCTTCCAGATTTCGCTGTCGTCATTTTCACCTCTGGGCGACATAGCCATGGTGGTGCCCATAGCGGTGGCTACCCTTACTCCGGTGCCCCTCTTCGCAGCCTACTTCGTCACGCTGTGTCGCAAGAGACGTCTCGGCAAGGGCTACGATACACACGTCGAGCTCGGCTCTGAGTCGTCAACTCCAACGTCATAAAACTAATGACATTGAAAAAAAGTGCAAATGACGCTGAAAAAACGTGCAAATGGCGTTGCAAAAACGTGCAAATGACATTGAAAAAAGCGTGCAATAAGAATTATTTTCGACGAAATAACGTTTATTAAGCGTTATTTCAACGTTAGATGCCTAGTGGAAACGTTTCTTTCAATTTCAGATACCCTATGGGAGCTAATTATTTCGGAGGCAAATGATGTTTAAAAAACGTCAAATGACGTTGGAAAAAACGTTGATTAGGAATTGATTTCGTTGAAACAACGTTTAATTAGCGTTATTTTAACACCAGATGCCCGGTAGGATTACCTATATTGGTATCACTAGTGCCTTCCTCGCCCGTGTCTGCTTCGTTAATGTTTTCTATTTTTATTTTCAATTTATTATCATTCTGTTATCAATAACTCTTATTCTCGAACGGTTTTTATTCTGTCATATTGCATCTCTAACATTTGCTGCATCATTATCTATATAAAGGTATCCTTATTTACGACTGCCTCGCAATGCTGTGACAATCAGTGAAAAATTCACCGCTTTTCTTCATCCTCTAACTTGAATATTTTTCTCTGTACGAAAATTGAAAAAAAAGTTGAAGGTTTGAGTGTATTACCGTTTTTGAGGGAGGGGGCGGAGTTTAATTATATTATATTCAGGTTCTGAGTATCACTTTTATTAATGACCTAAGATTTCCAGAAATCAATTCGAGTTTGGAAATTGTGATAAGCCGCGACCGATATCAAGCGAGGTTAACTTAATTAGAATTATTCAAGTATATACAATTATGATTTTTAAACAATTCCTATGACGATTTTTGAATTAACATCTGCATGATTTAGATGCAGATGTTCCTTCCTTGCGTTGTAAATTTTGATATAAATTTCAGATGTTTGAATGTGATCAATTTTATTAAGGCCGTTTATCTTCGCTGTTGAATTCCTTAACTCCGTGACTGTCAATTAATTTAAATGCATCATTTTAAAATTGGTTTACCTGGAAATAAGAAGCTCGTCGTAACCTATCGATCAAATTAATCTAATATTTCGCTTGTTCGTTCGTCTTTACTTGCAATCATCGATGTCGCGGTAGCGCTTATCGGTAATCATGGTTATAGCCTCAATTTTTTATTCTTAGTGCTGAAACTTTCCTCAAACTTGAATTTTTTGTGACCAGATCCTGCAGCCAAAATAATGTTTTTAAGCGAGCCACAGCTTCTTGCATTCAGTATAATAATAATTATAGGAGTGGACGTCATTATAATAATAACGATCAGAGTGGACATCATTATGATAATTATTATCAGAATTTAATGAATAGTTCCGTGATTCATTGCGATGCAACAAAAAATTTTTGCTGTTTGGGCTTCCTCAATTTTTAATAAAAAATTCATTGTAATTAAGGGTTTGTTCATTATATGTTCAGTTTTAAGATGCATTTTGATCTCGAAATTGATTATCTCGTTTAAGAAATCATTCGACGTGAGCCAAATGTGCTCAGATTCACAAAATTTAGCTTTGACTGGTCAGAAAAAACTGTCAGAATAGTAATTCATTCTTTTAGCCGTTCACTCGATTATTTAACTTAATTATTATCCGAATCTTTACTTGACTATTATTATTATACGTGATTAATGAATTAACTTGAGGTAATGCTAATTGATAAAAAGATTTAAATAGATTTCATCTCTGGCATGCGAAGTTCTGAACCCGAGTACGCTGCATTAATTTTAAATATTGCAAATAATTTGTCTGCTTTTCAAATTTTCTTTTAGATTTATTAGGCTGAGTAACATTTAACTGTGCCTTCCATGCTGTGCTTCGCAGACCTGTCATGCTGTGCTGTGGATGCCTTCCATCCTGTGCTGCCTCACTTATTTGTTTGAGTGCAGCAAGTTGCAGTTTAAGCACCAGACCAACCGTAGATTTACTCTAAGAAGTATTTTTTTTAATGTAAATTTTCTAATAAAATTACCTGTAACCTCCGAGATATATATATATTCACGATAGGTAATAAAAATTGATTACTAAATTTGATTGATTGATTTTCATTGCAATTTCTGAGCGAGGGTAAAGGTATTTTTGTTACATTTTAACTAACACTTCTTATTTGTCAGGAATTATATAGTAATTATAATATATTATATAGTTATTTGTTTCTATAACTTAAGTTGTCATTGTTCTTCATTTAGGCAAATTTAGATCTAATTGTAAGGCTTGATTCAACTGTAGATCTGAACTGTTGATTGTTTTATAGTTGTCACAAAATGATTTTTTCCTGACTGTTTAATAGAACAAATTTTAATTAAGTTTGAATGAAATTAAAAATTCTAAGCTTTTAATGTTTGTATTCTTTCACTGATTAAATAAGTTGGCCGCTAACTTCAAGCGCGGCTTTATAAGCGTGTCTTTAACATTACACTCATAATAATAAGTGGGTCGTATTTTTAAAATAGTGACTCACTTTCTGCACGTAGCACTGATACGCCCCCGGCCAAACTGCGTCAGGATGACCCTAACGCGCTTAAACAGTGCTTCGCAATTTGGGCAAAGTCTCGCTTATTTTCGTTAGTGTTATTTCCAGAATCTAATAATTCTTTTTAAATTGAAAATGGTGGAGTGAAAATGAATAAAACTTAGAAATTTATTTACTTTATAATCGTCAAAAATGCTGTTCAAATTTCACCAGTGTCAGTTCAACCGTTATTGAAATAAAATTTGTATAAATAACTTTTTAACTTCAACTGAGTATCCGTTCAGTCGTTTCCTAAGTGCGTTTTTCGGTTAAAACTTTAATAATTCAACATTAAATATCAACTTGCTCAAGGACTTCATTTGCTCTTCAACCGTGCAGTTGCAGCATGAATTTCATAACATAACATAACATAACATAGTGATGTCGGCGCTGCAGTGTAGGCCTGATGTGGCCTGTCGCCGATTCTTTTCCTTTTCGTGCCTTGTTCACAGAAGATCTAAACTCGTGTCATTTGACCGGATCTTTTCAGGACTGACGATAGTTTGAAGTAGCTACTATAGACTTCCACCGGGTTCGATAAGGAGCTAGGCATTTCAAATCTGAACATATATTTTTCCATAGCTTTATCTAGTCTGTTCTTGAACGCGTTCATACTTGGAGCGCCAACGATGTCATCGGGGAGGCTGTTCCACATGTCGGTGATTCGAAGCGAGAAGAAATTTTGATGTCAATCAAAACATAGATGAACATAGATGGATGTCAATCGTTTCAGAACTTGTGATGTCCGGTGATAGCTACAATGAATCATCATCGAATACGGCCTCATTCAATGAATTCATTCACTTCCTAACTGCGCCTGTGGCTGCACTGATGGCATCGATGTCAGTACGTGTGGCCGGCCCTGAATATTAACAGGATTCAGTTCATTTGGTCAATTCATTTATTGATAATTTTATGCCTTCTGTGCTGTGCAGTTTACATTATCATTCTTTTCTATTTATTTTAATTTTTTCATTTTCTGTTGCTTAGAATTTCTGAAATTTTTTTAATCAATATCGATGTTTCACTAGAAAATGTTCATGATTTCAACATACACAAATTACACATGCATAGCTATTTGCTCGAGTCAAGATCCAAATTCGTATTTCCGATAGCGTGTGTATTTTGAATTTTTAGTTGATAAAAGTCAAATGACCATAAATTTATACTAATTCAAAGAGTGATGACTTTCTCATGCATTTTATTGTTTGCACGTTGATGTCATCTGTGAGGTTCATCCTTTTCAACCAAAATCTTCACTCAGAAAATGGATGGGTCATATTGTGCAAATAGTGACACACGTTCTTACGCACCCACGGCATGAGCAGAAAGCGAACGTACGCCAAACTGAGTCAAGATGACCCACACGATTCAAAATCTGTGCACAAAGTCTTACATTTCTACTATTGTCACAGCCCATGAGATGTCAATTCATGCAATAATAATTCAAAAATAAATTTTAGTAATAAATTGATAACTTACGACTATTAGGGACAAAAAATACGGGCACTTACATATACTTTTACTAAGAAAAATCAAATTTTGGGAGATGGATCGATGAATTCCTGCCAGGAACAAATTATTGCTTCGGTCTACTTATAAAAATGTGCAGCTTCTGTTCATAATTTTATGACCAAAATTGAACTCACATGATTGAAAAAAATCATACACATTAATATTACATCATCATAATTGTTAAAACAATTTTTTGAATTAATGCCCGTTTTGCTATTGTCTTCAAACATCAAAATATATAGTTTAAGAAACCATAAGCAATTGATACAATCACAACTTAATCAACTAACACTTTCAAGAAATTTAAAACACTTAAAACTTTTAACAAATCTAAAACATTTGAAATTATTTATTCAAACAAAGTCATATAATTTATTTCGTCTCATCATGATATGCTATGTTAGTGCTTCTTAATTAAAATCATTTTAAAATGAAATTGAAACTGCCAAATAATTTAATCAATACGGAACAACAATATTCATCCTAAATAAAATTGACCGTATTATGCAACTATATAATTCCAAATGGCGTCCATCAAGTTCCGTCAGATTGAAACATTTATTTAATTGAATTTAAGACTTAATGTCATAAAATAATTAATCAAGTTCAAAATTATTATATATATGTTTACAGTATCATTTCAGTTATTAAAATATTTTAAGGGAATAATTAATAATTCTTTCATCAAATCACATTCAACCCAGAATTAATTCAAGAAATTATCTCATATAGTTCGAAAAAATCGAACCATCAGCCCAGTTATTGTGAAAAGATGTTAGAATGCCGAACTTGCGGAAAATGGTGGCTCGTGGTTGATCAAAAATATGTGATATTTAACAACATTCGACCACATACACAAAATATTATTATACATAATATTATATATACTGCTCAGAACACATCAGCAATCATTAATGAACTTCGGACGCAATTCCCCATAACTTCAAGATGAAATTACTTTTTATTTTGTTTAAATAAGTTTCGAGAAATAAAGTTTATTTGTGCAATGACTTCAGTGAAATTAGTCGTGTTCGTAATTTCATTAAATAAATAATGTTTGTAATATAAAAATTGTGCTTATTCTAGAAATGGCAATAACAGCACTCAATGTTTTAGGAATGGCAAAAAACCGGACTCAAGTTTCTAGGAATGGCAACTCTGCAAAATTTCGAACGACATTCAAAACATTCCAACTTTTTTATGGTCTAATTTAACTATATTTACAAATCAATGGTCTAAGTTAATCGATGAATGCATTACTTTATTCTCGTTCGAGAGCAATCATATAATTCTAGCATATAATGACTACACCATGTTTGTAATTAATATTATTTATATCTAGAGCAAAAAATCACCTTTAATGATCTCTTACAGTTCATCAAATCGCCGACTCCGAATCTTTACGAACAACTACGGCGTCGTCGTCGAGGAATCCTTCGTTGTCCTTAGCGGCGTCGTACTTTCGGTCCCGGTTCCGACTTGGGTCCCGGAAGTTCCTGGCTGTGGTGCTGGAAGCTGGAAAATGAGCTCCACGATCTCGGTTATTTTTTTCATTTCTCAAAGGAACATCGTCCAAGGATCCGCTACTGTCTCTGTTTTTAGGTGTTGGACTGATAGTGTATGAATCAACTGATGATGCTGTAACGGGGCGTTCAACATCGACGCTGCGGTGGGATGAATACATGGGGTTAGACCGGGTCTGGACCGTGACCCCGCTTGGGACGCTGAAGAATGAGTTGGGGTCCGATGAGGGTTGGGTGCTGCTTGACGAAGGGTTCCTTACTGGAATGTTTCTGGGGTTACTGCTTTGAGAGGGTCTGTCAATTTTGTAATTTCCTCTGTTCTGCTTCCGTGATTTGAAAGTGTATGCGAATAATCCAAATGCGAGTGCTACGGCTAGTACACAAAACGCGGCTGTTATTACTATGGTTATGTCATCAGTCTTACTTAAAAGTTCAGTTACCATTTGCTCATACTGCATTCTTTGTAGGGAATGTTTAACTGACAACAGCAGATAGCTAAGCCAGAAGATGACCTGATCATTTTGTTGATCCCAGTTCATGTTTGACAAGGACTTGTTCATTTCGTTCATTTTTTGCACGCTTAGTTCAAGCTCCACGACCAACTGTTCACTCAACTTATCCGACATAACTCTTTCAGAAGCGTTGAAGGCTATTTGTAGTGAAACTATCATTTCTGCAGCGTAATAAGCCTCTTCTGAAGACAATTCTTCGCTGGATTCTTTGTCTGCCCGAGCCAAAATTTTCGAATCAAATGAGAGGCTGCGTCCAAAATTTTTGGTTCTTCTGGGAATGTTTAAGCGTCTTCTCGTGCTTTTGGTAGTTTCAGGAGGTGTGGTAGTCATGGAGGTGCTAGTTGTTGTAGTAGTCGGAGGTTGAGTTTCAGAGGTTGACGTCGTTACTGATCCATCAGTTACAACTAGATCTAGGCTCGTAGGAGGAGCAGGAGTGGTAGTGACAGGAGTGGTAGTGGTAGTGATAGGAGTGGTAGTGGTTGCGTTGGAAAACACGCTACCATTTGTTCCTATGGGGTTCAGAGTTGTGTTAAGAGGATCAGGCGTCGGAGAAGGAGTGGATGCCGGTGGGACTGTGGGTGGATTTTCAATATAATTTTTTATATCCAGTGCTAAGGATCTTATGGCTTCGAGTGCCTCTTTCGTCCGTCTCACAATTTCGGGAGGGAATGTCACTGCAAAGAGATATTCATCATTAATTTTATAGCATTTGGCATCATTTGAGCTCGAATTTTGTTCGGATATAACCAAATCAAATGTTAAAGTTAACGTTCACGATTGTCATGGACAACATTCTAGCAAATTGCTTACTTTTAAAATTCATTTATGTTACAAAGTGAAAGGTAACTGAATTTTTAGACTTCAAAATTAAGAAGAAATTTATAAATTAAATCATGGAAATTAAATCAATTTAGAAAATAAATCATACTATACTAAAAGGCTAAATGTTTGAAGTCATACAACAAATGTCAAAGTTGCCTTCTCTTGATAATAAAGAACCAGATGACAAAGTCTCACTCATTTCTCTGAGTGTACGCTCATGTTTGAGCTCACCACAGCTGTGCTGGCAGACCGTCTCAGTGCATACACTGATTTCGATAGCCAAACTGAGTCAGAATGACCCACACAGGGACAAAAAGTGCATTACGTGCAATACTATATGGATATAGCCTTACTAATTTCCCTTGATGTACATTTTGAGCGTAAAACGAGTTTCTGTCAACCTGCGTCCTCGCGCGGGCTACCCGCTTCATGTCCAGCCTTGACACCAAAGCGATGGCAGCGCGAGCGAAATAATTTTCATAATTACGCTATGCTTTGTTCAGACGTTCAGTTGAACGTACTAAACGTTGTGCATGATATGGAATCCGGATCTTGCTTTCAGAAAAATGAATGAATCATATTGTCCAAATAGGGACACACTTTCAGCGCGTAAAGCCCTTATAACGGGACAAACTAGATCAGGATGACCCGCACGAGGGAAAGATGCATCGCTATAGCACTGCAGCTTCAATTAGCCCGCGCATTTCGATTCTTTTTTTGAATATATTTAGATAATTTAAAATCAACAAATATTATGAACTTAATAAAATAAAATTTATCCGCTCGTTTTAGTGTAAATCAGTAAATGAGTAACGACGAATTGAGCAATCAAATCTATATACTTACGATTTTGATTTTCGATAATTTCTTGAATGTCTCTTTTGTGCAAGTGCGTGAAATCACCTTGACTCTGGGAAACTGGTCCGATGATCGGAAGCTTGTCCCCATCCGCAATTTTTGATTCCGGACGCAAAACTTGCGGAGACTGGAAATATTTCAGATGGTTCATAGTGTGCGTACGTACGAGCATATTTAGGTGGTTCTCTTGGGCGTGAACCATCGTGGTCAAGTACAACCATATCAACACAAACGTAGGCACAATGTTCTTCATGACGAAAAACCAACATGAATATAAGACCGTCATGCTTGTTGTGTTGTATATATATAGTCACAATAAACTAATAAATTTAGCTAATTAATATTAGCTTTTTATAAATTATTAGCTTTAGCTAATAAATATTATCAAATATCTAAGAGACAAACCATAAATGATATTCAGCATTAGACGCCAATATTTTTCATGTCCAATAATTCGCACGTTTATTCGCTCTTTCGGGCCATTAAATGGCCAGTGCAGTTTAACTCAATTAGGATGAACTGCTTGAGTTTCTTCAAGTTATTTAAGTGTCACTCATGATCATATAAATGATCTTCCGCTGCGTGATTGTTCGAAGAAACACCGCACGATTGGATGAGTACGTAAAAAATCCATTCGATTGTCAAATGAACCGAGTATATTCGATCATATTTGTGTAGATGCAGCATTATTACTATTTTGAAAACGTCATTCATTCATTCTGTTATTTCATTCATCATCAGCTTTTCGAGTGGTTGAGGACATTATCATTTTACAATTATCTTTCCATGGTCAGAGTCACTCTTGCTTCTCGGTTTTTCAAAGACAATATCTGTTGTAGTTTGTCAAAAGTTCATTCTAATCTTTCTCCAATGATATAAGAACTTATGCACAACACAAACGGATGAATGTGGAAAAATTTTGTCATGAAATTCAGTTCATTTAAGAGATGTCGTCGATTTTGTCACTAAATTCAGTTCATTATGAGGTGGCGAATTGCTGGTCAACTTAACATCAACTTTTCACAGCAAGATATCAGCGTACTGGCTTCAATGACTGCAGTCTGCAGTTTCCTCGTGCAGTCTAGCCGACCACGAGGAAAAACTACACTTTAGAATAACTTGATAAGTTAGAAAAATACCACAAATTTCCCTTATATGTTAGGCACTACGGCACCAGATGTGCATGGGACCAAGCCATAGCACAACTGCCGGTGTCTCGAACTTTGTCCCAGGCCGACAGCAACTGCCTGTAGCTGCCACCTGTGGCTCTTTGGTGCTCAAACCTCCCCTATTACAGTGATATTTCTCACTGTGTTCATAAAATTCATCGCAATTTTCCCAGATTTTTTATTTTCACTACCGTATCGATTTCCTGGTGCTTCGATCACGAGTCGTAACGGGCCAGCTAGCAGCTACCATTGCTCCCACCTTCCACTTATGATTTTTCGATGTTCAAACCTCCCAATTAATTAATTCACAGTAATTCATACTACTTTTGCATGGTTTCGTACTTTTATTTTCTATATTCCCCAATGGACATTCAGAATAATGACTTTATTATATTGTCAGAGCCGTCCGTTCAGCTTTCTTCACGCAGCACATGATATGCCCTGTTACGGCCTGCGTTGCAACAGATTACTTCCGCAACTTGATTAATTAATAGTACTGGAAATTTTGGTCAACCATCTCCCTTTGCCTTCTATCTCTTTGCCCTCATCTCCATTTACCCTCATCTCTATTTACCCTCATTCTCATTCATCCTCATCCGCCGTACTCACATCCAGAATACTTATCTTGTCGGGTTATTACCTGAACCCGAGAATTTATTCTTAGTGGGAGAATAAGAACAGATTGAAGGAAAAAGAAGAAAGAAATGGAGTAGAAATTTTAAATTTATATTGAAGTTTGCATATGTAAACTAATATAAAAATGCAAAATAGTTCTTTCCATGGTCGAAACGAGAGTATAATGGAAGTCTTCTCGTTTATGTACAATGTGGGTTTGAATTGATTTTGATGCAATTAGAAAACTCATGCTTTATGATTGTGAACGAAATTATAGGGATAACGGGAATGACTAGATTTGCGATAACAGGATTCTAAAATCAGCAGAATAATCAAGCCGGTGAAAGGCAAAGCTTATCTGTTATTCATAATACTCACATATGAGCAAAATTAATTTTTTCGAATACTAGGTCTTGAAAAGTTTATAAGTTTCCTTCTGATCTAGAGAGTTTTTCTTGAAATTTATAGACGATAAAATTTCGTGATGTGTGTATATATTAATTATCTAGAATACGTTATTGTTTTTTTAAGCTTCCTTGAAATGTGGAGAGTTTGTATTATGGTGAGTTTATAAGTTTGGAGAGTTTGTCTGGAAACTTTAGAGAGCCTAAACTTCATTTGTCTTGGGAAGTTTTCAAGTTTAGAGAGTCTGTCTTGAAACTTTAGAGAGCCTAAACTTCATTTGTCTTGGGAAGTTTTCAAGTTTAGAGAGTCTGTTTTGAAACTTTAGAGAGCCTGAACTTCATTTGTCTTGAGAAGTTTTCAACTTTAGAGAGTCTGTCTTGAAACTTTAGAGAGCCTGGAGCTTATTTGTCTCGGGAAGTTTTCAAGTTTAAAGAGTCTGTCTTGAAATTTTAGAGATCCTCGAGCTCATTCGTCCTGGGAAGTTCTCAAGTTTAGAGAGTCTGTCTTGAAATTTTAGAGATCCTCGAGCACATTCGTCCTGGGAAGTTTTCAAGTTTAGAGAGTCTGTCTTGAAACTTTAGAGAGCCTGGAGCTCATTGCCCCACAGGTGAGAGTGAGTGTCGGCACAGGTGTGCGTGACCAGCACGCTACACTTGTACTCATATCGCTGACTCATGCCATGAGTCTATTGCTGCTCCAGCGAACTCGTCCAACTTTATTCATACGTGAGTAATTCATCAATGTTTTAGTTGAAGCTGTCAAATTTGAACATTTGATGTTATATTTACAACAACGTCGTTGTGGATCGTTTATTGGACCACATAGCGACCTGAACTAACTTTATTCATAGGCGAGTAATTCGTCAATGTTGTAAACGTAGCATTTAATTTTGGCCATTTAATGTTATACTTACAACTACACCTTTGTTGTGAACAGCGTTTTAAATTACCAACGACATCATCTAATTTTATTCATGGATAAGTAGTTCATCAATATTATAAGGGTATATATCATTCAAATTTGAAAATTTATTGTTATAAATAATATCTCTAATTTTTTAGCATATACGCAGTCTTACAATAGCTGCAACATTCGAAGATGTGACTCCATTCCTGCACAGAACCCAACATTCAAATTAAAACATTAAATCATTTTGAATTAACTCCGATATCTGCAGTATCGTTACATGTAGTTTAATTTAATAATTTAATTTAATGTAATAATTTAAATAATCGCTACGGTAATAATAATTTATAGAGTCATTACTTTCAAATTATTCACTCAAGTATTTTAGATTATTTAGAAAATTTACTTCATTCATCACTATTGGTTGATTCAATATAATTAAAAAGTATTCAATGATTATATAATAATTTTCATAGCACGCTATGAGTTTTCAACGATTTTTAAGTAGAAATTTAAGTGTTTAAACACACTCAGAGAAACAAGTGAAACTTTGTGTAAATAGCGATACACTTTTTGGTGTGTGTGGGTCATCTTGACCCAGTTTGACCAGTAAAAAAGCACGCATCAGTGCTACATGTAGAAAGTGTGTCCCTAATAAAACAATATGACGCCTTATTTTTTCAGAGTGATCATCGTGTAGATTATTAAATGTGGCAGAAAAAATTTAAACCAGTAATCAAGTCGTTACTGAAGATGTTCTTTTACGAATAATACACTAAAAAAATGAATGGATCACACTGTCAAAATAATGACACACTAACTTACCCAAGACGCGAGCATACAGCGGACGTAGCATGTATACTGACACGTTTTTTTGCCGGGCGTGCAAGTTATACCTTTTTGATCAAGAACAAAAAAAAAATGCATTTGTTGACCCAGGCCAAAAAGTGCATCGTTATTTAGACAAAATCTCACTCAATACTCTGAGTGTCTGAATATTCCTTCCTTAAACTAATGCACCTCTAGTCAGAATAATTCAGCATAGTCAGCGAAAAGGCTGTCTGATCCATATCACTGAGAGAAATGAGGTTGATTTTGTCGAAAGTGATACACTATTTATGTTAGAGTGGGTCATCCTCACTCTTTTGAACTCACTCATAGCGTTGAGTAACCAGTGAGCTGAACTGGAGCCCCCATAAAATAAGCATTGTGATGCCATTGATCAACGATGCACTTTTTCCACTTTAGTGAGTCATCGATCGTAACCGGCCAGTTCGGCTCGAATCAATAATATATACGTTCGCTAGCTGACGATTCCTTGAAATGGAAATATCACCCATTTCTTTTTCTGGGGGACATGATTGGGCTCTTGACACTCTTTTAATGTTAGCGTGACTGTATGAGTCTCTCAAAGATACGCTATCGAATGTATCAACGATCAGCCGACAACTTTTAAGTGTCACACCATTGGCCGCACGCAAACGTTTCTTTTGCCGCGCAACTTTGGTGGAAAAATAATAAACTGTCGTCCTTTTCCTCGTGTATTGATCAAGGTTTTTAGATTTTAAACAAAAATCAAACGTATTTTTAGGCAAGGCATTCGAATTTTTGTCATTGATTAATTTTTTAGACCCGACTAGGTTGCACGATTTTAATTTTTCGTTTAAATATAGACTTAATTACCAGATTTTATTTTCGGATACAGAAATTAATCGCTTGAATTATTCCTATTTACATTTTTACTCATAGCATTTCTCTATTTTTATTCTCTAATTATTGTTTTATGTCTGTGCTACATTACTATTATTTTTATTTAATTTTGTAGAACAAAATTTAAAAAATTCGGGCATTTTACATGTAGTGGGAAAAAATTTATAGAAGAAAACCTCTACTATTCTAACACTACGAAATACAATAAATAAATCTTGCTCGTTACCCCCAAAACACGAATACGTTAATGAAACCATGAAATTTCAATATTTTTGTGCTTGATTGACATTTGAATGACAACATGTTTAACCTTATATATTTAACCACTATATTTAACCGCCTTGTGATTACACCCCAGCACGAGACATTCAGCTGAATGATTCATAGTTCAGACAGCATGCATTATTTGGGCTCGTGTCTGGTCCCAAATGTCACGTCATTTTTTTAACCACCAAAATGTCAGTGGGCGGGAACAACCTGCACTCAGAGACACTTATGGGTCATATTGTACATATAGTGACTCACTGGCTGCGTGTAGCATTGATACGTCCATATTTCTGGGCTAAACTGTATCAAGTTTACCCGCATGAATGTTAAAGTACATGACTATTTGGACAAAGTCTCATTAATTTATCTGAGTGTAACATAGGTCGCGTTCAGTGTCAATTAGGGGTATTGATAAACATTGCTAAATTCAAAATCGAGTAATGTAATAACAAAGGTACATTGGCTTAAAAAATCTGATGAATGCTTACCTTTTGAATAACGTGAGTCTGAAGTTAATTTAAAAAAGGTAAAGAGCGGAGACTATCAGTCTTGTGGATAAATTTGTGTGACATTTCAGGCAACTGATCCCGATACTAGTTAAGAAGTTCTGTGGTGCTGTGGTGCTGCGAGGCTGCGATGCTGTGGTGCTGCTGTGTTGTGGAGCTGTGGTGTGGAGCTGTGGTGTTGTGGAGCTGTGGTGTGGAGCTGTGGTGTAGTGCCATCGTGCTGCGTGAGTTCTCTCCCACCACCTGCTAAGTCAATCCATGATCGAAGTGAGCTATAGAGTTAGTCACGCCAATGGTCAATCCAATAGTCACGTCAACATTTAAGCCAATGCTCAACAGCTCAAGCCAATGGTCACGCCAATGATCAAGTCAATGGTCACGCCAATGATCAAGTCAATGGTTCGCGCACTCCATTTCGTGCAGCTAAAAGTTAAAAATTCAACAATACGCGCGTGTCGCTGTTGAATTTTGAGGACTCCAATAAGGTGAAGTTGTTTTAATATTGCAATATAACGCCTAAATTACGATGAAAGTCTCAAAAATATACTTTGTCAGTGAAATTTATCAGACATGAATAGTCACGAACAAATATTAATTGGGACATAATCACGAAAAATTACAAGGAGAAGTTATTTATTTACTAATCGCAAGAATATTATAGCGGATATTTATCAGAAAAATAAATGGGTTACATTGTCCGAATAGGAACACACTTTCTTACCCACACTTTCATATCACAAACAAAGATTGGACGTTGCGCAGCAGTTTTGTGAGGTCAAACTGGGTCAGGATGACCCACATAACCTCAAAAAGTGCCCATCTGATCATCTATATTTTTCAAATTCCAAATTGATTGTTTATTTTAATAATTCAGATACTTTTTCCCAAAGAAAATGAAGAAAACTTGGAAGTTGATGAATCAGTCGTTGCAATTCTGCATTATTCTTTTTTTTAGCTAGCAATCAATCATATCAGTTTCCGTTGATTACCTAATAACGATCTAGGTTAACGATACGACCGAGATAAGAAGTGTGAAGCTAACTTATCTCTTCTTATCTGCTCGTAGCCACGTTCGAGATAAATTTGATGCTTACATTACTTCAGTTCACATAATGATTAACTTATGAACAACCTCAGAAGATAATGGTAAAAGAATAAATTTCACAGTCATCCGCAATGATTATTCTAGTTATCAACTGGATTTTGTTGTTGGGAAAACCGAAAATCGCAAGCAATCGCTGCCACCTTCCGGACGAACGTTGAGAACCGGCAACTATGCTGCAGGACTCAGTGCGCGACGCATGCCAGACCAGAATCCAGATAAAATCTTCAGTGCGAGTCTGACTGCGATAGGGAGAGTACGTTCGTCATTGATCATTTTCATTCCCTGCTCCGTCACGGCAGTTGTCAACATTAATCATGAGTGGTGAGTAGACAGACATACGCATCGTTATGCATGCAACTTTTATCAAATCATGAGGAGATATTTTAAAACTTTTTGTTCGTTTAAATTCAGTACGTAGTTTGAGTGAACTAAGTAATTATAATTAGTCATTGTGTAACATGTTAGCACCTTTCGCACCCCCTTGCTTTTCTTTCGAGGTACTGGCTAAATGGTGGTAGCCTAACTAGTCTTTGCACTGCTTCTTGAGGCGAGCCTTTTGATCCGACAGCTTTAAAGTTCACTACTGCATCACCATGGAGACAAATGTCCTAACAACGGTCCAGAAACAACTAGATCCGACATGAACACTTGAAGACAATTATTCCGCTACAAATTCATCCGTCGATATTGGTGGCTAACAATGCGACACGCAAACGTCTTGGTTTCTGGCAGTGGCAAGCATATTTATGAACAATTGGCGTCTTGGTACAGTCAGACTAAGCACGAAATTGAATTTAACGTAGTTTTAGCTGCTTAGCACTCTCTTATTGAATGCAAAACATTTTTGGTCTATTTTGAGTTCTAGTTATAAAACCTCTCTACCCTAAACCTATAACAGGAATAGAACCACACTAACTTCTTTATGTTGTGCGACCGACAATCTTATTGCCGATATCGTAGCGAATATTACACCCTTCTTCCACTTCATGTATTGGCCCTTGCGTGTCGCGCTACTATAAGATCTTGTTGCATTGTTAATTTGTAGCTTTCAGCCTGCAAGAAGTGGCGATGCCAGCGCCCCTTGCCGGCGTCGATCTTTGTCCGTTCCATGGTTGCCAAATGGTGGCAAAAGAAAATGGCCAAAAACGCTCACGAAAACGGCTAAAACTGGCTAACTTAGTAACTTTCTATATATCTATTAGTAAATTGGTAATTTGCGGTGTCTCAATTCAATTTCCCGGGTTTCTTTGCATGGAAAAATGCCGTAAGTCTATGGCCATCTTAGATTTTTGCCTTGCCCACGAGGGCCAACGCAATTGAAAAAGGACGTTAGTGTAGAATTAGGCCGGAAAAAGGCCCCTCTGGCTACCCTGGACCGTCGTTCCGCAACCTGCAGTCCTGCATTTATGGAGCCCTGATTGGTGGATGCAAGCGCATGCGCTCTAATCCAGCCCTTTACACTGGACACTGAACTTCTAAATGGAATTTTCCAGAGAAAGAACTGGATTGTTACAAAGCAATATGAATTATTATAGATACATTTAAATAAAGCATGAATGTATTTATTCGCATTTGCTACAACTCTATTGAATCGGAGCTAGCACGTTAGTAGAAATCAAAGTTTTTAGAGTATTTTTTTTCTATTTTTCATTTTCACGAAATCAAGTCGCACGAAAAGTGTATGAAAAATAATACATTTATCTTGGCTCGCTCTTTGGCACATTCACTTTACAGATCTAATCAACATGTACCTAATAATACACAAATATTATTGGGAATTACTAATACTATTATTTTGGATTATTCAAAACAACGTTAGAAACGGGCGGATGGGGTCAAATTATATTAACTCAGATTAGACAGTGTATTTACAATGTTTTGACGATACTGAGTACTGATTATACTGTATAAATCATATCATAATGGTGCCACGCAAATAATTTATTGTAGAATCTATATGTGCTGAATATATTATCACCGATTCTGAATCACGGACGTAGTCTTGACGTGATCTAAGGAAACCCGTTTGCCACGATTTCTACGTTCGGCTGATTTTTTGATTCAGCAGAGTTTTTGATTATTGATGGTACGGTAATTATAGTTTTAAAATCTTACTTGTTTTTGAAAACTCTCAAGTGTGATTACCTGTTTTCCAACCTGTTCCGTAACCTGGTTTATAACCGGTACCGCAACCTGTTTCGGAACATTTTCCGCAACCTGTTTTGCAACCTGTGTCACAACCAGTTCCTAAACCTGTTCCGCGACCGGTTCTGCTCGTAGCCTGATCCGCAACCAAGTCACAATCTTTTCGGCAACAGGTTCCGGAGCCTGTTATCCAACCTGTTGAGCAACCTAGCTATTCCGCGAATTGTTCTATAGCCTGTTCCGCAACCTGTTTCACATTCTTTGCCGGAACCTATTCTGTAACCTCTTCTGCAAGCTGTTTAAAAACCTGTTCTGCAACCTATTCCACAACATGCTCCACAGCCTATTCCGCTACCATTTCCGCAACCTGTTCCAGAACCTGTTCCGCACTGTCGAAGTCGTTGTCATGCCGACGCAGTTCCTAACAAGATCCGGAACAGACCGGACCTCATACGGAATATTAGCTTTGGATAATTGATATGCCGATTCACTGATCCTTTATGTTGTCAGGAATACTTTAGGATTCGCAAGTGCAGTCATTATTTTGAGTCATGCTTTGCTAAATTTCCGCCTTCAATATTTCTCAAGTGAGACTTCATGTCAATGACGCGACGCTTCGACTTCAGGAAATTGGAGTTTCACAAATAGCGATTCACCTTTGGTACCTATGTGGGTCATCCTGATCCACTTAATTTGGTCCGGCGAAAGGGCGTATCCGTGCTATACGTCCGATTTCTTCCCGGGCTGTTGGTGGTGATGAAATCTGTCATTATTTGTACGAATTGATCCGTTAATTTTTCCGAGTTTCTTCTTACACACGTCACGAGCAGAGAGAGGATGTGGCATTGATACCTTGCCCTTTTGCCGGGTGAAACTGGGTCATGATGACTCACATAATGAGGCAAAAAGTGTGTCGCTATTTGGACCAAGCCTCGCTTATTTCTCTGAGTGAACCGTAAATATCATCCATGCGACCGCACCATTCAAATGCCATCACCAGCTTCCATGTTAGTCGATATATCGGGCGCTGCTGTATTGGGTGGCACGAGTCTAGCGCGCTGCACAGTTCGTTGCTGGCTTGCATTGAAGAAGCATTTACTTCCTCTTACTTCCTTACTTCACTTTGATCTCTTACTCGACAGCATGAGTGGTAAGTAACTTGACTTTTATCTGTTACCTGACGACACGAGTGGTAAGTAACTTAACTTTTATCTCTTACTTGACAACATGAGCGGTAAGTAACTTGACTTTGATCTCTTACTCGACAACATGAGTGGTAAGTAACTTGACTTTTATCTGTTACCTGACGACATGAGTGGTAAGTAACTTAACTTTTATCTCTTACTTGACAACATGAGCGGTAAGTAACTTGGCTTTGATCTCTTACTTGACAACATGAGTGGTAAGTAATTATTTAATTAACTATATCGAAATAGATTTTTTTTCGGTTAATGCTTGAATATACAATTGGTTTCATAAAAATAACTCGATCAATCTACTCTGGATAGAATGGATCGTTATAATTATTATTCATATTTGATATTTCTAAATAGTTATCAATTGTTTCACAGCGTTGTCAATAATATTCATTTGTTCTTGTTTCGACACGCTTACGACACGTTGACTGCATGACCTCAGCGTTGACATGTTGAACTCGGCATTCTTTGCTGTATGCGTTGTCTTAGAAACAACATTATAACATAAATCAACAAGAGTTAGCTTTATTTTCTCCACAGATCTATACACGATCTTAAATCCCATTCTGAAGCGAACAATGAATATAATGCATTAATTAGCATGCACAATTAACCTTTATGTTGCCGAGTCTTTTATCCGGACAAATTTCGCGATTTCTTTTTTTTTAATTTCGTTTTTTGATAAAAATTTATGATGGCAGTACTACCTCATTAAATCTTAAAAATTACGTATAAGAAGAAAATTTTTACCACTAAACCTACAAATTTACTAGTGTATTTGGAATTATGGGCTTTTTTATTCACGGACTTGGCCTTTTTTAGGCCATCTGACTATATCATCTTTAGGATTCTATAGGTGGGTCGTGCTGCATTCAACGAGTTAAAAATGCATTGTCCGATATAGCATGACAGTTGCACATAACAAAATCACGAAGATCGATCGGCGCGCTATATAAGCAGTGACCAGAATACTAATGCTCGTCAAATTCTCTGCTGATCAACAAATTTCCTGAGAATCAATGGTAAACCTCTTCATTCGTCGGAAATATTATGATTAATTGTGTAAATGCGCTCGCGCCCAATAAATATGCATTCCGGCATTGAAGTTGATGGGATCTATATAACGATTTATTACAAAACTGTCTAACTCTCTCTCTAGATCTATGCTTTCAAAATACATAGGGTTTGACGTCCGAAAACCCTTCATTTTATGCCTTTGTGCTCAGAACGCTCGCAAAGATTTGCATCTTAGTATCATGTTGAAATCTCGAGATTTCAATGAATTGCGTTTAATTTTTCCCATCATGCGAATTCTAATGTGTTCATTTATGTGCCTATATTGATAGTCTAGTGTCCAACGGTATGCTTTTATTATTGTTTTAGTATGGTACTCGTTATAGGCCAAAATCGGCCTGTTGTCGATTCGTGTTATGCTCATAACTTATTCACTGGATATCCCACCAAAAATTTTACCCGTTAACCAGATCTTTTAAGACTGACGTTACATTAAATAGGTGCTTACATTTAACCTATTCTTTTTAACTTCTCCCTTCGTTAAAGTTTAATGTTTATTTGCTTGTTTTGCAGTTAACTTCGAAGGAGTTCAGGCGGCTATCGCCAAGAACGCGACGATCTTGGATGTGCGCAACCACGACGAGGTCGAGAAGGATGGCAAGATTCCAGGCTCCCACAACGTCCCTCGTAATTCTATTCATTTTATTATTTCATTCATTGTATTATTCATTATTAATAATAATATATTCACTATTTATTTCTTACTGATCATTTCTAATCGATTATGCTTTTTAATTACTTTATTATTGTTTGTAAAAGAGAAAATTATATATCGATGATGCCAGAAGGAAATATTAACCTAAGTAGCCTAGATTTACTAATTTAGATAATAATATGATTTTAATCAGACATTTCGCCTGTGATATATGTGAATTCTTTGTTAATTGACGACTCTTTCTATTATTTACAAGAAGTACAGTTATTTACTATGTTAATATACTAAGATGTCTTTCTCTCAATTGAAAACATTACCTATAATCTTTTAGGATATTTTAGTGAATGTCTCGTTGGCAGAATGTTTGGCTCCCCAGTCTAATATATGATTTTTTAATACGGTATATTCTTCTTGAATAAATAAATTTGTGCTCCAATTTTCAATTCCAATTTCAATAACATTACCAAGTTACCAACTGTTAATGTTCTGATTTCTATGAATACTCTATCCATTTCAGGACGGGATATTCTGCCGACTAGTTTTCTTATTCGTTGCATCATTTCTTTCATTAATTATCGTGGTGACTTCACTTCAATTGATCAGTCTCGTGATTTTAACTTGGGTTCAACGTTTCGCTATCCGGTCTTTCCAGCCGTTTTTCCGTATAAAATTAAGTCATGTGTATCATTATTATTTTATTTAATTGCCGAAGCTCCTGTAGACCTTCCAGACAAATGTCGTTGAAACACCGTTTAAGTTTAACTAACGTTAATTCAACGTCAGATTTCTGGGGGGTGCTCATAATCTATTAATCACCTCCTCAGTGCCGGAGTTGGAGCTCATAATCTATTCAATTACCTCCCCCAGTGCCGGAGTTGGAGGCTCATAAGCCATTTAATCACCTCCCCAAGTGCCGGAGTTCGAGGCTCATAATCTATTCAATCACCTCCCCAGTGCCGGAGTTGAAGGCTCATAATCTATTTAATGACCTCCCAAAACAACACTTGTCAGACTGACAGGGCGATAGTTGCCGGGGCTGCTTTTGTCACCTTTTTTGAACAATGGTGTTACTTGAGCTTCTTTCCATTCGGACGGCAAAGTTCCTTCGTTCAAGGTTTTTTGAAAGAATACTGTCAATGCTCTGGTAGATTGCAATCTATCTTGTACAATTTCAATATTCTTATTTTATTATTAATTTCAATAATGTATTAATTTCAGTAAATTTTTTATGTATTAATTTCAGTTAAATCTTATTTTATTTACTAAAATTAATTGTAATTCCAGGACGTACCAGGGATCGTTCAGCGACTGGGTGGCCCACGGCGGCGATGTTGACAAGCACGATCATTGAGAGCTTCGAGCTCATCATTTTCACAGCACAATATCCTTCACTTAACGTCTTCAACATATTTGATAAGCTTTAATTTTCATACGACATGATTTTGTTATAAACTTTGCTCGCTATTACGTTTACGGAATTTGTTCACGTTTATATTTACGTCATTCAGCCATTTCTGAAGGTCGCATGCAAGGTGAACGAAATCAGAACTACTGAACTATGCTATCTTTTTTCCGTAGAAGATATTTTCCAAAATTTAGTAAAAAAAATTTGTGTCTCACGTTTTTTATGCAAATATGAGTTTACCTTCTTTTATTTTTTATTCAGGATGCAAATTAATCATACAATATTGATACAACAATACAAAATTAAATTAATCACACAATATTGACCTCAGGAACGATTATCATCCGAGTAAACTATATGGGTACTTTATTATATTATTGCGATTTCATTGATGAATAATCGAGTAATTAATGTGCGTTGTGTAGAACATTTATTATTTTGTTCGAGCAGCATGATTGAAATATAAATTATTTCCGATTTAAATATTGCTAACAAAATTGGAAATTTTTATTACTTTATTATTTTTTTTACTGTTATCGATGTGAGCAATCGCTTCTTCGCTATGATTTCCACTTTTAAAATTTGAATTACGTTGAAATACCATAGAACTTTTCGCTAAAAATTTCTTTAAGTCTTAATCTATTGTCGTCCGGCAGTAAAAGTCTAATATTCGTTCATAAAATATTCGGTTATAATTTCTACAACTAATGTTCCAAAATTATTTATTGATCATGTTTGAAGGAAATCTTTACCTAATAACCTGCACGCAGCACTCAAGTCCAATCTCAATATAAATTGATTCATGGCTTGCCGTCACTCAATTCTTGAATAAAGTGTTCTTCAATATTCAAGAAAGCATGACTACGACGTCGACTTTTTATTGCCCAAACATTTGAGCAAATCTGAGAGATTGCTTCGTATTCAGAGGGATTGCCTTCGTGTAGTTTAGTTCATCGAAGAAAATATGTTGACACTATTTAGCTTCGATTTGAAACCAAGGCCAGTTTTTTTAGAACTCGGAAATAAGTTACAACACAACAGAAATGGACTATTCGGCCTAATCTTCAATGCAGACAGTGTAAAACTATTGTACGTTATACTAATCAACATTTTTCTGAAAAGCTCTATAACTAGATTCAGATCATGCATTGCATATATTTCGCCTAACTTTGAACTCGGCTTCTTTAAGTAACTCTCTCCGCGTTTCCCGTGAGGACAAAATTTCACTATAATAATGCTCATATAGTGTTATCATTATTAATTTGGCCTATTTTGGCTTACCATCCATTATATTATTTGGCTTACCATCCATTATGCAGCAGAACAAAAGCTTCGGGCCTCTAACTCTGAACATGCCGCGAGAATATACTGGCCGACCTCATCGACTTAAACCTTAATTTTCGCACAAAAAGGTTAGTTCTGAAACGACAACAAATCTGTCTAAATAAATACTTTAACATCATCAAGAACAGGCGGCCTGCAGGCTTAAATAAACCATGTACGCTGTGCTGCTTAATGTTTCGATGGAGCAACGCTCACATTTTCCAAATAATATAAAGTTAGTGCGATGGTTTAGTGTTTGTGAAAGATGGATTGGTCTATGCATACCTGTGGTAATGAGGGGTTGAGGTCGTTAGATTCCTGGGTACAATCCCAAAGAGCCCCGACCTCTGATGCTTGTCGAACAGGAAGAGGCATGATGCGAGAGAAATTTTTGATAAGAGCAAAGTAATAAATAAGCGTATCTATAAAAATATAGGAATATTTACGGATATGCTGATGAATCAACAGAAGTCGAATATGCTAATGAATCAGTCTGAGCAGAAGTCGGCACTTCTGTTAAGAGGGCACTGATTAAGGATGCCACATCCAGTGAATCTCGACAGAAAAAGAAGAGAGACCAATCAATATCAAGTAGACAGCTTTGAAGTTGTTTAATGGGATATTGATCCAATAGACAGGCATTTTCTTGAAGCATGTGTTAGACTGGCAGAAGGTTTTAGACAAAAAAATAATGGCCCACTTTTTTGAGAAATTAAAACAAGTTTAATTAAAGACCAGAAAAATAATTTTATTGTTAAATTTCTCAAAAAGATTGTATATATAGAACAAGGTTTATCAGTGGCATTGATAGATCGTTGATTTTCCAATAGAACCATCTCTAACGAAATCTCAGAGCTTCGATCGAACCAAAACAGACTCGGCAACTAACTGGATCCAATGCGAATCCAATGTCTGCACCAGAATGAGGCATTGAATAGATGTTTCTTGACCAACAGATATTTTTTGGTCACTGCAAATTTGATAACCGGCCGCACAAATGCCGGTCGTTTCTCCGTATAGCAGTAAAACTCGCGAATGAAGGCAAAATCATAAAAAAAATGACGAGCTAAGCATCACCGTTGGGTTGTTAGTAAAGTATATTCATAGTTTCGGTCAAATCAGTTCTATAGTTTAGAAGAAATTTCTTGGTCGCTGTGAATTTTAGCCCGTATTCTTCCACCTGGCTCGGTCTCCCTTTTTCCTTATGTCCGAGACGTAAATCCAAGCCGTATGCCCGTTTAGCTCACGAACGAAGGCAAAATAGAAAATATTGTCACATACCACTATAAAAAAAGTAGGGATATGTTTTTTGTCAATGTATCGCATTCGTGTATTGTATACATACATGTATACAATACGTGTTCCAAGTTTCATCGAGCTGCGTTTGGAAAATATTTCTCGGTTATTGAATTTGGAGACCGACCGCGAGTCCGTCCGTAGAAGTGTCCGAGACGCACCACAGTCCACAGCGCCCACAGCGGGTACTTTTCAAACGGATACCTACTAAAGAATAGGGAAATGCTCGATTATCAAAATTATGGCTGCTAAGACAAAACATAAACGGAAAAATCTTCTGTGAACATGTGATTTGATACAAAAGTTAACTATTTGCTTCATATTACTTTGCAGGGGAGAGGACTGCCGCCTATTTAGCGTAGCCGTATTTTTAAGCGCGCGCCTTTCCAACCATGCCCGCCTAGGCGGCGGGCCTTCGTATTTTTTCGTGTACTATTAATCTTGATGTACTATTAGTAATGTAAATTCATGTAGATGGTTTGGCTTTAGTGTTTTCATCGTTGACATGCTGAATCTGGCCTCTCATCAATTTTCGATACGACTTATCATTTCTCTTCGACTCCACGTTCACTCGTTCAGTATTTCAGGCGAGTCACTCGGAGTGGTTACTGTAATAGTATTAATAAATTCATAGTGTCAAACAGTCGATGCAGACGTTTTTATTTTTAGACTCTTATTAAAGTTCAATTTTTAGTCCTATGAATAGACCAGTAATTATTAAAGTATCATCTATCATCATTCTGTCATTCATCATATTATGGATTGGATACCAATCATACCATCATTATCTGATTATCATACATAAGAAATTGTTGAAAATCTTGAATACCTAAATGAGGAAATTGAAAATTATTGATTCTAAAATATCTGTGGGCTGTGGCTTCACTGGCTTGTCAAGTTGTCAGTTATCACTATGCTATAACTGGCAGTGGTGGGCTGGTGGCTAGCTATCATCACTATCATGCTATTGCTATGTAATGTTACTGATTTACTGAATAGTGTCATAGTGAATACCTACCATTACTGGGAGTCTGGGTACCTAGATGAAATAATGGGTAGCTGGTAGATCATATCATCATTGTAGATGGGACTGGACTGGGTTTGTTACTGGGTATAGATCATCATCAATTCATCATGTAGATGAAATTGAACTTGCAAGTTGCAACTCACTTCGAATTCAATCATTCTATGACCAAATACTGAAATTTCATCCTGAGAAGTGTAGTGTGATCAAACTAGGCAGGCAGAAGTCCCAAGGCACTTACTATATGAATAAACAAGATGAGAGACTGGAATTAGCGGCATAGTGACAAACCAGAGATTTTTTAGAATCAGTTCATTTTTAACTTCCTCATTTAATTAAGATTTAAACCAATTTCTTATGTATGATAAGGCTGGCATCCAGGATACTTTATTGGTCTACTTATGGGACTCAAAAATGAACTTGAGGGAGAGTCTAAAAAACTCTCTGCTTTGCCACTATGATTAGCGGTGGGTGACCGGTGAAGTGGAGAGGGATCTGGGAGACTAGTGGGAGTGATAATAGACAATAAGCTATCCTTCAAGGAGCATGTTTTGCTCAGTGCTCAGCAAAGGCAAACAAAGTCGTCGGCATCATTCGCAGAACTTTTGATCACCTAACCGAAAAGACATTCGTTCAACTGTTTAATAGCTTGGTACGCCCACTTCTTGAGTACGGGCACTGCGTGTGGCAACCAGCACACAAGACTCTATGTAGTGATATAGAAGACGTCCAGAGGCTAGCAACAAAACTCTTGGCCTCACTAAAAGACAAGCTCTACTCAGATAGGCTCAAGATGCTGAAGTTACCATGCTTGGAACACTGCCGGCTGAGGGCGATATGATTGAGGTTTATAAATACCTACATGGCTACTATGATGTCTCACGCCCAAGTTTTGCAATGGCCAGGCTGGAATTCTAAGAATGGAAGTTCACTTATAAAAAAGCTTTCCACCCAAGGTGAAAAGCTTTCCTTTGATACAGTGCTCTGCTCTGTTACTGACTATAAATGTAAAAATGGATCATAAGAGGACCAACTGTTTCAATTGTATAGTACATCAGGTTTGTTATAGAATAATTTGGATGTCTCTTGTTTGATAGATATTTTTTATTTTATTTATTGGATTTTTAGAAAATTTTTCAGGCCCTTTGTATCATAATGATCAAGTTTAAGTCAAGTATTTAGTTAACCAGTACTGTAGCACATATACCATATTTGGGGGCAGGGCTTATGGACACAACCAATCACAGCTTGAAAGCATCCCCATCAACCAATTACAGCTTGAAAGCATCCCCATCAACCAATCACAGCTTGAAAGCATCCCCATCAACCAATCACAGCTAGAAAGCAAAATAACATTACAATTCCATTAACCAATCACAGCTGGAAAGCTGAAAGGGGCTAAAATCACAATCTTATCAATCAATCACAGCAGGAATTCTGGAAAGGGATAGGATATGTACATAATTGACTGAAAGTGTAAAGTTCTTGGCCTTTCCAAGCTTCCAGGTCCTGCTTTCCAATATGCTATGTGTACTGGTTAATTTAATAGCCCTCTAGAATTCCATACTGGCAATGGCTACAGCAAGAAACCTCCGTGGAAATTCTCTAAAAATCCAAAAGAGCCACTTCAGACTGAACATTATTAGAGGTAACTTTTTCTCTCAGCGCATTGTCACAAACTGGAACAGCTTGCCAGAGAATGTCGTCAAAGCACCATCTGTGGATACTTTCAAGAGTCACCTCAATAAACATTGGCTTCATCTGCCAACTCTCTATACTCCATCATGCCAGAACTAGACACTAACTTTTTTTTGGAACCCAGCCACCCCCGAATTTTGCTAATATTACAAAAGTTAGTATAGTCTCGGAGAGACGAACAGGTCTCTGAGAAAGGCCTCAAGCGTCTAACTTGTCAAGTCAAGTCAAGTCAAATGAACTGTGAGTGTGTTAGTTGCATGATTTGCATCTTTGATGATATCTTTTCCTAATTACCTTAGTTACGATAAGTTACCTGGTTTTATCATATGTAAATTTTTACCCAAACTTACCCATTAGCAAGAGAGCTAGCTAACTAAACTCACAGCTCAATAACTAATGAGTTGGTTTTGCCACCGTGAATTGAATGGCACTCTCGTATCGCACTGCATGGTGGCATTCTAAATCATGAGTAAATGCATTCTGAATATCCATGTTCCTATGACCTATGTAGTAAATTATAGTAATAGACGAGTGCGGTTGCCAAAAATAGGAGCGCTTCTTCTAAGAGTAGGGGGCCCTGGGCCAGCCACGTCACGTGCTGCAATATAAGCGGGCCGGCAGCAGTGGCAGCATGCTTGTCCTGCTCTGATAGTAGTGGAACAAGCGCTCGATCCAAGACAAGCAGACCGGCAGCTGCAGGCTGCAGCACTCCATTCAGGAGAGTCAGGATGGCCTGGAGCATGATGGATATACTGACTACAGCATTAAATGATTCAATGAAACTAACACGAGTAACATCACCACACTCAAGTGAGCCGCGCGGACTCAACACTGCCTATGGCCCTGAGCCTGTGAGTGTGACTGCCACACTCAGGCACACTGCCAGTCTGCCACAGCACTTAGTTGGTGTCACTAGTGAGTGCAGTGGCCAGCCTTCTATTGAAAGGATCTGTTTTGTAAACAAATTGAACTGCCATTTTCTAGCATGATTGGAAAAGCTTTTTAGTTATTATGTGGCACTTGTTGAACCCTACAAATTATGGTTCTAACCAGTATTATGAGGGTTATCCAGAAACAAAGAAATGTTTTGTAATAGAGCAAAAACTAGGTATGGGAACAAAAATTTTATGATATACATGTGAAAGAGTGACTCACTGACTACAATGCTACTTTTCTACATTGTTGCCAAACAAATTAAGGCACATATTTTAGTGGTGAACAAGGTTCAGACTTCAAAGTTCCTTTGCCATAGAAATCAACTTCCTGCGATGACTGACCTTGCAACAAATCAATCTGCAGAGCTTCTTGACTCATTCAAATGGGAGATTATCACACATCCACCCTGCAGTCCCAACCTACTAGCACTGAATGATTTTCACTTGTTCCCGAAGATTTAGAGCTGACTAGCAACAGAGCGTTTTGATGATAATCACAAGCTCCGACGTGCTTCACTGATTGGCTGAGATTGCAGCCTGCTGGCAGTGCATTTCTGTTACAAAGGAATTTTGAAGCTTGTCGTCCAACACTACAATAAGTGTCTTGATTTGTTTGGTGACTATGTAGAAAAGTAACATTTTGGTCACTCTTTCAGATGTATATAGTAAAGCATTTTTCTGTACCTAGTGTTTATTTTATTACCAAATGCTCCATAGTTTCTGAATAGACCTTGTATATGGTTTTTATTTACCAACAGCTACTTGATTAAGTGCAGCACAACAGCAGTATCTGAAAGCTTGCTAAGTAGCAACCTATTACCTATGTGTCATTGATGGTCCTCTTTGGCTGGCTCAACATGGCTATGACTGGATTTTTGAAGCAAAGATTTAGTCATTTTTACAGCTGAAGACAATATAAGCATGATTATTTTTTGAGCTATGAGTTTTTTTACAGGTTGTTGAAAATAAGTCTTAAACAATAAATTCATTTTGTCAAGCCTTTTTGGAATGTTGGGCAGGTGGAATAGGCTGTTGAATAGGCTGTTGGTGGAATAGGTGGAATAGGCTGTTGAAAATTGCTGGTGGAAATAGGCTGTTTTTCTTTATTTTTTTAAAAAAATTGGTAGAGATGATAGAAGACTGTCATGGTAAAGTCTTGATCAAGCCTGGCCAGATTTCATAGCTAGTACTTGAAGAGTTGTATAGAACAAGTTTTCTACATTAGATCCTTTATTCTATTTGTATCTAGGTTTTGTAGATCATGCTCCTGAGTTCCTCTGTAGTAAATGTTCCTCTATATTTTTTAATATGCTCCACAGAATACTTATTATTACTTTAAAACCATGGTGAAGCGCAGCAGAGTGTCAGCCATCTGGAAGAAGCGCATCAAACTTGAGTATCTGCGACTACGCTCCCTTAAACGGTTCAAAAGAGCTGATGAAATCAAAGATGCCTGGAACAGCAACAGATCAAAACTTGATGGTGAGATTACTACTAGATTATCTTTATATCATGTTTAGCTTATTAGAAAAATTAAGGGGATCGTCTGGGTCCAGGAAAAACTTCTACATTTATTAACCAATCTTCCTGAAATTTCACACTCATACAAAACTTGTAAAATAAAAAAATAATTTGCTTGTATGAATTTTTGGAAAAAATGGAAGAAAATGAGAAATTAATAGAAAACGTTAAAATAGGGGGTACTCTAAAAAAAATTTCTAGCTTTAGCAAATCACAAGCTACAATGTCGAGACACATATAATTCAATTCCTAACAACATTATCTAGCGACTCTAGACGCCCGATTTTTTATTTTCCTCATCATTTTCCTTTTACGTGCATTTTTCTAAATTTTGACACATTTTCCCCCCTTCCCCCACTCCTCCTGCATATATAAGTCAAACCATGCTCGAATTCGAAAAAAGGGCTTCTAGAGTCGCTAGGTATGGTCTTTACAAATCAAATGGTATGTCTTTCATTGCTGTAGCTTGAAAATTGTTGGAGTTATCACATTTTTAAGATGCGTTTTTTGGATTTTTTAAAATTTTCAAGGAAGCCAATTAAAGTAAAATTCATTGAAAAAAGAAGAATATGTCAAAAAATTTCTTGATATTGTAGCCCAAACTTTTCCATTGCCATTTATTTGCTTTCAGGGTACCAGTGCGCGTATTTGGACTTATTCATGTCCAGTTTAACGTGAATAATAAGCTGTAAATGGGACTTTTTATGTATATATGCATTTATAAAATATTCATTTTATATAACTTTACAACGGCATTACGCAAAAACTATTGCATTTACATACATGGTAGTAGCTTTGTTGAACGCGTCTTGTTTGTAGCTTTCAAACAAGTGCAAACACTTTGCAATTAACGCAAATAATGATCTATAAATACTATTTTTAAACAAAAAATTTGTAAATATTGATATAAAATGGTCATTTTATAAAAGTTCGAAACAGCCTTGCACCAAATCTATTGCATGTACATCCCTGGTAGGTAGTGTTTTTGTTGAACGCGCCTCGTTTGTAGCTGTCAAACAAGTGCAACCACTTTGCAATTAACAAGCATAGTGATCAATAAATTCAGATTTAATTTGAAGAAATTTTTGTACATATTGTTAAAAAATATTCATTTTATATATTTTAAAAAATTCTAGAAAAAGAACTAGAGCATGCGCATGCATCTGGATTGCTGCGTTAGACGCAACTTTTCAGCAGCTATAAAATGAGCCAATAAAACGGAAAAACCAAAATTTTTTATTTATGACCCAGATGATCCCCTAAAGTAAGAAATTGAAGATATTAATGGTAAATGGATGTCGAGTTCATTGTTCGGCTTATATGAACCTGAGCCTTCATACACAACTACTATATTTTATGCTTTCTTATAGGTTCACTTATGTTGATTAATTTCTGTATTAATTAAGAATTGTGTAGTAATTCAAATTCAATTAATTGAAGGATTCTATTGCCTTGAAACTTTGCCTGCCAGTAAATGCTCACCATACATTGTATAGTAGTTGTCTACCATCATGGTTGTTGTGACAAGCCAATCAGATGGAATTTTGAGCCAACTTTCTACTCTTTCATTATGTGCACATTCTCTTTTGGAGATTTATTCATATTCTAATTAACTATGCTTTGCAAGTTGTTACTATTTATTAAATATTTTTAATAAGTTGTTTTAAATATGTATTGATATTTACTGTTGATTAACTCTTAGATTATTATTTATCTATAGAAATTTTTTTATCAACAGGTATTTAATTTTTAGTCTATTGCATTGATTTGATGATGGAACAGCAGCTCAGGCAACTACATGATTGCAGCTCAATCTTTATACATTATTTAATGTCATATTTGCATCTAATGTATAATCCTATATGACTGTAGAAAGCCAAGTAAATTGTTGATATATTACAGGAGCTTTGCACAATTTTTGTACCCAAGTACAGGTATAATGTTTATACAAGTGAAACTTTGAGAATGTCAGTATGGGTGTAAATGTTGATTTTTTGTCTTTACAATGTTTATGAAAAATATTCAATTGATCAATCACATGTATAATTTTTGTATTTATATTCAGTATTTAATAAAACCATCTAGAAGCTAAGATTTATTTTCAACCAGAGTCATCCCATTGATTTTTGTGGTTTACAAATAACTTTCTAGTTAAAGTTCACTTTCAAATGGTTAAAAATTTAAAGTTCATGAAAGAAAAGCTTTATTTTGTGTTTAATTCACGGCTTGTTTGATACTTGCACTGTTAAGTATGGATGTATTGTATTGAATCTTTTGAGCACTGATTGTAGTTGTTGAGCATACTAAGTCAAATATTACAGTGATTATGTTTTTACTTTCTTCAGAGGCTTTGACTCGACTCATATCTGGGATTGGCAACAATGATACTGCTAGTCAAAGTAAGTACCTATACATGTTCTATGAAACAATTTATGTGTCCTTTAAGATTTGTTTATTTAACAAAGATTCCAATTTTTTTTAATATTTATTTTCAGATGATTTTAGGTTTTAAAATTTGTCTTTTTTAGGTTTGTTATAAACAAGTTTGCAAATTTTTAGCACATTTCTTCATTTATGGAAAAAAAGGCACTATTGTGCTCGTCATGTCCGTCCGTGACATTAAGTCATGGACGGATGAGAAAATGCGCTCTCTGTCACTCAATGCAGTGAGTACTGAGTTATATTTGTGTTACTATGATACTATCCATGTAGCTCCCTTTGAATTAAATGATAGAATAAAAAAAAAAACTTTAAAATGACACCTTAGCTGTAGCATAACCAAAAAAATACTAGGCAAACTAGTATTAGCTACATAACAAACATGATTGTTTTTAGAATTTTTGTTAGATGAAGCACAACCAAAAAAGTTAAACTATAATAATACTATGTAATATGACTAACTTGTTTTAATTTACAGTAGGACTGCCGTCGGTGCCACCAGTGTGGGTGTGTGGCGTGGAGGCCCCAGCCCACGGTGCTGTGCTACGCAAGACTCACGTGACCTCGTCTGCTGGAGAAGCTCTGGTGGTGCCCATACGCACCATGGTGGCCGTCAACCCTTTACCCACCATGTACACATGGGCTCCTCTTCAGCAAAATTTTATGGTGACTTTCTTTTTAAGATATTTTGAAAGTTATTTTCTATGTTTTAAGATACTTCTCTGGGACTTCATTCTTACAAATTGTTATTGTGATTTTTTTATGTTTACGTAGAAATAATTTTGTATTTAAAAAATATCATCCCTCAAGTCATCATGTACATATGGGCTCCTGTTCATCAAAATTTATTGTGCTTCTTAATTTTAGGGTTTTACATAGAATGAATTTTTTATCTTTGAAAAGTAATAGGTACTTGTCTTGGTACATTTTGTAGTGTTCACTTTAAAAGTATTATGGTATAAGGGCTGAATTTGGAGGCTCTATTTGTAAGTAGATTCTGTTCTGCAGAAATAGGTAAAATATGTAGCTGTGTTTGCAATATCTCCATGCGCATGGGATGGCTGAATGCACCAATTAAAAAATCCAAAAGCTTTACAAAATACCGTATCTGAGTAATTCAGTATCATGAAAGCCATTTTTAAAGTGTGCAAAATTCCAGTTATTTAACAGGTCACAGGTGAGTTGAAAACAAGGTTCGTAATCACTAAGTTTTTCAAGTGTGGACCTGCAAAAAATGTTCATGATCAAAGGGTTGTTTTATAGCAGGTTTGCAAAAAATGTTGATAATTCCAGAGAAAATCAACTGAGGTTGCAAAATACTTTTCTTAATTAAAATTAGAGTGGGTGGGATTGCATGTTGAAAATGATCGGTGGTACGGGATTTAATACATCAAATGTTTATAATCCCAGAGATATTTAAAAGTGTATCTGCATTTTAAACAGTGGGGTGTTATAAAAACTTAATAATTCCATAATTATTTAAGAAAATGTTTGCATTGCAGGTCGAGGACGAGACAGTTCTGCACAACATCCCCTACATGGGGGACGAGGTGCTTGACAGCGACGGCAAGTTTATTGAAGAACTCATCAGGAACTACGACGGAAAAGTCCACGGCGACAACGAGACTGGCTTCATTGATGACGAGATCTTCGTCGAGCTTGTCAAGTGTCTCGTGTCATACCAGGTGTGTGGTCATACCAGGTGTGTGGTCATACCAGGTGTGTGGTCATACCAGGTGTGTTGTCATACCAGGTGTGTGGTCATACCAGGTGTGTGGTCATACCAGGTGTGTGGTCATGTCACGTGTGATGCGTTCATCCACCATCTGAGGGGAGCAGTGGCTGTCTTATTGCTTAGTATTTGTTTGGGACATAGCAGTCTCAGGCCACGATGGATCGCCGCCTCTGATTATCGTTCATCCGCCCTCATTTGGGCCACCTGATGCACGATGCTGTTGCTTGCTTCTCGCCGCTGGTAGTGTTGCAGGGGAGGTCGATCTGGGATTGTGCTCAGGAACACGTCCAGTTGTCTCTTGAAGGTCTCCACAGTCCTCCATTATGGACTTCATCTTCCCTCTCCATCTTATCGTGCCTCCTTCTCTTTCTTATTGTGCCTCCCTCTTCTTACTGTTCTTCTCTCTCCTTTTCGTGCCAATTCCTCTTAATTATCGTCCCCACTCTCCTTGTTATCTCTCGCACCCTCCCCTCTCACCCGTCCCCCTCTCATCATCCCCCTCTCACCCATGTCCCCCTCTCAGCCGTCCCCCTCTCACCCGTCCCCTTCTCACCCGTGTCCCCCAGAAGCGGGACGAGGAGACTAAGGCGGGCAAGAAGCTCTCCAGCAAAGAGCGCCCGCGGGCCCGGGACGTGGCTGACGATGATGACGATGATAATGATGACGAAGATGCTGAAGATGATGATACGCAAGAGGGCGAGGACGAGGGAGCTAAACTTCCTGAAGTGAGTTTGTTGTACATGTAGCGGCCAAGTGTACATATAGTGGTTCAAGTGCACGTAGCGGCCCAAGTGCACATAGCCCAAGTGCACTCGTAACTATTTTTGATAGTACGGCCACTGAGCAGTCACAGGTCTTTTAATTTATGTTATTTATGTTATATAAGTTATATATTATAATATTGAAAAAAACATTTTATATATTTATTATATACAAGCTGAAACAAAAAAGCTCTTAAAAATTGATCATATTTGAGAAGCGATTAATGGCTAATTAAAACAATTATATAAATTTTTAAAGTCAAAAGCTACCTCGTAATCGAATCCTTCTAATAATATCCATGAATAGACGTTTGTTTTCATTTTGTGTCGTTGCATAAAAGTTTTAAAATTATTCACTGACTTGTACTCGTTGCCAAGTTGAAGATAACTTCACCTCGCGTGCACTGTGTAGTGAAGGTAGATGGTTATCAACTCTCTGTTCATCATTCTTACTATTTAATGAAAGTAACCACCACTGCCACAATGGTGTACAATGGTAGATGGTTCCTACCATTTAATTTAAGTAACCACCACTGCCACAATGGTGTACAGTGGTAGATGGTTCCTACCATTTAATTTAAGTAACCACCACTACCACAATAGTGTACAGTGGTAGATGGTTCCTACCATCTAATCTGCCACCATGGCGTGCAGTGGTGGTAGATGTGGTAGAGATAGAGTGGTAGATGGTGGAAGTAACCACCACTGCCACCATGGTGTACAGTAGTTATGGTTATCACCTCCCCTCATCCCTAACATACCATCATGTCGCAGGTGAACAAGAGTCCCCCCGGCTTCCCCTGCTACCAGATCTTCCAAGGCATCGCCGCGCTGTTCCCTGACAAGGGCACGGCCGACGAGCTCAAAGAGAAGTAAGTGGCTGGCTTATATGTCTAATTTATTTCTGATTTAAGCATTGTAGATTATGTTGATTTACTTGAGTTATGCATCAGTTTGTAATTTGTATGCACAGTTATTCACTTCCATACCTATTTCAGTGTTCAATTGAACACAAATAATATTTTACAAATCTCTTTGAGTCCTTCTTGTCGACCAAATAGGAATCTTTCAACATCTCATAATGTTTCAACATCTCATAATGTCCCAACATCATAATATATCTGCAGGTACATGGAGCTGGTTGACCCGACTGCCGTGCCCCCCGAGTGCACAGCGAACATAGACAGCGAGGGCGCCCTGAGTGTGCCCCCCGAGCAGTCCATGCACAGCTTCCACACGCTCTTCTGCAGACGCTGCTACAAATACGACTGCTTCTTGCACCGTGAGCTATAATATTTACCGTATTTCTTATCTTTACCGTATTTCTTGCTTATACAGAAGGCTTTAGGGAATACATACGGTTTATCTTCCGTTTTCTTTGTTATGTGAGAATATTTTATTACACACGCTCTTCTGCAGACGCTGCTACAAATACGACTGCTTCTTGCACCGTCAGTTATAATCTTTACCGTATTTCCTGCTTAGGCTTTAGGGAATAGATACATTTTATTTTCTGTTTTTTTTTATAGGTAATACCGAATTTTTTATTACACACGATCTTCTGCTGACGTTGCTACAAATACGACTGCTTCTTGCACCGTAAGATTTAATTTTTACCGTATTTCTCTCATAAAGAGCAGACCTATGGAGATAAATACGGTGTTTTATTCTTGCAATGTTTTGAACTCGAAGTCTGCAAAGATACTTTTTAAACAGGACGTGTTTTTTGTGGTTTTTCTTCTCAATTTAATTTAAAGTTCGCAACGCATTTGTAAAAAATATAACTCAGTACTCACTGCAGTGAGTGACAAAGAGCGCATTTTTTCGTCGACGAAAACTTGAGGTCACGGACAGACGGACAGACAGACGGAAGGACGGACATAGCGAGCACAATAGTGCATTTTTTCCATAAATGAGAAAATGCGCTAAAAATGCCTCTATGGATGGGCTCTTCCTATTAGAGAATAGTTCATTATTATGAGAAAGTTTTATCTTCAATTAAAAATAAATTGAGAATTATAACTAATTGATGTATCGGTGACCTCAAATACCCCCGTTTACAGCAATACAACAATAAATTGCACCCTGCCGTAAGTTAGGTGCAAAAGGTGAGTTTTAGTGCAAATTTCTCGAAAGAAATCTTGAAAAATCTCTGTCTCTGGGAGTGGTGTGAGTTCAAAGTTCTTATGCGCGACTCTTACTGCGTTGGTCTGCTTAATGAGTATCACATTAAATGAGACTCAATGAGCAAAGAAATGAATACACACATATATTAGGATATATATTTAATCTCAAATAATAAGTGAGCTACTGGACATACTTTTTCTTCATTAAAACAAACGCAAAAGTGCTACCGTAATAAACAAAGCACTTGAAAGAATATGCGCTATGAGAGTATATGTTCACTTAGATTTTACCGATGTTCACAGAAAATGGATATTTAAGAAGCCGGAATAGGCATGCTATTCGATCATGTTTTAACCCATGCTTGCAATATATCTTAAGTATGAACTGATGTTTGTGTGCAGCGTCCAGGGATTTGAACGAATGTCCCGGTGAGTAGATTATTGCTCGATATCACAGTCACTGCTCGATATCACAGTCACTGCTCGATATCACAGTCATTGCTCAATATCAGTCACTGCTCGACATCACAGTCATTGCTCAATATCATCGTTATTACGGTATTACCGTCATTGCTCAATATCATTATCGTCTTCGCTCGATGACATCGTCTTTCCTCGATATCATTACGTTTTTCAGTCACTGATTATCCGCCAGCATTGATAGTTCGTTCATAAACAGATTTTTACCCTCAAGCATCGACTCAACATCATCTGCGCTCACTCGTTGACACGAAATCGTTTGCGCTCACGGTTTGGCTGAACATCATTTGCTCTCACTCGTTCGCTGAACATCATTTGCTCTCACTCGTTCGCTGAACATCATTTGCTCTCACTCGTTCGCTGAACATCATTTGCTCTCACTCGTTCGCTGAACGTTATTTGCGCTCACGGTTTGGCTGAAAATCCTTTGTTGCGCTCAGTCCTTCGCTGAAAATAATCATTAGCGCTCATCGTTGACTCGACATCATTTTCGCTCATGTTCGATCCTTGACGTGTCACTGCATTTTCGATGTTGAATTATCCTTCTTTCAAGATCATAAATGTGACGTCTGATGTATTTTAAATATATTAAAGTCGTCCTACTAATTCGTACTAGCTTCTTCCCACCTTCTCATCAACACTTGAATCACCATTCCAGCCAATCACCATTCCAGCCAATCACCATTCCAGCCAATCACCACTCCAGCCAATCACCACTCCAGCCAATCACCACTCCAGCCAATCACCATTCCAGCCAATCACCATTCCAACCAATCACCATACCAGCCAATCACCATACCAGACAATCACCATTCCAGCCAATCACCATTCCAGCCAATCACCATTCCAGCCAATCACCATTCCAGCCAATCATCATTTCAGCCAATCACCATACCAGCCAATCACCATTCCAGCCAGTCACCATTCCAGCCAATCACCATTCCAGCCAATCACCATGTCAGCCAATCACCACTTCAGCTAATCACCATTCCTCAATAATCCCGTTGCCAAGCTCAGCATTTTTGTTTTATATTTTTTTAAGATCTTCTTGCAATTTGATATTACTAATTTTAGTTTAATAACTTTTAGAAAAGTTCAGTAATTCTACTCTGAGTTTCCTATTGAACAAGTCTTTTTTATTTTTATTTTTTTAATTATCGAACAAGACTGTTCTGGCAGTTATTTTATTAACATTTATATATTTCAGCACAACGGTTGCTCTAAAATATATCTAATTAAATGATATTTTATTTAATTGATGTATTATCTTATTTGGTTGTTTTTGAATTGCATTAAATCACGACTTGATAAATGCATACTCCTCATGGTAAGATAACTATTTATCAATATTATTCATATTTATAAGTTTCTACGCACTTGTTTTCTGTTGTGTGATGAATTCCTCGTCTCGTAAAATCACTTGTAAATATTGTTGACACAACTTTGTTTTAAGGAGTGTACCATTTAATGAGTTCGGTAATCCTTCTACTTACCCCACTCTTTAAATGTCAGCTGCTACCATATTAAGTATTACTAATAACCAATTATTAGATATCTGGCTAATTGCCTTATATTCATTATTTATATTCAATATTATTGAATATAATGCATAATATTCTTGCTCAATCATAATTTTGTAATCGTAGTTACTTTCTTGTCTAGGGTACCGAAGGAGGTACATACATTGATTCATTGTCAGACTCGTGCTTCAGAAGATGAATGGCCACTTCACTCTAACTGGAATATACATAAAATTTACTTTTCTTGCACTGAAAAATATTATTCCGAATATTTTTATTAATTAATTACTTTTAGTAAAGTATACATTTCGTAATAAATTTGACCCACGTTGGTCTGTCTATGAATTGAAAAGAATAAAATGTAAGTTAGTATGCACTAAATTCATTTGGAGATCCTTTCATTTATGAGAAAGTTAAATCTTGAGTAAAGAATACCATGAGGACAATATATAGTTTATCATAATATATTTGATTTACGGTTTTGGGCAAAGGCATTCATCCTTCACAATGAGAAAATGAAATCTCTAATACAGAGTCCAATGAAAAGATTATTGAACATACATTAAAATCATGACCGTTTATGTGCCAAGGTTCATCACAATGAAGAATTTACAGTGAAAACACTATAGAAACTATACAACAATACGAAAGCTCACTATCCTACTATAATAAACTTTCAATAATTCTATAATAGTAAATCAACATTTTTGTGCCAAGGGTCATTACAATGAAGAAGTGTGAGCTTGAATACAAAATACAATGAAACAGTATAGAACCATATCATACTAAAAAACTTACCATCTAACAATAATAAACTTATAATAATATAATAACCTATTAACATTTTTGTGCCCAGGTCTGGCATCCTCCCACCCGCGCCCCGGCATCAACAAGCGCAAGAGCCCCGAGCTGCGCGCTCTCAGGGAGCCTTGTGGCGCTGAGTGTTACCTTAACCTGGTCAGTGCATTAAACTTTATTGAATATTTAACAAAACTAAGCACTTCCTGATGCTGGGAGTACCAGGATTCTTGTAGTAACTTGACTCGGCCTGGACCTCTGTTATACTACCGTGACCTGGTAGTGGCCACTAGGGGAATTATAGATCAGTTCAGGACACCAAAAATCAGTTTTCCAGGACACTAGGGCCACTGATACTTCTACAACCATCAGAGGTTCGTTATCCCGCCAGACCCATTTTAGACCCGCTTTCCAAAAAACTTATCCTTCTTAATTGGGACTGGAATCGCCGGGTCATTGAATACGAAAAACGAGCAATGACCGACAACCTCTTACCAGCACAACACTACAGCTCGCATATTTGTATTAACGCGTATTTTTATTGCCTACGTACAGTACGTGGGCGCTGAAGCAACATGGAATTCTTTTTTTTTTTTTCTAGATCAATTTAGCCTGACGACACGATCAGTTTCAGAATCTCAGCATCTCCAGAATCTCTTCTGAACGTTTTTTCATATAAAATGATTTTTTTTGCCGTTCCTTCGTTTTTAAATTCTTGTTAAATTTGTGATTTAATCGATAAAGTCGTGTTTAATAGTTGATACGTATCCAGTATTTCTTCCGAAGGTTTTTCTCAAATAAAATGAATTTTTTACCGTTCCTTAGCCTTTAATATCTTGTTAAATTTGTGATTTAATCGATGAAGTGATGTTAATACGTAACTACATATTTGCTGCAGCCTGGCGTACGGAACACAGGCACCAGCGGTTCATCAAGCGTGGCAGGGGAAGACGTGTGTCAGGACTCCATGAACTCCTGCAGCAGCAGCAGCATCGTCGCCAAGACAACGACCAGCATCGTCAGCAGCAACAAGTTACGTCGCAGTTCGTCACAGGATCGCGGTAATGACGATGACAGCTCCGAGGAAAGCAACGATAGCATGAGACTTGTGCGGTACTTTGCTGCTGCTTCTGCCGCCGCTTGTGCTGGTGCCGGCCCGTCGACCTCTTCTGATGGTGGGTTGCCTACACAAAGCTTGCCCACACAAGGCTTGCCTACACAAGGCCTGCCTACACAAGGCTTGCCCACACAAGGCTTGCCTACACAAGGCTTGCCTACACAAGGCTTGCCCACGAGCAATACACAAGAACACACGATTTTTCTGCCAATTTTTCTCACACAAACAATCCGAGTGAAATGTAAAGCACACACATTCAAGTAAAACAAACATTATTATTATTACAGAAGCAATATAATTTTTAAAAATGGAACGCTAAATGCTTGATAGTTTACTAATTTTAAATACAGTCATTTAAATTTTGTCACATTTTTTGCTTCTCTTTTTAATATATTCAAAAATTTTGCAATGCCTAGGAAATTGACGGCCGAGATCGAATTAAACCCGAGGTCTTCCTATCGCTTTTTTAGCGATAGGAAGACTTTTTACATTCCTATCCTAAGGCTTTTTTAGCGAACTTACTTACAGTAACTTTTCACTTCGAAAAGTTACTTCTTCACTATAAAGCCAAAGCTAAAAAAAATATGGATGACGTTGTTGAACAAAGTGTTAGCGTGGCGTAAGTTATATTTCAGTGTCACATTATGCTTTCTCTCAATTTGAATCGCTTAATGTAAGGAGAGAAACCTTACCTTAATACAATCTAGAAATGGTACCGGTATTATCTTAACACAATCTGGAAATGGTATAAGTACAATGTATTAATGCTTCTGTATGCTCCTAGCTTTCTTTGTTGTTGTGGAACAGCTATTCAAGAAATCGACTATTTCGGTCTTTGCGCATAAGGAGATAACCACAACGACATCAAACCTTAAACTAATATTGTTTTCACTGTAATATTTTTCCCTTTAAGGTGCCTTTTTGGTTGATAAACAGCAACACATTTCCCAAACACTCGCCTACGTATTAACTAACCTTAACCATTCCCCCAACACTGACCTCAGTGACCTGTAAATCTAATAGATAGGAACACTGAGAGAAATGAGCAAGGCTTGGTCCAAATAGCGATGCACTTTTTGCTCTTGCATGGGTCACCCTGACCCAGTTTGCTTCTGGCAAAGGGGGCGTATCAGTGCTATACGTGCAGAAGTGTGTCACTATTTGGACAAACTGAGCCACTCATTCACGAGTGCAAGACATGACACTTGAATTTTTCGTCAATAGATGTGCCATTGGTGCTCTGCATCACAATTATTTATGGTGCTCTGCATCACAATTATTTATGGTGCTCTGCATCACAATGATTTATCACCACTTGGGTGGTGCTCTGCATCACAATAATTCATCACAATTGCTCATCACATCACTCATGTATCACTCATTCATGCAGCAAGAGTGACTGCGTCAATCGAGACTTGAGATCTCCTTTATTGGCTGTTATTTCGCGAGCTACGACTTCTGCCCAAGGTTTGTGTCTACATTCTAAACTAAATTTGTAGAGATTGAGAAAATCCTAAGATCCGGAATTGGTTCACGGTGCGTATCTTAGGTAAGATTGGCTATTAAGACGAATTAGATTTCATTATTATCTTTCTGCTAATTGTTGGGCGGGCATTTGTTTGATCTCGTCTGTTATCGGCATCGATTTTACATGCCGTGGTTTTAATTTAAATGCCGTATTCTTGCTTTAATTCCTGAACCTAATAAGGAATTGCATTTTTCATTGGTAATTTTAATCATTTTTGGTTTTCGATGCAGTGAATTTGATTTTTTCTTCATATTTCATTGTTGGTTTTATGCAATCAAGACGAAATTTCAAACTTCAATATAAATTGTAACTTCACGTTTTTACATTAATGTTGAATTACAGCAGTTTCTGCTAATTTAAATCTATTACTTGTTCATGCAAGAAGTCCTATACAAGCATTCATTATTATTTTTACGTTCAATTAAACTTTGTTGAAATTCAATTGCCTGTATACCATCAATTATATCTTTGTTTATAAATTTCTATTGGCCCTAAATCATTAATTCTGTTTACTGAATTGAGATTGCAATAACGATTATTTACTCACAATTCGTATTATAATTATTAACATGATTTGCATTATCCTGTTAGCGGATGGAACACATTGCAGGAAGCCGGCGCTAGGATACTGAACCCTTCAAAATTGTTATGAAAAAAATCCCTAGCATATTATTTTCCTCGATAACTCATTATATTTTCGGTGACTGTAGCATATGTCATAAGTCAGTCAGTAAATAACTTCACATATTTACATATTTATGGATGAACATATATTTACAATAAAACGCCATTTGAGAGGCGACAAATGTGTATAGTTAGTCGCTAAAAGCAGTCGTAAGCAGGCTCGTAAGTTTCGTAAGAAGGATTGAATAAAATTCATGGTAGAGGAAACATAAACTTGATAAAAAAAACGTTTTTCAATAGTTTATACGTTCTTGGATTCTTATGTAGCTCTTACATTAACGACTCTTATAGTTCCAGCTTTTTCAAAGCTTTTAGCTCTTGAATGTGGACATATGTATTAAGGACTTCAGCAGCTCCATAAGTGTCAAAAAACACATTAGACTCGACACATTGAACAGTTCTCAAGCCTAATGGTCTAACGTGGCTCTGCCATTATGTGTTCTTCACATCTCGCTCCCTTTTTGCCTTCGTTCTTATGAAATCATACGAGCATTGCTCATTTTTTTTTTGACATTTAAATTACTCATTAGTCAGAGCAAGTCTCGGATGCAAATGCATTTAAGGCTGCAGCAGAACTGTGGGTAAATAGGGGCATTCAGCCATTTTCCTGGGATAACAATGGAGCAAAATATTTAGAAATTATTAAATTTAGCTAGAAATTATCAGTGTTGACAATAGAGAAAAAACACTATGCTTATGGTCGTTATATAATTGATAAGGTCAAAACATGAAAAAATTTGAGTAGCGCCGGACTGCTATTTCTTTGCAAAATATCTGCACTTTTTTGTAAAACCTCAAAATCCTTTAGAAAAAAATTATTTCGGGCTTTAAATTGTGTGCTTTTGCTATTTCAGGTTCAATCGAGGAAAATAATATGCAAGGGAACGTTATTTTTGGCTTTAGGTCTTCAAAATTTTTCGGCTTACAAGAATCTCGATTTTTCTTTTCAAAATTTCTCGAAGACCAGGCGCTCTCACGCTTCATTCACATCTCATGAATTTTACTCCTAATAATGAATGTTGCATTGAATAATGTTATTTGATACTACTTAGGATATTTTATTGTTGTACTATATTACGAGGTACTCATTTTATTAATAACAACTATGAAATATTTATCATGTCCTATTTACTTGTCAATTTTTGACACAGATGTAGGCAATGCTTTTGTTGTTTACATTTTTTTATTCATCATAATTTAAACTTCCCACTGACTTGTGAAGAACGTACTTGCAACTACTATGTGAAGAATTAAACTTGTATTCCATGAATGAAATTTGTGTTCTATGAATTTTCTTGTATTACCATGAATTACCATGTGTTTTGCTTCATCAGGCCATGTAGGCGGCAGCTCAGGTAACGGTATTCGCCGACAGAATAGCTTTAGTGGAATTACCGGCGTTACCAACGGTACAAATGGCCATGACTGCGAGAGAGCGTCTGGCAGTAACAAATATTACGGCTGTGAGAACGACCGTAACGGGAAATACGTGTACACGGCCCCGTGTGACGCTGCACAACGCAGTCTTCTGGCCGTACTTCGCAGTGACCGTACGGAGGGAGCTCAACAAAATATGGGGGAAAACAATCCGAAAGACGAACGCGATTTGGTGGGAAAAATACTAAAAGAAGAAGGGGAGTTGGAGGGCAACAACCCTAAAGACGGACGTGAGTTTGGTGACAAAAACTCGAAAGACTCCAAAGATTTGTTGGAAAAATCTATTAAAGACGAAGGGGAGTTGGGAACCGGAGGGAGGAGTGACGACAGTTGGCTGGGATCAGAAGCCTCGCTTTTCCGAGCTCTTCAGAAGGTTTTTCTGAACAATTACTGCGCTATTGCTCAGGCCATCATGTCCAAAACTTGTCAGCAGGTGAGCAATGTGAACAATTATGTTTGCAATAATTAGTTTTCTTTCGATATTAATTGCTTACTTCAGCAAATCGATTATGAATTTAGCAACCGTATCAGAATAATTGAAATTTAACATCCGTATTCTGAATAATTACTTCTCTATTTATTGTATACGGATTTGACTTAACCATTCTTCGGTAGCTTCTGCTAAAAACAAGGGCCTAACAGCTTCTGCGACATTTTGATCTCTCTATTTTTTTTGGTGGCCATTGAAATGCGAGCATAAAAGTAAAGCCTGTATCATCCTACGACATGCCACTGCTATCCACTGAATATCCATAATGATGTACAGGTTTATGAGTTCCTTACAATTAACAGGTTTATGAGTTCCTTACAATTAACAGGTTTATGAAACAGTGTACAGGTTTATAAGTGCCTCACAATGTACAGGTTTATGAGTGCCTCACAATGTACAGGTTTATGAGTTCCTCACAGTGTACAGGTTTATGAGTGCCTCACAATGTACAGGTTTATGAGTGCCTCACAATGTACAGGTTTATGAGTTCCTCACAATGTACAGGTTTATGAGTTCCTCACAATGTACAGGTTTATGAGTTTTCTCGCCTCGAGAGCACCGAGCTGCCGGCAGACGCCGTGCAGAAGGACAGCACTCCGCCCCGCAAGAAGAAGAAGAAACACAGGCTTTGGTCCATGCACTGCCGCAAAATTCAGGTAATTCATCCACATATGTTTGAAAATTCATCCATATTTCGAATTTTATTTCCGAATTTTCTATAAATAAGTATGAGAATATTAATAAATAATATATTAACAAAAATTTAATAAGCGGGACTAATCAGTCAGACTTTGGTCCATGCACTGCCGCAAAATTCAGGTAATTCATGAGCATATGTTTGAAAATTCATCCACATTTCAAATTTTTTTCCCATCCTTTGCATAAATAATTATTAGAATATTAATAAATGATATCATGAAAACAATGTAATAAGCAGGACTAATCAGTCAGACTTTGATCAAGGCAATGCCGTAAAATTCAGGGGACACATTAGCATAGTCTACGCATTTCAAACTTTAAGCTAAAATAACATAATAAGTGGGACATACTATATAATAAAATGAATATATAATTATTATATATAATAATATATAACATAACGCAATAATTTATGCGCATTTTTAACCAGCTTAGGCTTAGTCTGAAACAATTAATGTCTGTCCAATTTCTATCACAAAAGAGAATATCCTATGCATTTCTTACGTTCGTTCGTACTTCCTCGTGGGCTTAGGATGAAATAATATATTAAGCGGGACTCGTCAGTCAGACTTTGGTCAATGGATTGTTGTAAAATTCGGATGATCCAGGGCATATTCCGTGCATTTTTAATGTCCAGTCTAACGTTCGCTTAGGCTCAATATATAAGATATATTGATATAAGATATGTACGATATTTCAATAATATAAAATATATAAAACGGGATTCATCAGTCTGACTTTGGTTGATGCACAGCAACAGTCATTTATTATTTCAGAGAACGCAGGGCTACTAATATTTTATAATACCTAATACATGTAACTAAGTCACTTGGATGCGTGCGAAGTCTCCTCACTCATATTTTTTAATACATTTTTCAGCTCAAGAAAGACTCGAGCAACAACCACGTGTACAACTATTCTCCGTGTGACCATCCTAACCAGCCGTGTGATCAGAACTGTGGCTGCATCCTGACTCAGAACTTCTGCGAGAAGTTCTGCCACTGTAGTCCCGACTGTGAGTAGCTGGGAAATGGTCCTTTTTTGGTAGGTTCTCTTTCAGCTGTAGGTTCTATCTTCCTGACTCAGAACTCCTGTGAGAAGTTCTGCCACTGTAGTCCCGACTGTGAGTCGCTGGGAAATGGTTCTTTTTTTAGTAGGTTCTCTCTTGCAGCTGTAGGTAGGTTCGGGCGTTCTGACTTAGAACTTCTGCAAGAAGTTCTGCCGCTGCAGCCATAGTTCTGCTCCTCTGTTGGTTCTCGCTATATAATTTCAACAGATTATCCTTCTAAGTGAAGGCATAATTGCATTGTATTTTATCAACCTGCAATTTGGAATCATTTTTAACCATTGTAGGGGTTTTTCAGCTTTTAATAAATTAAAAAATTAAGTAAGTAAATTTATCAAATTACATCTAATATTGATTTGAATGAATTTATACATAGGATAATGTTACGTGTAGTTTAGTGTATAACTCTTCCTATTATTATGTGTTATTCTCACCCATTCATTTCTTTGGTATTGGATATTTTCACCAAAAATTAAAAATAAAGAAAATGTCAAGTAAATTCACCAGCTCCTTCATCAGTTCAAAAATATATAGAAAACAAGTACAATTCTTATTTCTATTTGTATATTTTATTAAATATTTTTCTTATTGACGCCATATTTTCAATCAGTTCAAAAACACATAGAATACAAGTACAATCTCATTTCTATTTGTATATTTTATTGAATATTTTTCTTATTGACGCCATATTTTCAATCAGTTCAAAAACACATAGAATACAAGTACAATCTCATTTCTGTTTGTACATTTCTATGGAATATTTTTCTTATTGAACGCCAAACTTTGCATCAGTTCAAAAACATAAAGAATACAAGTACCGTACCATCGTATTTCTATTTGTATATTTCTATTGAATATTTTTCTTATTGACGCCATATTTTCAATCAGTTCAAAAACACATAGAATACAAGTACAATCTCATTTCTATTTGTATATTTCTATTTGTATATTTCTATTGAATATTTTTCTTATTGAGCGCCATATTTTTCAGGCCAGAACAGGTTCCCCGGGTGTCGGTGCAAGGCTTCGTGCAACACGAAACAGTGTCCGTGTTTCCTGGCGGTGCGGGAGTGCGACCCTGACTTGTGCACCACGTGCGGTGCTAATCAGTTCACCGTCGCAAAAATTACATGCAAAAACGTCTCCGTCCAGCGCGGTCTACGTAAGTTACTTGACCTGTACAATAGACTTATTTTATGTAGATCTTCCTTAATCAGTTCACCGTCGCAAAAATTACATGCAAAAACGTCTCCGTACAGTGCGGCCTACGTAAGTTACTTGAGTTACAATAGACTTTTTTATGTAAATCTTCCTTTTTGACTCATATATACTTCATCGTGATGAGTATTGCGTATACTAGCATTTTCATCGGTTAAATATTGAATGAAATCAGGTAGATGAGGATATTTAAAATGAAAATTTTATCTCCTTTGTTAAAATACCATGTGCGTGGAGATATAATATTGTTAAATCAGAATATAAAATACGTTGAAGAAATATTCAAGATTTAGATTTTATTAGCTTCAGTTTGCTGCACATTTTTCTATTAAATCCGTGTGCACAATAAGTCCAAGCTATTATCTTAACAACAATTTACATTGATATTATATTTCACAGATAAGCACTTGCTGATGGCCCCATCAGATGTGGCTGGCTGGGGCATATTCCTCAAGGACTCAGTAAATAAGAACGAGTTCATATCAGAATATTGCGGCGAGATTATCTCCCAAGACGAGGCTGATAGACGCGGCAAAGTCTACGACAAATACATGTGTTCATTCCTCTTCAACCTCAACAACGGTTGGTTCAGTATTGTATTCTATATTTTTAGATGAAATCGTTGTCTGCGTCGAGCATCACGCTTGATTAGATGACGGCTTGAGATTGGACGCGGAAGAGCGGCCACGAGAAGAGGAAGGTGAGCAAATGATGAGATGATGGGCAGGAAGGCTGCAACCTGCAGGTAACTGGGACTTCAGGGAGGAGACGGGGAGGTCTGTGAGGAGGACGGCGGGTATGTGAAGAGGTGTTTTGAGAATTGGAGAAGGTGTCCACTCATAACAAGCCGGGCTTGTGAAGCGTTCCAGCTTGGTTGTGCAGGACCTGTTTATCCCAGTTACTGGAGGATCACAGCCATATCCTGGCCAAGCTGGAAGAGAAGACCGGGGTTGACATGGTGAATTTAGACTTCGCGAAAGTGCTTGCCAAAGTTGACAATGGAATGATCAGAAAAGAAAGACAACTGGAGGACAGACGTGTTTTGTTGGCAAGGAGACACAACTTGCTAGCTGATCGACTTGATGGAGACTCGAAGTCAAGTGAGGGAAGAGTGAAATGTGAAATATTACGGACGAACGTCCGTGCATTGATATTCCTCAAGCACATTGCCGACATACATGTGACAGTGAGCCACGCCTCGACCTCGGACAATAGTCGACACTACTAGTGGACTGATGCCTATTACGGACAGGACAGCAGGCGAGAGGTCGCAAGTCATGTCTGCAATATCAGACTGGGCGCAAGTGCCTCGACATGAAATTCAATGGAACCAAATTTGAAGTTCTAAGTAACAGAGGTAGGTGAAGAGTCAGGATGGAACATCGTTACCTGGGTCCAGAGGGAATGGAAATTGAAGAAAAAGAACGCTTTCGCGTTCTAAGAGTGATGATAAATACCCAGGTTGAATTTGGTGATTACCTAACGTTAATAGCCGCAAAAGCTAGGCGGCGATGATAACACTCTTCAAGCTCTTGCTATTCCTCTCCTTGAATACTGATGCAAGCTCTGGAACCTGTTCACATTCGACGCAGTGCGACAATTTGAACAGATCCAGCAAACCTTCATTTCCAAGATCAGCGGGATGGAAGAGCTGAACTATTGGGTGTGGTTGATGTGTCTGGGCTTGTACTCACTGCAGAGGAGACTGGATAGGTGTAGCTTTCTGCTACTGACATGTTTCGAAGGAAAATGTGAAAACAGGGGAAATGAGAAAGGGAAACTAAAGTGGAGCTGGATATTTTATGATGCGAACAGTTTTCTACGCTTTTCTTATGCCATTTGCATGCCTCCAAGATTCGAAGCTAATAGACCCTTATTCACCATGGAGCGGTAGGCTACAAGTTCGTTGCACTGGATTTAAGTTGAAGTGTGAGTTCCAAGCGGAAGGAGAGTCGGAGAGCCAAGGAGGTAAGGTTGGACAGGCCGTTGATGCAGAGCTTGCCTCGCGATAGCACTGGAGCACTGCTGGGTAGAGGTTAGGCCCGAATATCTTTTGTGGATCAAGACATTACATCATGAGCGTAAGACAACGTCCACATGACCAGCGACTCGCTGATTGTACAATGGTGAGACCTGAGTTGGAATGAATTTCCTGAGCGAAGAGAAGAGAGAGGAAGACGAAGAGGTAGTGGGCCGTCGAGAGGGTGAAGTATTTCTCACGGGGATGGAACAGTGGCTAAGGGAAGGAAGCGATATGATCTGACCACGTACGAAAGGGTGAGCGAGCTCTTCGGCACATGAGGTGTCGATTTTAGGTTTCTTCTGTCCCGACGCGGAGCCCGCTGGAACCCACCGGTGGGGAACCTACACGACGTAGAAGTAGCCGAGTTTGAAGGCATGCATTTTTCTGGATTACCAAATAATCGTGTGTTGAATTAACGTACCATTCATTCAGCAATATAAGATATTGTCTATTATTATTTTTTTTACATGCACACTTTTCGTTCTCAGACTTCGTCGTGGACGCAACTCGGAAGGGGAACAAGATTAGGTTCGCCAATCACTCTATAAACCCGAACTGCTATGCCAAAGTCATGATGGTTAACGGCGACCATCGCATTGGCATCTTCGCCAAGCGTCACATCGCTTCTGGGGAGGAACTCTTCTTTGATTACAGGCGAGTTTGAACTTCTTACCTGGGACAAGTTCAGTTGAAACTTTCCACTTGGGAATTATGCTCATCCCCATGTATATCTAGTTAACTGATTGATACTCTTCCTTGAAAAAATTATTTTGCAGCTTTTTATATAGATGTTAATTTTATATCATAAAATATAATTTGTAGTTATATTTTATAGCAATCTAATCAAACCTCGAACATTCCAATGCAAAAGTCGGTGAATTCAAATATAAATTTTACATAACGCTGATTATAATTATTGTTAGAAATACGCAATTGAGATTAAAAACGCATCATTTTCAGATATGGACCGACGGAGCAACTGAAATTCGTCGGGATCGAGCGAGAGGTGGAACCGTATCGACTGTAGGCTCCTCAGGTGCCAGTCGTTTCATTTCAATGAAATTGTCGATTATGGTCAAATTTTTCAGAGATTTTTTCCACGGTTAGTTATGAACTTAATCAAGTTTCGTTAACATTTAATCCCAGTTCGCCATCAATGAGAAAATGCGAATAAGTTGAATTCCCTCAATTCAAATTTCCGTTATTTAGTGGCATCTCTTTCATTAATATTGTGGAAGAAGCTATTTATATTATGAGAAATTCATTTGCCCACGAACTGCCGTATTAGTACAAAACTATGATAGACATTCAATGATTCCAATATAGATGATTATGATCAATAGATGATAGCATCCAAGGTTATTGTTATCATTGACACCTTGCGTCATATTTTGGATCCTGTTTTCTAAAGTTTAATTTAAAAGAAAAGCTTTCAGAGGGTTGCAGGTGACAGGATGTAGAGCTATGTAAACTTTATTAAAAGCGGGCCCGTTGAAAAAAAGATGCCCGTTTAATGCGGGCATCTTTCACAAACCGTCTATCTTAAAACAATTGAGTTGAGTTGAACCATTTAGTGGCCGCTACTTCCCGCAACCATGCAGTTACGAGAAAGTAACATTTAGGGCTTGCACACAACTGCTAAACAGAAATCATTATCTGGTTTTGATCCTTTAACAATGTACCAGTTAATAGTATTAAAAACATTGATGTACAAAAGCTGGAACGCCCCTCTAAAAGCGCTTCCGAAAATTTCTACTGTACAAGGAAGACGTACATATATGAAAGTTTCGATGTCGAATGTTCGATGCGTTGAGGTAATAAAATCATCATTAGGCTAAATTGTTTACTAGTAACATTTTAATGATACTCAAAATTTTTATTCACTAACCGCTAAGTGATGAACAAAATATAACTCAAATTACGTGAAGCGCGTATAATTTTAAACACTTGATAATAATAACCGAAGCATCACACGACCATCAACTTCTCTCCAGAGGAAAGACATTGAGAGAAGATATAAGATTCATTAGAGTCCATGCGGAATGGTGATAACGGAGAGAATCTACTCCCGACACATCAAGTTAATATTTTAATATTCACATTAGAAAACATCTCTGCTCGCCAACCCTCCCAGCTGCTTCGTTTACGTTGGCGCTTATAACCTCGGACTCGTTTAATGGGAAAAATAGTCGAGGAATTTCCTGCCTAATTCAACAGGCGCCGACCAGTTAACTCCTTCAACGTGAACCTTCGTGAGAAGAATACGAACAAGAGCGGAGCTAAAGATTAAGAGAACTGAATACGACTCGACAAGAGTGGAGGAAGACAGTACGTCGTGATAGCAACGCGTGATAGTCAACTAAGAGTTTAGTTGCTGTGGCAGTAGCTTAGGGCAAAAGTCGACGACCGTCCCTAGGATACCCGTTGTTCCACGCCTTACGCTAGCATGCAGTCGAAACTCTTCCAACAATACAAGTGATACCAAGACGGACACAGTAAATTGAGGTGAGGTAGCTTTCGTATGCTAGAATTAACAAGCAACCATACAACATTATGGCCGTTTGTAACTCAGCGAATGTTCCTTTCCTCAAAACGAACATCGAAGATAGCAGACCATTTCGTCTGTGCTGCTAAATAGCTTCAAACACGTGGTGAAGAGTGACCTTCTTACCTTTAACAGAGCAATGATAAAAATCTATTGCACTGGTGAATGCCATCTGTTAGTGTCATTGATGGAGTGCTTTCGTCGGCGTCTACATAGCTTTGTTATTGGTCTTTCAGAGGAGAGCTCTGTACAGTGAATATCTGTCTACAGATAAAGCTATCTTGATAGCGAGGGTGTTGAAAGAACTCGTGCAACGCTTGCTTCACCAACAAACACCAGTTATTGCATTTCAAACCAGATCTTAGAACATTCGATCAACGACCCAGCAACCTCCCTCCACACGCCTTTTGCAAGAACGGAAGGGATACCAGGGCATCGTCATGTTTTAGGCGCTTGAACATAAGTACATTAGTGGCGCAAGTATAACCTACCAAATACTGACCGCCACCATTAATTGTGCTACTGGCCTCATGTATAATAAACGCTACTGGACACGTAAGGGTCCCAGTAACCCCTTACACGAAGACAGAAGAATCAATAGTAGTAGTTAGCATCTATAAATTGCACTGGCCGCCACTAGTGGCCCCCTGTACAAGAACCATTAGCATTTTTTACTCTGGGTCTCGAGACGACGTTAGTACCTAATAAGAGAAACCATATAAGAGATATATGGTATTTCTCTCGTGGTAATTATTGATGATACGCGAACCATAAACTTTAGGCTACCTCAAGAGTATGAATAATGACGCTGGAAGACGAAAACTTCGTTCGAATTAAATTGACAGAACACAAAATACTGGTCCCAGATCTTTCAGGTTTGATGATATTCAGAATCATTATCATAATAACAGAATCATGGTAAAAAAATAATCAAAAACGAGCATAAACTTCTTGATATGCGCAAATTTGGGCGAACAAAAATAAATATACTTTAATGATTGGAAGAACATCGCAAGATAATATTCTGGAATATTAACAAGGAATATTCCAGATGAAGGAAAAAGTCAACAACCTACGCCGAGAAGACGATGAAAGTCACACCTACGAAATAGGGAGACACTCGCAACAACAACAGATGGCAGTAAAAGAGGCGCCAGCATCGGTGCGGTTGTCCTCGCTTTTCTCAACATTACCTACGAGTTCCAAAATGTTGTGGTCACCCTTCCAATTCGCCAAAAATTACCATGAAATGTTTTCCAATATTCCAGTAATAGAATTTAGATTTTTTAATTATTATTTTTATTTGAATATTTGTAATTAATTTGTAATGTAATAATTAATTATTTTAATAATTAATTTCGATTTTTCTTGAATTGTTCGATCGAATATCGAGGAATTTTCAAAGATGCACCTCTGTTCATAAATTTAAGGGTAAAAAGAACAATTTTTTAATAACTCGTTTTAAATGTTGAGAACTCGAGAGCTTGCACCGCTACCACACCTCGGCCAACATACAGACATTACAGCACAGCACTCAACCATAACAATTTGCACTGCACTACACTTGATACAATAGGATTAATGTTAGTTATTAATAGTTATTAGTTATATCTTTCTAAACTTTCTTCAATCACTAAAATAATAAGGCCCTCTACTTGATAACGGAACTTAAGATATTTCTTTCATCAACTAATAAAGATTAAAGTATTGAACACACCAACACGTGCACAACATGCAGAGTGTTTTCCAAAGTGCTACTGCTGCTGTTACACCCACAACGAATAAAAAATACATAATTTTGATACAAAGTCCTTTATTTTTTGCCGTTTACTGACCCAAGAAATTTCTTCGGGAATAAAAATGATTGATCTATCGAGAAGTTGGAATTAGAACAAAACCCCAAAAATATCATTTGTTTAGAAACAAGGAACGGATTTTACCAATAAATGATCAATGCTTAACACGCGGTCTTCAAATGCCGCACACTACAGATCTGTGCTACAGAAAACCGTCAAGTCAGATCCATAAACTGAAAAAAAAACCTTTGGGTGTCCGATTGCATAGAGGCTCGAATTTATGAATTCAAGCATTCGTTACTTCGCAATCTAAAAGAAAACAAATGCAACAAACAATATAGAAAAGAGTACATTAACATAAGTTAAAAGAAGCAAAGCATCTCTTGAGAAAAAGGAGTAACACAACAAAAGATGTCGAGAACACAAATAAAACAGATCAGCGTAGGTGCCAGCTGAACTCGGAAAAACTGCTGTTTGCAAAAGTGGATGAGAGGAAGCGATTGATAGTACGACAGTTATAGCTTGAAATTGTATCCAATGCAGAAGAAAACTGTCCAAACTATATTCAACCAGTTACTACTTGACTGAATTCATATTTTGTTAGAATCTTATTTTTTTTAGAATATTATTGACCTCGGAGACTAAACTTTGCTATTCAAAGCGAGAACGGATGTGGGTAGCGATTTGAGATTGATATTATTTACGATGTCGTGAATTCATTGTACAGTGAATCCATTATATAGTCTACCCAAATAATAAGTCCTAGCTACCAGTGAGAAAATACCTTCTACTTGAGTACTCTTGGTGAGACGACCTAGCTTCCTGACGCTATAGAACGCGCTCCCGCCTATGTCCTACTGCTGAACATTCATCAAGATCGAACTGTTGGCAGGAACATTCGTCAACCTCGAACTGTTGCAGGAACATTCGTCAACCTCGAACAATTGACAGAAACATTCGTCAACATCGAACTGTTGCAGGAACACTCAACCTCGAACTGTTGCAGGAACATTCGTCTACATCGAACTGTTACAGGAACATTCGTCAACCTCGAACAATTGACAGAAACATTCGTCAACATCGAACTGTTGCAGGAACATTCGTCAACCTCGAACAATTGACAGAAACATTCGTCAACATCGAACTGTTGCAGGAACACTCAACCTCGAACTGTTGCAGGAACATTCGTCTACATCGAACTGTTACAGGAACATTCGTCAACCTCGAACAATTGACAGAAACATTCGTCAACATCGAACTGTTGCAGGAACATTCGTCAACCTCGAACAATTGACAGAAACATTCGTCAACATCGAACTGTTGCAGGAACATTCGACAACCTCGAACAATTGACAGAAACATTCGTCAACATCGAACTGTTGCAGGAACATTCGTCAACCTCGAACAATTGACAGAAACATTCGTCAACATCGAACTGTTGCAGGAACATTCGGCAACATCGAACTGTTGCAGGAACATTCGTCAACATCGAACTGTTGCAGGAACATTCGGCAACATCGAACTGTTGCAGGAACATTCGTCAACATCGAACTGTTGCAGGAACATTCGTCAACATCGAACTGTTGCAGGAACATTCGTCAACATCGAACTGTTGCAGGAACATTCGTCAACATCGAACTGTTGCAGGAACATTCGTCAACATCGAACTGTTGCAGGAACATTCGTCAACATCGAACTGTTGCAGGAACATTCGTCAACCTCGAACTGTTGCAGGAACATTCGTCAACCTCGAACTGTTGCAGGAACATTCGTCAACCTCGAACTGTTGGCAGGAACATTGGTCAACATCGAACTGTTGGCAGGAACATTCGTCAACCTCGAACTGTTGGCAGGAACATTTGTCAACATCGAACTGTTGGCAGGAACATTCGCTAAATTCGTCTTATGGAAAGAACATCCGTTGACTGGCGGAACACATCGACTCAGAACCATAATGAATATTTACAACAGAGGAATTCAGGAGAAACTCACCATGTTAATTTGTTCATGCTCACTACGGCGTAAAAATGAGTTTTAGAGCGAATTTTGTGCCGACTTTTCCGGACCAAGCAAAGGCGACAGCAAAAACAATCTCTTGAATTAAATTCATATACAAATGACATGAAAAAATCCAAGATTACTCGCCTGAAAATAAATTGCGTGCAGAAAATGGATACCCAAACATTTCTATTTTGTTCTGGATTGTTGGTAGTATGTGTTTACAACGAAAAAGATATTCAGTGAAGAATAAATCTCCAATAACAATCGGGCCAGACATTACTTAAATCGTCGCAGCAAAGTGAAATAACTAATAGCCTAGACGAATGCAAACTGAATATCCCAACCGCGAGCTGTTATTAATCAAACCAATATTGGAAGCTCCAACCGTGAACGTATTGAAGATACCAGACGTCCTCTACCTCCCATCGCACCACTCATAATAATAATAAACTTCCACTATTCTATACCGAATACAGAATCGGAAATATAAGACGTCTAATATTTTCAACCAATAGAACTTTAAGTGACTGCCCACCAGGCATATGATGTTGATTAAACGTTGTGATGTTGAATTTACGTTGATTCAAGGTTGTTATTACAACGTTGATTGCCCGGTGGGTTGCATCTTATACAGAAGCAGATCATCCTACGCATCTCAGTCCACCCCCGCGTTGTAGGGCACCTCCCTCCATCCAAGGGACTGCTGTTGTTGGCTGGGGTCGACGCCCCCCACGCCGTCCTGGGCGGGGGCGGTGGCGTTAGCAGCGGCTTCAGCGGCAGCCTTCTCGCCTTCAGCCTCCTTGAAGGCCTCCTCGAAGTCTTGCGTCGAGTTCGATCCGCTGCCACCAGGGATCTTCGACTGCACAATACAGGCTTAATGAGGCGAAAAATACGGGCATTAATGAGGCGAAAAATACGGGCACCATGAGTCGAAAAATACGGGCACCATGAGTTGAAAAATACGGGCACCACAATTAAAAAAATACGGGCACCGCAAATCGAAAAATATGGGCATCACGAGTCGAAAAAAAGGGAAAATACAGGCATCATGAGTTGGTATTGATATTTGAACACTCAAAAAAATGAACGGGGCTTATATTGCCCAAATAATGACACACTTTTCCCACACAGCACCAGCAAAGAGCAGACATGGCACTCAGCCACTGACTGCACAATACAGGAACCATGAGTATTGTTGTGTAAATGAATGGGTCACATTGTCCAAATAGTGAAACACTTTCTCCTCCCTCCCCCACAGACCGAGCAAAGAGCGGTCGTAGCATTGATACGTCCTTTAGCCGGTCCGAACTGGGTTAGGATGACCCACAAAAGGGCCAAAAGTGCACAGTTACTTGGACGAACTCATTTTTCTGAGTGATAAATAATTAATAATATAGTTGCGATGCACATCAAGACAATGGTAATGAGTGAAATTAATTTAAATTAACGGCAAAAACAATCAAAAATTGTGTTCATATCTTGGGTGTTGCTCATTAAAGTCATTTCGACTACACTGAAAACATTAGTACAAAGATCATTAGCAATATTATCATTACATAAAAAGATTGTTAGCATCATTATCATTTTGATAAACTCAAACTTTAAAAATTCTACGAGATAATAATTTTCGTTAAAGTTTTCATGACTTGGTATAAGTGAACATAAACATCCATTATCTTCGCTTGCGCTCTTCACGCCGTGCAATTAAAATTTACACGTCATTCATGTCAAGAATATCGACGGAAATTTATTTAGCGATGACTGTTGTAGTTTATAGCGAATATTTTAAACTACAATGCCATCCTCAAGTCGCGTGGCACATCAAGTAAGTGCATATGTTTGCCGTCGCTAGGCAATGAAATATTCACTCAATCCGTAGGATTGAAACCTCATAACGTTTTTTATGCATTTTGTTGATTCGCATGTTATCTGTAGAGAATTTTCGACAAATTGATTACTCCGACGACGAAGTGGAAACTGGTGCATCTCATCAGGAAAGTTCGAACGATAGAAATTTGCACACGGTCAGTTCTAACTACCGTAGCTTTCGCCCACACTAGCGCTCTGATAGTGTGTTCTAGTGCCCTGGCCACATACTATTGCTCTGACCGCATGCTAGTGCCCTGACATGATAGTGACATGTTGGAAGCCATTGTGCTCTAAATGATGAAGTTTTTCACCACAATTCACACTCCCAATTTCAGTAATTAAATTAACTCGTCTGTGCAAATAAACTCGTCACAAGGAATAAATTGCTCATTTCACAGAACAGAAAGCTACAAAAATTTCCATTTAATTCAATAACTAGTATCATAAGTCCGAAAAGTTTATATGAAACTACATGCTACTTATGAAGCAACAAATTAGAAAAAATTTCAATATCGATCAGGTTCTAATAGTCGCGTGAGGATTAGAAAAATATAAATTTTCGGATGCGATTTAATTTCCAAGCAAACCACGAACATGACGTACAATTCGCTAATAATAAACGAATGCATAAAATAGAAAGTTGGCATCGGAATAAAATCTACACAAATCAAATAAATAGAATAAATAGAACATGTGAAGTTTAAAGAATTAGAGCTCCAAATAAATACCAAGATATTAACTTTTTTCTTACTTTCTGTTGCCTTTCTTACTTTCTGTTGAGTGTTTTTGGGAATACAAGCGTGTTTTGGGGATAATGTGGACCGAGATCTTAAATTTAATAGAGCCTTATTACTACAAAAATGGCGAAACGAGCGATTTTGGAATAATTTATCAAAGGGTTCACCCTATACCGAGGTTCCCCACTATCGTAACGCGGTTCACTTGCAAATAATTTAGAGAAGAAATAGACGTCTGACTTCATGCCGAAATAATAAATTAATTCACAATAAGGAATGATTTGAGTAGTTAGAAAACCAAAACGTATTCAAGTATTTTCATTCTGGCCAGCTAACGCATTTTTATCCCGTCAAAAATGCTACAATATAATTGTAAAGATGCTATTGAAAATCCGATACTTCATCTAGGACTACAAACTCACCTAATATGCAATACATCGATGCTACAATAAAATGTTGTGTACAACATTAGTTGACGAGCATATAAAAAATTTAACCCACAGAAAAACTCGTTACCAAAACTCGCTAGCAATTATTGCATCAAACATTTATTGAATGTTTTAGATAGAACGTTTAATGACATGTTTTGTTGCTCTTTCTATTGTTCGCTTACATTACATCGTAATGATTACTTCCAAAAGATGTTAAAACTGCCTTCACATAGACAAGTTAATCAAGTAATGCTTGAAGAATAATTGAGATTAGTTACAAAAATCATTCGGTACAGAGAATACAACGCAGGTTCGGGTCTCATCGTTTCTAATGTAACGTAGGGAGCATCAGCATTTAATTATGAACTAAGACTGAAAATATCAAATATAGCGGAATGACGGTAAAAGCGATGCAAAGTTCAAAGGACTAATAGCTAAACTAAAACCCGTATCTAGGAATCAATGCAATCTAGAAATTTTAATCATTACTCATGTCTCTTGAACGATTAATAAATCTGAAATATAACAAAGACTTTAAATATTCGTATATGCTAAGACAGAACAGAAAATAATAAGTTATAGAAGTTGTCTAAAGCGAGCGCGAAGCGTAACAATTCACAAAATGCGCATCCGCAGATCAAGAAAACTTCAACGGATGAAAGGAAATGAAGTCGTTGAAAAATAGATGCAATGAATAAATCAGGTATCCTGAACGCAACAGTCGAAGAAGAAAAATTAAAAAAAAATTTCACCCTCCTTCCCGAAAGTCTTCTGAACTTCGAGTGAGAAAAACTTGAACGACAGACGAAGACAATATTTTTTTTTCACTCAGCTCGAAAGAGCCCAGGAGGTCAAATTACAGAATGACCTTTAGAAGGCTAGAAATTCTTCACTCTACACCCCGAAAGGGTATGGAAACTCAAAATAAACTAAAAATGAGAGTCCGGAATTACAAAATAACCATTGAAGGATAGAAATTTAGTGCCCGGCAGCTCGAAGAGTAACAATGGTAGGTCTCAGACAGAGAAATTCCCGCCTTGCAGCCCGAAAGTATCCAGACCGACAAATTACAGAACAAACTTCAATAAATACGGTCCGAAAATATCCAGAATGTCAAATTACAGAATAAACTTCGATATTAACGGTCCGATAAGGATCCGGAATGCCAGAATAAGCCTTAGAAGGACAGAAACTTGGCACCCCGCAGCCCGAAGTGACTGACCCGCGCTGCAGAGTAGACACCCCCGACGCGCTCCTCGAAGCTCTTGAAGGTCGGCGTCTCCTTCAGCTGCCCGAACTTGGCACCAATACCGCCGAACAGCGAGGACGTCTTCTCGCCCACCGCCCCGATGGCGCCCGCCGTCTTCTGGTACCTGTAAATTACAATTTTGGTACCTGTAATACCGCAATAATTAAGGTACCGCAATTTTTAAGGTACCACAATCATTAAGGTACCACAATTATTAAGGTACCACAATCATTAAGTTACCACAATCATTAAGGTACCACAATCATTAAGGTACCACAATCATTAAGGTACCACAATCATTAAGGTACCACAATCATTAAGTTACCACAATCATTAAGGTACCACAATCATAGAGGTCCACAATCATTAAGGTTCCACAATCATTGAGGTAAAACAATCATTAGAGTACCACAATCATTAAGGTTCCACCATCATTAAGGTACCACAAGCAAGGTACACAGGTATAGCTTTTGATACCTGCAAAATTACAACAATTGAGATACTACACAGCTCGAAGTTATCGAAGATAGCTACAGCTTTCTGTATCTACAAAATTCCAATCATAATGATAGTAGATAGAGACTACAGCGTCTGGAACGTGCAAAATTAAAACTATTCGGATACACAGTTTTTGCTTTCGGTACCTGAGAACTGCTCTCATTAAGGTAAAATAATCTGGTACGAGTGTATTACATGAATGCAGGTGCAGCGGAGTCTGTAAAATGCACATGTACTAAGAGAGCTTTTTTTCGTGTAACAGTGTACTGCGTAACAGAAGAAATTACTGCAACCGAGTGTAGACTACCAAAAAATAGAACGAATTTAAACTATGATGGTTTAAACGCAGCCATTAAACTTTCTATGCTTCCTACAGCGCGTTAATATATTAGAAACCGGTAGATGCAATAGATAATTAGAGTTCAGATTCAATTTCATTTTTAAAGTAGATATTCTAATGGAGACAAGAGACTTAATGAGGTAGCGACTTCGGTGGCATGAGTTCAGTAAATGAATTAAATAATTTTACTGGGTCGAAGTTTTCTGAAAGTTTTCAAAGTCAACTTCGAAGTTACCGCTCAATAAACAGCAACTTGCTGTCCATGATTTCAAGTGAATCGATAGACATAAAACGTGAAGTGGAATTAACATTAATGCGATTTTTGATAAGACCAAAACAATGACGAGCAGCAATCTTCTATCTTAAGGCTAAAATTTTATATAGCTAGACTTGAATCGGGACCGGAATTGTGGGTAAGCAAGTGTCAGTATTTGGACAATGTATGACCCTTTAATTTTTCTTAGTGCAGCCATCCAATGTGTGATCAGAGCGGCAAACACAAACTCGAGAGGGCATTCTCTATACGACGAGACGATATATTTATATGAAAAGAAATGCCCTACTGGTGAGATTAAGATTTAGATTTCGAAAAAATTCATCAATAATTTATGGGTAACTATGAAGTATCATCTAGCGAAGCATCGTTTCAATATGTGCCCTTTCATGATGTTGACAACATGAGGTTAAAAAACTTATCGAGGCATGTTAAATTAGGAAATATTGTGTCAAAGCTGATGGTATCGAAAAACGGTGAGGATGAAGAGAAAATCTTTTTTCAATTCTCCACTGATATTTCCTCGAGTGCACCGCAAGCGGCTGTGTCAATATCACGCTCAGTAAATATCGATTTCTGCTCCAATCTTGAAACGAGATGACGGCGGTTCTGGCTACAGATGCGGAACTTCTAAAAGGATACAAGTTTATTTTTAGTTTTCAATGTTGAGTAATTCAACGAAATGTTGAGACGAGCAAGAAATGTTTTATGCTACGAATGTTGTTCCGTTAACGGAAGCCTTTTTGTAGTTAAAACAGCCCAGTTGGGAACATTGTGAGACTCAATGACTGAGTTGATAGTCTTAGAAAACGTCCAAACAAGAGCAATTTCAAGAGATATTTTATGTAAATATTGTATGAATAACGTATATAAAAGAAGCGTTTTAATTTACAACACAAATGCCATTCCAGCCGCAGGTCGTTCAGCCTCGTCTAAATTTAGGCATATCGATTGCAGTGTACTCAGGAAAATGGATGGGTCATGGTATTCAAATTGTGATACAGTTTACTCACCCACTGTACGAGCAGCGAGCGAAAGTGCTCTAATACGCCATTATGACGGGTCAAACTGGGTCAGGATGACTTACACAAGCACAAAAAGCGCATCGCCATTTGGACAATAACCCACTTTTTTCCCCTCTGAGCGTATACACGGCGGATTGATTGCCGTGTTCCACACGAAAAATCAGCTATATTCCCGCGATTATTTTCCAAGTGCATGACGATCACTAATTTCCACGCACATAGTCGCGACAATTGAATGAACCCTGGACATACAATTTATCCTAACTCAACTGGGACAAAACCATAAACAGTTAAACGGGATGTGATTTAAATTAAACTGTGATTACAATCGTGAGTTGATAAGCACAGGCTGAGTAGTGAGCTGACTAATCACTTCTGTGAGCCGATATTTTAGAAGAGATTAGTTAACAGACCGACCTTGATTAGATGAGCCACCGTACCTAGGATATCGGATAAAAGGATACTCCTCTAAGGATATCGTCCTTACTTGCCGGGAAAGAGGAGTGGAGGACTGGGATGGGGACGAGTGGAGGACTGGGATGGGGAAGAGTGGAAGGGCTTGGGGAGGATTGGTAGGGGATGGGGAAGAGTGGAGGGCGGGGATGGGTAGAAGTGGTAAATTGGGATGAGGAGTAGAAGGGGGTGAGGAAGAGTAGAAGGGGATTGGGAGTAGAGGAAGGGGATGGGGATAAGTAGAGGGAGATGGGGAGGAATAGAGGGTTGGGTTGGGGAGGAATGGGGCAGACAAGGGGAGCAGAGAGGCCGGTATTGATCAGGCAAGCGCTCAGGTCAGCCCGGGGCACGAGTGTCAGCCGCAGCCACGCAGGCAGCTGCGTGGTGTCAGCCGCAGCCACGCAGGCAGCTGCGCGGTGTCAGCCGCAGCCACGCACGCAGCTGCGCGGTGTCAGCCGCAGCCACGCAAGGCAGCTGCGCGGTGTCAGCCGCAGCCACGCAGGCAGCTGCGCGGTGTCAGCCGCAGCCACGCAGGCAGCTGCGCGGTGTCAGCCGCAGCCACGCTGGCAGCTGCGCGGTGTCAGCCACAGCCACGCACGCAGCTGCGCGGTGTCAGCCGCCTATACTTTCAATACAACATGCATGGAAAGTAAATAGGCATGTCTTCAAACTTCGACAGAGAAGTTCGAGCTTCTATCAAAACAAAAAAATTTATAGACCAGCAGCCATATCTAGCTTTTTAGACTTGCAATACAAAATGATGTTCTCGCGCTTCATGAATGAGGACTTCGCCGGGGGCACTAAAAAAAGTAGTAATAATAACTGAGCCTGGCAACTGCAGAAACAACTCGGCTACTAATCCTCTAATAAATCTTCTCAGGGTCAGCCCTCAATACTCATACCAACTTATCTAAGGGTCAGCCATTAATTTTTTTACAACTTCTCTAAGGGTCAGCGTTTAATTTTCCAAAACTCAATCATTAGCCCTTAATCCTCAGTTAGCAACGTCTCTAAGGGTCAGCCCTGAGTCCTCAGATAACATCGAAGACATGATATTGCAAAAAAGGTTCTGCTAAAATTCAAAAATTGTAGCAAGTTCAGAAGTTAGGTTAAAAAATAAAAAAAAATGGACGGAGGAAATGTTCAATTCAATTTGGTAAAACCTTCGAATGAATTGCACAGAGCCGTAAATTCCACGATTACAATTTATTTATTGTGTCCCATCTTTACAATATTTTTTAGTTTATTTTAAGATTTCAACGAATATTGCGAGCTGTGAATTTTTAAACCAGCATTTTTTTTTTAATATTTGAATTGCATGCATTTTTCAGCGGTGTTCAATAAGGCGAAATTCTCTTCAACACTAGAATCCCTTGCTTTAGGTAGCGTATCATGTATGAATTGACCTTGAATACAAATTCTTTCTAATTAAAATAAGAAAATACAGCCGAATGAAAGTCAGAGTTGATAATTTCACCATATATATCTGATGTCCAAAAAACGTCAGTTAATTGAACGTGGTTTCAGCGAAATTAACCTTTTATTGACGTTGCTCGACGTTTTTTTGCACGGTGAAATGTGTCATCACTAAATGATCCGAAGCAGAAAGCGCACACCCGCAAGAAACAATCACTGAAAAAACTTGCGCATATTTAGAATAATTGAGATACAGCAATGAAGTATTGGAAATAACATCAAAATATTAATCATCTCACGGCACTTGGGTTGATAGCGAACTAAAATAACCTCCTGAAAATCTTGTGGATATTCATGAAAAGATTAAATTTAACTCGTTAGCTTCCAATTTTATTGCGAGTGCACAATATTACATTGCTGAAATCTATTGAGTACAAAAAAATTTACAGGCGACAAATAGGTCCACCTAGTTATAGCGCCGCCTGAAATTACAGACGATATATTTTGCCAATTACGAATGAGCTTCATACATGAGCAAAAAAACGCTATTTTTTGAAAGGCGCCACATGATTTGAGTACAGCAGAACGCTAGAGGGTTAATTAACCTACTGCTGCATCTACTTCGTTGGACATGATGCGAGTAACTGCAGTAACATTGAAGGCACAAAAAACTGTCCACAACACACGGTTGTTCAAGTGAGTTGCGAAGGCGTTTATTGGGTGCAGCGTACGCCTTCAATGATGCAATTGAGAGACGTCAGAGACTCGGAGAAATGAGAGGGAAATTGTCCAATATCGATGCAATTTTTGCCCTCCTGTGGATCATGCTAACCTAGTATAAATTAACAAATGGGACCATCAGCGCCAAGTCCGCTCTCAACTAATGCCGTGAGCAAAAAAAGTGTTCGGGCAATATGACCTTTATTCGGGCAATAAGACCCATTCACTATTGTGCGTGCTAGTGTAAGAGGATGTGTGTCCAGCGCATCTTTCTCCGATTGCTCCTCGAAGAAGCGGTAAAGTCCAATAGAATTGATAGGCTGGAGGCTTGCATTCTGACTGCAATGAGGCAGCAGCTGGAAACGCATCAGTAAAGTGAGTCCAAATAGAAGCACTTT